ACGGTAGATAACTACCTTACGGCGCCACTACCATGTTGGACTACGGTAAACCTACGGTAGAAATATTACTACGGTAGAAATACGGTAGATAACTAACTACGGTATATATACCGTGACGGTCTAGGGGTAGATATACTAATACTATTTAGTATTAGCCAATAACTAGTACTTTTATTAAGTATAATTTAAATTCCTAAAATTTTTCGGAGAATTCGCGATTATAGACTTATAGTAATAGCGTAGTAGTTTATAGCGTAAATAGTCTTTTCTTTTACTTTTATCGTAATAGTCTAGTACTAGATAGTAAAAAAAGACGTAAAAAAGAAACTTATTAAATCGAACTAATATTATAGATATATTAGTAAAAATATACGCTTTTAACTTTTTAGTAGAGTAGAACTTTTTAATACGGTTATTTAACTACTATAACTATTCTACGGTAGATCTACGGTAGAAAAGTGGCTACGGTAGAACTGCCGCCTATTGGCGGTAGCCTAACTTGCGCATTGCGCTGTAAGGTAGTAATGTAGCGCGTAACCAGCTGTAATCTCTAAGTGTTATAAACCTTATAGTAGAAGTGCTCTTGGCATTGCCAAAAGTAGTTTAGTTTTTGTACGAAATAAGGATACTATTGTGTGAAATACAGGCTGCCCATCCAGCTTGGCTGGCATTACCTCGTTTGTACCTTGCAATTGAGGTGAGCTGAGATTAGTAGAGAGCCAGCCTTACATGAACATTCGCAACTTTAATTCACATTGTGCTGCACAGTTGAGTCGCATGCGGCTTTGAGAAGGCCGTCGTGGGAAGAATTAGACAATTCGAAGAGATGCCTTCGCTGAGAATGTCCAGATAAGCGAAAAGCATGACATCAGCGGAACGTCGTCTGAAATTGACCCGCAGACTACTCAGACGACACACGCATTTCATGACACTGCAGCGGGGAGAATCCGAGCCAAAGAACCAAGCCACAGACAGATTTGATGTGGCAGAATCGACAAGATTGTATAACAATGTACTGCTCAACGGATGAACCCGTGCATGTGCGTTGCGAATATTCGGCTAGCTTCAACGGACTACCGTACAGTTGTATGTCTTACTGCTGCTGTAGACCGCAGTGCTTCATCCTCTACCTATGTACCTACTGGAAGAGCTCCCAGAAAACCACTTGTTAGGCAACTGAAATACTACAAGCCGCAAGTGCAAGACTGGATCAAGCAGCCTCCTCCAAAGGCTCCTGCACTCGTACAAGACCACTTAGTGCCGCCTCACTCCGTCACGCCGGTTGTGATATGACTAAGTCTTGCAGTGATTGACTCATTCTTGCTGCTCGTGTCCTACACGATCGCGGCCACCCACAACCTCGTTGAACAATCATTGCCATCAATCTTGGTCAATTCAAACGTCCAACAAGTTAGGCTCGCCGTTGACTTGCCGCCCACTGTCCGTATTGTCCCTCGTGTCCTTGTTACCCTTCTCTTTCTTGCCGTGGCCCTTTCTAGCGTAGAACTCATCCAGGATCTTGGGGTTGACCCGGTTGAGCAGTTCCTTGGGGAAGATTCGGAGCAGGTTCCACCCAATGTCCAGACTGTCGAAGATGGTTCGCTTGTCATAAGGACTCTGTGAGATGAACTGCTTCTCAAACTTCTCCAAGAACTCCAGCGACAACTTGTCTTCCGAGCTTAACGCCTCTTCACCGACCACGGCTTTCATGGCTGCCGCGTCACGTCCAATGGCGTACTTGGCGTAGAGCTGATTCGACACATCACCGTGGTCTTTTCTGGTCAAGCCCTCGCCAATGGCCGATTTCATCAGTCGCGAGAGTGAGGGCAAGACGTTGATGGGCGGGTAGATACCCTTGTTGTGCAACTGACGGTCCACGAAAATCTGTCCTTCCGTGATGTATCCCGTCAAATCGGGGATGGGATGCGTAATATCGTCGTTCGGCATAGTCAGGATGGGAATCTGCGTGATCGACCCGTTTCGCCCTTCGACACGACCGGCTCGTTCGTAGATGGTGGACAGATCAGTATACATGTAACCAGGGTAACCACGTCGACCGGGAACTTCTTCTCGGGCGGCGGAGACTTCTCGCAGCGCATCGCAGTAGGCCGACAGATCTGTCAAGATGACCAGCACGTGCTTTTCCAGCTGGTAGGCGTAGTACTCTGCCGTGGTAAGGGCCAGTCGGGGCGTGATAATGCGCTCGATGGTGGGATCGTTGGCCAAGTTCAGGAAGAGCGTCACTCTTTCCATCGATCCGTTCTCTTCGAAATCTCGGGTGAAGAATCGTGCAGTTTCCATATTGACACCCATGGCTGCGAAGACGATACTGAAGTTTTCCTCGTGCCCATCATGGACATCCTTGGTGGGTTGATTGACCAGACCGGCCTGTCGACAGATTTGAGCAGCAATTTCGTTGTGGGGGAGACCGGCGGCCGAGAAGATGGGGATTTTCTGTCCTCGAGCGACCGAGTTCATGCAGTCAATGGCCGAGATACCAGTCGAAATCATCTCTTCGGGGTAGACCTTTGTCCAATTAGCACACAGCGGGCACAATGTCGTTTCTGGTACGACGTACTCTTGAATATGGGTTGATGGGGCTTCCGTTGATGTCCAGGTAATCTTCCGCCAACACTTTAGGACCTTTGTCAATTGCTCTTCCGGAGCCATCGAAGATACGACCTAACATGTCCTCCGAGACACCAATCTTGAGACTGTGGCCGGTGAACTCGACTTTCGTCTGTTCCGCGTCAGCTTGAGCGCAAATCGTACAACCGAGACACAGACCTTCTTCACATCAATGCCGGAGGTTCCTTCGAAAACTTGCACGACAGCTCTGTTGCCTGCAACCGCTTGTGTCAATCTTGCTTCTGTTATAGCACGTCCAGCCATGGTATCACATACCCCTTGCCTCAAGCACTTGCCCAGATCTTTCCGAACCATCGGGTAATGTCAGACTGACAATCTCGTTGTATCTGGGGAATTTGACCTGGAAGGCAAATCATTAGTGCCTGGCCATAAACACTCCTTGAGCTTGGGTTGTCCTCAGACGTACATTGTCAAGGATGACCAGTGGTCCATTGATACCTCCGATGGTATTGTATCGCAGTCTGGGCTGCACCGTAGGCATACGATGATCTATTCCGGCCATGCTGGCGGCCTCGCGATCGTCGACTGATGATTAAGAGAGCGTATACAAGGAAGAAGGACTCGGTTGTTGGGTTCAAAAGCAGTTGGGTGAAGGAGCGAATGGCTGAAGAGCGATGATGCAGGCGGACAAGCTGCGGAGGATCTTGACACTTTCGAACTGATAGGCTGCTGTGGCTGCTGTGGCTGTGGCTTCACTGTAGGTAACCAGCTGTTCAAGTCGAGGCTACAGCTTACCCTCACGGTATACAGCTTGGTATTTGCTTGAATTGACGCGATGCAGCTGTGGACAAGAGCATCAGGCTCTTTTGATATGAAGCGGTAGCTACTGGATTGCACAGCACCTGCGAAGGTGGCAGTGGCAGGGGCTGATGATCGTCATCTGCATGTGTCTTCACGTGACCGTGACCGCCAGGTGAACGTCAAGCCATTGACAAGGTACATCTCGAATCTAATAACCTTTAAAGACTGTACCATCAGAATTCAGGATTCGATACGATCATGAATCCAGCAAAGCAATATCAATGTACCCTAGGGCAGGTTCATTTCCAAGGTACCTGAGTACCTATCCACTCTTACTTCAGGTATGGAGCTACTTATGTACCTACCAGAAGGCTGTCCTGTATTATACCATATACTGTCCTGTATTACTGATTTTATACCTGTGCCCTTTATTATACCCGTCCATTGAGTCAAGCCGTCCAAGTTCAGGCGTTGGTGTTGGTATTACGCCTCCCCCGTCTCTTGCACCGTCGACAACGATTTCAACGTCTGCCTACTCGACCGGGGATTCAACCCTCTCAAACTTCCACCGCCTCTTCTACTATCTGAGGAGTCGTCTGATGAAACAGCATTGTCACCAGTTGCCGCTGCTGTTCCGGGCGATACTGCTCCGTATCCAGCACCACCTCCGCCGGCCGTCCCATTCTGAGTATTAGGTCCCGATCGTAATAAACTCCATCTCTCATCAGGAACAAAGTTGTTCCCACCAGCACCGGCACCGGCCCTGCCGTTTCTGGCCGCTGCCTGTTGTCGTTCCCTCTGGATCTGTCGGCCCTTGATGTCGACGTACATGACAAGGATAACCCCCAAAACCAAACCGGCAGTAGCGAGCGCCAGGTTTAGTGGCTCTGGGTCGTCGTCAAAGGTATTGTGAACCAAGGCCTGGAGACCCGATTGGGTGAAAGTGAACAGACCAGACAAACAAATGATGGCGCCGTAGACGGTGCCAAAGGTGGAGTAGCCGAAGACTTTGGCTGCGTAGTCTCTGAAGGAAAGAAGTAAACCAAGTTAGCCTACCGCGTTGGTTTAGGTAGTTGTGAGTTGCTCAACTTACGACATGGCAGAGTAATACAACGGCCTGAAGAGGCAAAAGAGCGTGACATTGGCATAAGCGGCCCAGACGGTAGGAACAGCGCCAAGGACGCCAATGAGGGTGCTCATCAAGACCAACAGATTCAACACGGCCACGGTGCTGGTATGGTCGAGCAAGGCCCCAATAAACGGAACAGTAGCAATACCACCAATCGGCAGTGCTAGATCAAAGTACTCGATGATATGCATGGCCTCCTCCTCGGATCCCAACATGTACACGTACTGCGACCAGATGGTCGAGATGAAAAAGTTGAAGCGGGCCATTTGCAGCACGGTAAACAAGGTGATCAAGATAAACCACGGTGTGCGGAACTGTTTCGAGGCCGGGACGCCGTGCAAAACGCCAAAGACGCCGCTGGTGACTCTTTTTTCGTGTTCTTTCTTCTCATGCTCCTGTTGTTCCGCAGGCCCGCCGAGTAATTCGTTGATCGACGTTATCGACTGTCGACGACGGCTGGCACGTTGCGACCGCACCCTCATGATCTCGGCTGCGTTGTTGAGTTCTTCGTCGGACTCGTGCACGTCTTGAGCCGGATCCTGGGCTCGCTCCATCCGGGTCTCGAGCTCGACACGGGTGTCGTAGCTCCGCGAAGGCATCATGGTCAGTTGCGTGATCAGAATAAATGCCGGAACTACCAGATACACCAGGAAGATCTGACGTGGGCCAAATGCGTGATGTGTGGCCTGGTATAATAGGCGGAAGATCAAAAACACCGACGCCGATGCGTCAAACGCCCCCGTCACCAGCGCCAGAATAAGACCCTGGAACCGGGGGAATGTGTTGGATAGGTGGAAAGTAGGCACGAATGTGAATGTGCCGCCGAGAGAAATCAGGAAACTTCCTGCATAGTACACGTCGAACGGCAGGTCTTGGGCGTAGGCCATCAACAAACTTCCCAGGGCCAGAAGGATCGCGCTGAAGATCCCACATATCCGCGGCCCATGTCTGTCTAGGATCCGGCCCACCAACAGGGCTGAGAGGTTTGCTGTGACGGACGCAATCACGAAGATGAGGTTTAACCTTTCCAAAACATATCGATGAGCTGTTGATCTCTCGAAAATCAAGGATTTGGTTTCCGGCAATGCTCAGCACTTGTTCGTGCTGAGGCAGCTCACACTCACCTTTGGTCTTGCATGTAACACACTCGTACGTTCTCTCGGAGTTCCTCGGCGCTACAGTATTTTCGATATATTTTCTCGTCGATCAGGATAGTTTTGAGTGCATCAAACCCAAAGACAATCCCCGAGGCTGTGACACACGACAGGACGCCGACAATGACCTGGGCTGTGGGGAGGGCGTGTTAGGGATTGTTGTACATCGCCCAATAATACAAGATTCGGATCTCTTTCGGTGAGATTACAATGTGCTGTACTTACCTAGTCGTTTCGGCGCCGGCACCTCGTACGGTGCCAGGGTCTGGAGCTTCTCATGGCGGTGCCCGACATTGGGAAGAGGGTCATAGCTGATGCTGGGCGCGACGCTCGCCTGGCGAGTCAATGGTTGGCAGCAGATGTCGGGGTCGTCATCGACCCCTTCGACGGTCGAGACGTGCTGCGCTAAGGACATTAGAATTAAAGGTCTGGTATATTGTTGTTCGGATAGGCGCGGAGCGGAAAAACAAACAGGCAATAGGACAAGCAAGAACGAGAATGAAATCGAACAACACTGCAGGGTAAGCAAACAGGGTATGTACAGTAAGCAAAGCGAGCAAGCAGTAGAATCGAAAAGATAGGAAATTGTGGTTCACATGTTGGCAGCGGATGCTACTGCTAGAAAAATGGCGGTGTCGGACTTGGGTTTCCGAGGCGATCGATCCACACACAAGATCGCGATCTGGACATCAGACAAGCAACAACGGACGAGAAAGCTCTAAACCGATATTCAATATGGAGCATGTTTACTCTGAACCTGAACCTCCTCTATGCAGAATCGTTACCGTCAAGTAAATTGCCTTTAAACGCCATTATTATTGTGGTCGGCTGTGGCGTTTTACTCCCTGCACGTTTCAGCCTTGCGTCTCTGGTGCCAATGACTTCTACGGTCACTCAACTCGTCTGAATACTTCCAGGACCTATCAGAACATTATGACGGCCACGATATACCAGGCAGATTTGCAGGTTCATTTCCTGGTATCACATCTATCTCGCAATTTGTCGCTAAGACAGCAGTGCCTCATAATATGTTATCTGGAAGACCATGCAAATGATATTAGAATCATTTGAGAAGTTACCGTCACAGCCGTTTTACTAGACGAAGTTGAATTCATCACACTGAAGTACATACTACGTGTATCACCATCCGGTTTGGAAGTCTAGCTATCGCATCTCGCATACGTGGAAGGTCAGAGGAAAACGGCCAGATGTGGTCAATCGTTGAATGCAATGAAATGGTCAAAGCATTATTCTTTTTCATCTCTTCCATGATCGTATCGCTAATGGTCCCGCCTTCGTAAAAGGGTGCTTCCACCACCGTAAGGCAATGCCTTGTAACAACAAAGAGCAAATTTTTCTCAGAGAAGACGTAGGAACACACGCCGGGGCATAGATCCTTGGTTTCGGAGGCCTTGCCAGCTTCAAGCAAGGTCGTTGAGACATTGCTGCACAGTGGCTGCTGAGATGGCGATTGGTGTATCAAGTTCCGCAGAGAATGAAGTCAACACTTCCGCCTGCTTCATAACAACGGGTTTTCGTGTTTCGCAAACCTGATGTCATTGCAATATGACAGCACGAGAGACGAATCGGCGGCAACGTCGGTGCGGCGATGGTAGCAGGACGATCCTCTCCTTCAAATGATCCAGCAGCAAGGCAAGCAAATTCATTACCCGAAAACGCCATCGCTGAGCCCCCACGTTATCCAGCCGTGGCAGCAAGTAGCGGCAACGTCCCAGTAAGCAGGGCCGCAATCGACACGAAGAGCGCCCATCTTTCGTAGAGCGCCCATCTGCATAGAAAGCCTTATGGCTGTATCACTTCCTCGCTCCAAACAGACTCCCATCCTTTCCGGTACAACTTCGTAGGTCTCATCTCTGCACAGGATCCTGGCGCTTCGTATTATATTTTGGCATTCTCTCGTAGGCATTCGGACTGGGTTTTCTCCTGCCCTTGCCCTTGCCCTTCCCGTGCCCACAATCGTCGCCATGCGCATGGTCGTGGGGATGTCTTCTTCCTCTTCGGCCTCCGCTCATCCGCGCCCCGCCGTCATCGGGGCTATCACTCCCGCCGTCATCACTGTCACTTGATGAATCGCTATCGCTGGAGCTGTCCTCTTCGCTGGAGCTTTCTCCAAACTCCCGTGTCTTGTGGTATATGCAGCAGACTTTACTCGACTTCCGCCCGAGTCCTTCGTTGTCTACCACATCCTCGGCCCACTGGATGCGTCGGCGACTGCTGCGCGCGCTGTCGCTCCCAGTGGCTTCATGGGCGCCACGGAGACGCAGGACGAGTGGTTCGGGCGATACTGAGCGTGAAGAAGCAGATCCGTTGGGTGTGATAATCTGCGTTGCAGAGCCAGTGCCTGCACGGCGTGCGGGGGATGCAGTCTGCATTCCGAGGCGTCTAGAGCCACCGGTTCTGGAGGCGTTGCGTGAGGAGTCTAGTGGTGGGAGCGATGAGGCTGCTGCGGCAGCGGAGGGTGATGACATTGTCGTTAAAAAGAATGTCTAATAAATCTGGTCTGTAGTTTCAGCCCGTCTGTGTCCCGTAGCATTCGGCGAGGATGTCTTCTGCTTAGGTCGGGTACCAGACGGTGGCAGCGAGTATGGTTCTGGTGACTTGGAGAAGTGCAAATGCCTCGAACTTGAACGGCACACGATTCGGAACCGGAAAGATAAGGTCGGAATGGCTGAGGCGTCTGAGCCGCGCGAATAGATATAAGGGCAGTGTAGCTGCGTTTAAATTGCTGACTCCAAGATCAGAGTATAGAATGCAGTCAGCGAGGGTCAGTTTGATTGTGTTATGTTAATCACAAGCACAGACGGGGCAGATCAAACGGTGCGATGCCGGTGTGGATAGCAGCCCAGTTAATAAAGCGCCATTTAAAGCGCGCAGGGCGTGTCCGAGTCCGAGTCCACATGAGGTCAAATGACGTGGCCTTAATTTGTGGGTTTGGTTTGCCAGGGACAAAGCCGGCGCCTTCCAAGCGATTCTGTCAGACCGGCTACACCCCTGCTTGGCCCTCAGCCACTGACGGAGAGGCCGACAATAATCGCTGGGAGCTTTGTCCGTTTGTGTCTGACTGAATATGGCCAGCCACAGCCTCGCAAGGCTGTCCCATCGCTATCCACATCCGACCAATCTGGCCAGAAGACAATAATAGTACACAGTACAAGCATCCAGCCCTCCATAACGACACGCATATTCCCTCGCCGGTACTCCATGCTCACCCCTGTCGATCTAATGTGTAGAACCATACAAAGATCACGAGTGACGTCTGTCATATACATCGTTTTGGAAAAGTCTACACATTTCATCTGCGCTCGACCGGTCCATAAGCTCTAAGGTCTCGTAGTCTCTCTCAAGAGCAAATGTATCCGATCACTCGGTCTTGTGTGAAAAACTCGTGCTTGGCTGTACCCGGGCGTCTGCCCAAGCAGCCGTTCCTGCCATCATCTAAACTCTGCCACATGGCACTGCTTTCTGGTATCACAACATGACTCAAGGAAAAACGTTGTATGCATTTGTTGATGGGCCCAACGGGTCCCATCCTGTGTGCGGCCCTAGTACTCCATGGCACGCGCACACTCAGCACTTGTAGAACATCCAGCCGCTTTCGAAATCTTCTTCTTCCGGCGTTGTCTGCTCCAGGGCGTAATGTTCAACCGATGGTCCAACAGGCTGAGTTGAGTCTGTCTCGCGCAACGCAAACTCAGTCCGTAATCCCTCTTCTAGTCAGAGTTCGTCATCTTGGTCCAGATCCGCGGGCTTGATCAGACCGCCAACTTTCATTGCACGTTGACGTTCTGCATCCGCCAGATCTCTCTTTTCTTGCTCCCGTTCCTCAGCATACAGCTCGGCATTATCACCCGCAAACTCCTTGAGCGAGATCAAGAAGTCACGAAGATGAGTCTTGAACTTGGTGGCATCCTCGTTGAGCGTAAACAGACCGGTAACGAAGTGCTGAATTTGAATTTCCTGGAGATTCGGGAAAGCGGTTTTCAGGAGATTAACCGTGAAATCGCTGACGAATTGTTTGTTGGTTGTCCCAGGAGGAGCCTGGCCAGGTTGATACAGGGGTTGTGAAATTTTGTTGGTCTCAACCAACTGGAACATGCGAGCCAGGAGCATGGACTGGGATTTGAAGCCAGCTTTGTGGTCCGAATCTGTGACAACATAGAAAACGTCCTGCAGAATTGGGATGTAAAACTGCTGGAAAAAGATACCTGAGGTCTGAGGGTCGGTCTCGGCCATGTTGTTGATCAACTCTAAGCACATCGAGAGACCGGTGTTCTCGACTTCGCGATTGTCGTGCTTGCTGGCCCACATACAAGAATCGATAATCAACTTGAACTGGCGGCCGTCGAGTTTCAGCAAGGCTGAGAAACAGAACAGGTTAATAGCCTGCAGGAGCTTGAAGAATTCCACACGGAAATCAGGGTATTCGTGGAAATCCTTGTTGATCATATCAAGGGTGCATTCGAAGATACTGTCCATGATTGGGGAGATCTTGTCTTCCATGAGATTCTAAGAAGGAAGTTAGCACAATCGTCACTGGATTACAATAACTGGTCTCTGACCGAATGCCGAGATCTTCTTGGGGACCAACGTACGTGTAGCTTATGGATGATGGTGGTGGTCACACTCAAAACTTCAGCATCCCTGGCATCAGGCACGTTGCGCTGGTAATCGAGCAGAATGGCATCAAGCAACGGTGGTACCATGCTGTCATTGACCATTTGCAGGTCATCAGCTTTTTGCACATAGATGTCCACGAGCTTCAAGATTTCTTTCTTGATCGTACGGAGACCACGCACTTTTGGCGTCTTAGTTGCAACATTACCTACACTAGGTTAGTATCAACGATTTCTTCATGGGCAAATCTCCTCTCACCTCCTGAAGCAACAGAATCCGAGATCAACTGGCTGGAAGCTCGGTACATGTTGAGCATGTCATGATAAATGCGGCCGATTTGCGAATAGAAGTAAGGTCCGATAGATGAGCATGCGGCCACGTTGGTCTTCATGATGTTGCCAATCACTTTGATGGTTTCGGCATCTTGAAGAATGGCAGGGTTTGCATTCGCCTGTTGGATTATGTTGTCCCATGCTGCATTTGGCAACGCCATGAGGTTGTCAATGAGTCTGTCTTGTACGCTCTTCTGCCCTTGTGCGGAGATCATATAACCGCAAGCTTCGTAGAATGTATGCACTTGTTGCGGGCTGAGATCGCACGTGATCTTTTGCATGTTTCGGACGATTTCATCAATGAACGGCTCGGTCTCGCCCGGCTGAAGAGCAACAAAATGACGCTTGCATTTGTTGGCAATCTTGATGAATGTATCACATGCCATGTCCTGCACACCTTCATGCGTCTCGTGCATAAACTCGAACAACTTGTTGACGACAGTTTTCAGGAATTTCCAGTGAGCTTTGAGGAATCGAGGGTATTGACCCACAATGTACATAATGTTGCTGGCTACCACGGCCTTGTTGTCTTTGCCCCGTTTCATCTCAGTCAACCCCAGAAGATCCTTGATCACGGTTACCAAGAACCGCTTCTCAGTCTCCTCATTCATGGCGCCTGATATTGAGCCAATGGCCCAGCATAAGGTGTTGCAATTGTTCCATGACCATTCGGAGCCATCAACCTGTCGCTGCAGCTTTTCGGACATGATGTTCTCCGTGTCGACGACATCCAAGTGTGTCAGATACACGAGGCACTCGCGTGTGGTCTTGTAGAGTTGGATAGTGTCACTTTCCTTGACAAACTCCCGGACAATTTCGCCTTCATCATTCTCCACGATGAGGACTTCCTCAGGTCGAACCATTTTCTCAACCATGACTTGTCTCAAACTGGACAAAACTTGGGCATACTTGTGCTTGCGGAGAGGATAATTGGCGAGAGTGCTCGGATGAGGTGCACCGCCGTTGGCGAGTCCACTGACACCCATGTTGATCAGAGGGTTGAGGTCGGTCATCGGCAGTTGCTGCATCTCTTCATACAGTTCCTGTACCAACTTGTTCCAATACTCGAGGCAGATTTTGAAAATCTCCCGGTCATCAATCAAGCTGATTTTGATGAGGTAGAAGTGTCCATGGAGGAGGAAATCGGGATTGGGTAGTCTTTCGATGGTTTGGAGGTGCGCTGAGAAGTAGTTGCAAAGAAAGATGGCAAGGTTGAGGATGTATTCCTGTTCGGCGGGCCTAGCTTTCGCATATGCCTCGCGGAAATCGGTCTCTAGAGGTAAGGTCCGAGCAACAACGGTCAAGGTTTCGGTGAACATGAGCACAAGCTTCTCGTCATAATCATACTGGGAGCCCAGTTGTAGACTACCAATCTCAGTCAGACATTTGAGAGTGATGTTGCGAAACTGATCCACCTCGAGAAAGCGGGTGACCAAGGTGTTAATGAGTTGAGTCTCGAAGATGAAGCCCAGAGGGATCCAGTTCAAGAAGCGAAGCAGAGTCTCAAGCGTCGCCTTCACCAAGCTTATTGAGTTGGCGGTAGTGAGGACCTCATTGCATAGCTGGAAGATCGATGAGAACTCGGCGCACATGGTGGTCTTAAGGTTCTTAGCCTTGACCGAGGTCATCTGATCCTGAGAAAAGTCAAAGACCTCTTCTGACAGCAAGCGGAGGATAGTCATATTGTTTTCACAGATGGATAACGAGCTGTGGCTTGCCGAGATGATTTCGTTGATGAATGTAGGCCAGTTGTGCGGCCATTCTTGCTTCAAGATGGTGACCAGAGTCAGATCTAACTTGTTGAGGAAGAGCTTATTGGCCTTGAGCGACTCCTCGGTCTCGGAAGCCTGTAGGATTTGGTTGACGACGAAATTGCGAATCCCTAAGCACTGATCGCGAGGAAGGACCTTCCAGCGCGTATTGACCACGTCGTCGAGAACCTGTAGCCCGAGGTATTTCGTTGGCATATACGTCGACTCTTGCAAAAGCTTATCCACCATCAACCACGCATCTGGGTTTGATTTGAATTCATTGAGCTTTTGCTGGGCTTGTTTCTGCACCTCGCCCTTGCCTTCCTGAAATGCCTTGACTGTGGCGTCAAGGTCCGCAACGGTTACCGACATGATTGCGGTTGAGGGGCGGTAAGGCGCTCTGCGAGCGTGAGGAAGCACGAGGTTTGTGCCAGTAAGTGGCGGAGAGGGTTGGGTTTGATGTTGATCTTTATGTCGGTACGATCGATGGACTGGAAGTGAGAGATGGAAACTTGGGTTTGTACCTCAAGGATCTGGGACAGTTAGTCGTCTAGGATCTCTGATGAGAGAAGGAAAATGAAAGCTTGGGCGACGAACGGATGAATTTTGCGCAGGATCGCAGAGTGAGAGGCGTAAAGGACGACGGATGTTGGTGGGCAAATTGAGGCAGAACGTAGTGTACGCGTGAATGAGGCAACAAGCGGGCGCGGTCCAACTTCAGCAGTATCAGCGCAGGCGGAGTGGTTCTCCAAGTTCTGGATCACTGCCACTGCTTATTCGCTGGAAGGCATTACTAAGCTTGCTCTTTCTGGGCCGGCCGCACTGAAGTACTGCCCGCCGCTGCACAAATCTCGTGATCTTTCAGACCACAGCATCGGCCTGATTGTCAATACGCATTTTGTAGTTGTAGTATAGATGTCGCGTACCGTGGATTCTCAAATGCGGAATGGACATGTTGCCAGTAAGTACGAACGATATCATTGTCTCCATATATGGTTTATCTGGTATCAAAAACCACAATAAATCTATGTGCAAATGAAACAACCATTTGGTTTATTTTTTTGTATGTTTTCTCTTTTTTGATTTTGGTTGCTTTTCAGTTGGTACCAACCCCGGTCGTGTGCTCGGAGGATTTCAGTTCACGCTCTTCGCTCTCCTTGCGGAATTGTTGATAAGCCGCCGCCATCTCCTCCTTAGATTGAAGCCCGTTCTTCTCGGTAATCAGGTCCTTCAGCCACTTGTTCTCCATCTCCAGTTGAGATAGCCTTGCCTCCAGCTTCGCGTTCTTCTCTTGGACCTCCTTCACGGTGCGCTCCAAAGCCTGTTCCCTTTGCTTCTTCTTCACACGGAATCGGGCACTGGCAGCTGTGTTTCGCCGCCTCTTGTCTTCCTCAGCAGCCAACCGAGATCTTTCCTCGGCGCTGAGGGTACTGGGGTCAGTAGGCTCGGTCTTCCTGCGCGATGACTGTGATGGACCGGATATCGATGCGGTCGGAGAGGCGCGGTGCTCAATGTTGACAACGCCTGGTGCGGGCGCAGGTTGAATGGGTGTGTTGTAGGTACTGTAATACGTCGCAGACTCAACTCCCGACGTCTCCATGCTCGGTGGAGGGTAGGCTTGGACCGGTTCAGGGCCTGAGAGAAGATCCTCGTACTTGACATTTGGGTTGTTCTTCGAGTCGTGCACATCGAAATTGAAGGAACCGTCTTCGGGCAAAGGAGGCATGTCAAAGTGAGTGAAGTCGGTGTTCGTGAACATAGCCAGGTCCTGGTTCAACTCGATTTCGTCGGGAGAGAAATGCTCCTGGTCGTAAGGGGAGGCCAAAGTATTCAAGTTGTTCAAATACTCTGAGAAGTTAGGCCCCGTGCGGCCGCGATATGTCGACATTGTCCTCTGAACGAACAGCTCAATGCCCGCGCCTTCTCGTCTCTCTTGCTACAATGATTGATCGATGTACGAGGAAATAGAAAGGAATTTCGCGTGGTTTGGATGCGACCGAATTCGGCGGTCGTAGTTCGTGCGATCAAACCCGACAAGGGTGGCCGGGCTCGTCGATGTTCTCAACCCAGGGAGCGTTGTATGTCCCCGGCGGTGAAATGACTAGCAGAGGATGTTGGAGGAGTGAGGTGAGGGTAGGAAGGAAGCTGAGGGAGGGCAGCGTGAAAAACCGGGAGCCCACAAAGAGGAGGACGAAGTGGTGGGCGCACCTTGGGCGGGGAGTGAGTGGGAGAGCTGATTGCTAAGGCGAAAATGCCGTGGGCGGGCTACAGCGCTGATGGCAGCCCTTTCGGGAATTGCTGCGGCGAACTAAGGCCTAACCTGGCGATTAGGCTTCAGGCGGTTCGTCCGAGCCCACGCCGACGTCTAATAGAAAATACTAATGCTTTCCAAAGCCCACCCTCCCACCATCTAAACGACTTTCTTCTTCCGCATCTTGCTGGACTTGGATCTCTTGCTCCTAAAGATAAAAAAGGTCGTTCTTTCCAGCAAACAAGTCTGCTATCTGACAGAAGGCGTACACTCTGAAAAACTACAATATTCTCTTATCGCAGCATCATGATCTCATGGGCCGGTTGTGCGACCAAGGGGTTGAGCTTTTTTCTGCTCTTGACGCACAAGCCTCCGTTGACTCACTTAGTTTGGTCCCTCTCTTTTTAGCTGCCGGGACCGGCGCCCTTCGCAAGCACTGGTCACCAGCTAACGTGCCGTGTCCTGATCATGATATTGGGTACAGCTTCCGGCTGCCTTGCTATATCTGACCTCGGGAAGACGCGTGTGCGATGCAGTAGTAGGACTCGGATGTGTTCCTTCGAGGTGGATAGAAACATTTTTCCACCGCGAAGCATTTCACATGGTTGCTGGTTGTCAAGCTTGACAGTGCTGGACCCTCTCTGCTAGCACTCGTAGGTGTGGGCATGATCAGCTCCAATCAATGCCTCGTCACTAGCATGACGAAGCCCTAGCGTGGGGTGCCTGTTGGCTGCCGTGTGGTGCGGTTCTCTTCGAGGTGGCGGCAGTGTGGTCGTGGAACAGCGGAATGTCAGAACTTGGGCTTTGAGGGGAGAAAAGAGCCGAAGTCACATGTCACTTTATCACGTGCCTCTTTGACTCGTTTAGATCTTGACACAGGATCATCATGAGTCGGGTTTGTTTATGTGACGAACACCGCGCGATCTTGCGGGTAAACAAGTCACAACTTTCGACAACCCGCTCATGGCGCCTGCTCTAGCCAAATCACTGGGCAGATTGTCGCGGGAGGCGATTATCGACCTGGTGCTATCATGGCTCAAGGAACCCGGCAGCTCAACTCCCTATCTTCTGAACAACCGCAAGCTGTTCGAAGCTGACGAGGAAGATTACCTCCATACCCCCGCCGAGACTATCAAGGAGTTGGAGAAATTATACCGCCAATTTCTGACCGACAAGTCAAACTACAAGAAGCAGGATATCATTGATCGCATAGTCGACGGTGACTGGCGCAGAGGGCTGTCCCTACATCAGCACGCGAGCATCGACTTTGCTCATCTGGAGCAAAATGATAATGCGTTGCGGTGGACTGCCTTAAAGTTGGTGCCACTTACGAAACTACAGGACGAGTCACACGAGGAAGAGCATACATATTCGTCAAGGAAAAGACGGAAACTGAACCATGACTGTTGCGACACAAAATATCCTCAAATCTCCCCTCGAACCTTCGTCTCATCACTCCGAGCAGAGATCTCCCCTCTCGTCAAAGCACATTTTCACATCCACAGAATGCCAGCACTGTATGGTCTTACCATAATCAGACTCTATATTACGCTCGATGCCGCTTTCCGCCCTCGCAGCTCCAAGATACCACGTCGCGTCAAGCACGCCACAGACGCCGGAAGAGTCATGTATATCGCTTTGCCGGACAGTTGCCCCTTTGTGTACGTGTCCCTGTCCGGCTCCATCAAGCGAGATGGGCGTGCCAAGAGCGCGAGAGACTCGGGAGAAGCGGTAATGTCAAGGGTCAACATGGCCACGATGAAGAAAATAATTCTAGAGGCAATCCCAAAAGCAGTGTCTCGGCCGCAAGAGAGGTGGGCACTCCAGTCAGCGAGCTTAACAGCGAGATCTCTCCGGAGTATTTGCAGACTGCGAGGCAACCTGAAACCCGGCACTGGAGGTGGTGTATACAGTGCTTTTGCCAGCAACGTTCATGCTTCTCATGACAGCCCCGTGGGCGTCCAGCTGCCCGCCGGCGCAGATGACAAGGAGCTGCATCACTCCATCGACAAGCGATTTGGGCACATGGTGGCTGACCACTATGCACCACTGGACCGAGTCCACGTAAAAGTCGAGAAACTTTTAAAGCAGGCGGCGGAAACAGATACTGGCCCTCCGGGAAGCGATCAAGGCGATATCGCGCTTACATTTTCTGGTTCCGATGTGTTCCTAGGTTTGCGCAAGCTGGCAGGGATGGGGACATCATTTGTTGACCTGGACGGGATGCCGGCCTGGATGACGGGCGAGGTGGGGGTGAGTAGCCTTTCGATATAGGCTCTGTCTTCCAGCCGCTCCAGAATCACGACTGATGGAGACGACGGTTTCCATGGCGTTTGGGATTTTATTTTTTTTGTGGAAGGAGCTTTTGATACCCATTAGAGAAGCGCACTTATTTTTGTTGGATGCAATTTCTCTCCAACCTGGGCTTCGTGACCCTGTAATTGCGAGCGAGATGTTCGGCGTCCTCGAAGCCTTCGGGCACCCTGTGCGGAGAGTTGTGCCCTCTTGGACAAACTTCAGCCGCTGCTTCAGTTCAAATATTTAGTAGTGGCCTCCTTGTATCCTTCGAGGCCGCCTGGGTGTCGCGACTAAAACATCACTAATGGCCACTTTTGTGTACTGGCTGCACGGTGAGATAGGTCAATGAATGCCCTTCATCCTCACCCGTCGTCGGACCGAACGGCACCGATGGCCTCCAGTCCCATGCATCTCGATCAAGATTTAGATGCGATCTGTATTCTGGAGCCTGCAATTGTGAATGATGACCTCTAGCTGTCCAGGAGTCCAGGACCATGGAAGTCAGAGACAAAGGCTTACTAAACCATAGCAAAAGGCTTGCAGTGTGATTTATACGAGCAAATTCTACGTCAACAGCTGTTATCCTAACTTCAGGAGTGGGCGGTGGGAGGTGGCAGGAGGCCAAGTTCGATGACCACATCTTCTGCCAACAACTTGAACCTCAGTCTCCTCGCAACAACAGATTTCAGCCCATATCTGCACAAAGCCTACGCATGCTTGGCTAGTACTGGGCAGGTCTAGTTTCTGGCACCATACACGTGAGGTACTGTAACGTTGCTGAGACCAACTCGTATCCTGGATCCCTTTTACCACTTCCTGGTAAGTGATATGTTCAAGTTTCGCATATTTGGCACGCCCATGCGCTCCGGTCTACCGATGTACGACAGACGCTCAACGGACATGAACTGGGGAAGTTGACGAGGCTCTCCCACATTCCGTCCGCAATTTAGGACACCGTCATGATTATACGTTCACAACGACCGCCTACTCCGCCTTTTTGCCCTCGCCCCGCTACAACAACTTCTGGATCATGCAGCGACTATTGTTCTACGAATGTTGAAGACTGTACTGGTTTTGTTTGAGAGACAACCTGTCCATGTGAGATGCCAGCCACCTGGCTTCGTCTTAGCCAATCACTCCAGACCGCGTACATGCAGGGAGGATCATGCTTTGGACCGCCTACTGATCCTAGAAAGAGGTGGACATGCTTAATTTTCGCTCGACTGCGGCGACGTTCCCGGAGGTCCGGTAGGATGACTTGCACGGATTTGCCGAATCTTCATGAGTTGGCTATGATGCTAGCAGCTTCCCATTCCATCTGCATTGCGCAACGACGTCTAAGACAGCATGCAAAGCTGCGCAACATAAGGTCGGTATTGAGTCATCTGTGGGGAAAAGGATGATCGGTACTCGGGCTTCTCTTGCCATGGCCGCCGATGGACTGACCTGGTACACCTCGAGTACAAGACCCCATTATTCGCGACATTGTCTCGACTATCGACTGGTAACGTGGAGGGAGACTAATTGGTACGTCAATCCAGCGTGGAAAGATTGCCACGGGCAAAGTCTTGCCATGCAGCGACATCAGGCTGGAAACTGGCCTGCCAGCGTTCTGTGTCACGCTTCACTTCCAGCCTGATAAGGTTGTCCCACCACCACCTTGAGTGCAGTATCACTTCCACCAGCCTTCCATTGGTGACTTCTCTCCTGTCTGCTGGAGACAGTTCTGCTGCCCAGCACAAGAGCAATTTTTGGAGGACGGATCGAAGAAATACATTTTGTCGAAACCAGAAATTTCCTTGCAAATGTTGGCTTCAGCCGAAACGCAAAGTTCTGTGGGTCGTGTTGAAAACCCACCAGCGAACAATGATGATAATCGAGAGCCAATGTATGGCTTTCCTGCAGCTCGCCTCAGAACACGCTGTGTTACCGGCCAGACGGTCGGGCGTTACACGAAGTTGTTGTCTTCCTGGCAACCGTGGATCCGAGAGACTTGCTCAATGTGATAGTGGGCCTTCTATCCATCTTTACTGTCTTGTCTACCCAGTTCACTACAAAACAGTTGGAGGCATAACCCTGGAAGAAAACAACGTTCTCAGGAACAGTGGCTGTCCACGATAATCAATGTACCACTATGATCAGAATGAAGATGACGAGGACTTCCGATCCGTAAGAGACCGGAACCCGTTCCTGCATTTGGATCTATCCATGAGATGATCTTCTCTCGACAGTATGGTGAAACAAGTACCTGTCTCTACAATCTATTCCTGGACAGATCCCAGTGACGATTGTGTGAAGAAGACGTGACCGCGGGCAGAGATTTTGCAGGCACGATTTTTTCCCCAGACTTGTACAAGGCCGGTTTTTCACTGCTTTCATGTGGAGCTCCCAGCATTCTGTGCTTTCATCTATGTCCTTATCCGGCGGCACTTCACGTATTGTTGCGTCATATTGGGTGCCCTCACCAGACTCATGGGCGCCATATGGGAAGCGACATACAACTCTAATTCCATTTCACCCCAGTTTCCACATTTGAGTGGCTGGACTCAAGTTGCTCTGTTCAATGGCCAGGCAACTAAAATGCGGTGTAAGGATGTTGCTCAGGGAAAGGTCCAGAGGAGGCTATGGGCTGCCTTTCTTCGATGGTCGGACATTGCGTACTCGCCTGCGAACGGTGACGGAAGAGAAGTCCACAACCATTGCTTCTCCATGCATTTGCTAACAGGATTCCGAGAGGGGAAGAAAATATTGGTCTCATTCACAATCCATATGCATGTCCATGTTCCTCAACTTCAAGACTTTACGGATAGCGCCGAATAGATGAGCTCCAGGTTGAGACAAAGCAACACAGAGTCAGAGACCATTCTGTTCCTGCTTTGATGCTGTGTCAGGGACTCTTCCACCTGAAAACTTATAAAGCTGCGACCTTTCCCGGACCATCAGCTCCCAGCAAGTCGACAGGCTCCATCCAACTTCCATTCGTTTGACCTGCCACTGAAAAGCCAGAACGTCCGTCATCTATACCACCGATCATGTATGTCAACTTGCTCCAGTCGGCCCTCTTGGCCAGCTCGGCGTTCAGGTAACCCTCCTCCATACACTGCTTTAGGCTCATCATCTGACTCCTTCTAGCATCTTTGCTGCTGCCAACCCTGTGCTTCCTCGAGGAGATGGAACAACCACTGGCTGGGGTTATGGCTCCGGAGGCTCCGGCGGTGGCAGCACCTCTGTAGGAGGTGGCAGCACTACCTCTGGTGGCGGCGGTGGCGGTGGTGGTGGCAGCACCGGCGGTGGGTGTACCCCCTCGACGACCACCCTCACAATCACCAAAGGTGCTGGAAGTACTTGTCCTGCCGGTCCTACTTCGACCATCACGATCACCACCACCGGCGGCGGCGGCGGCGGCACCACGCCCGTCGGCCCCTGCACTGGCGCGACCACCGTCACCGTGACTACCGGAGGTGGAGGTGGCACTTCACCAGTCGGGCCCTGCACTGGTGCCTCAACCATCACTGAGACTAAGACCACGACACTCACAGCTGGAGGCTCCGTGGTGACATCCACCGTGGTTGAGACGACTACAGTTAATGGAGGAGGAGAGACCAGTACTGTCACCCTCCCTGCATCAACCGTGGTTGAAACCACAACCGTCAATGGCGGTGAGACGAGCACTGTCACTCTTCCAGCATCAACCGTGGTTTCAACAACAACGGTCAATGGTGGTGAGACTAGCACTGTCACTCTGCCAGCATCGACCGTGGTTTCAACAACGACCGTCAACGGTGGTGAGACCAGCACTGTTACTCTGCCAGCATCGACAGTCGTCGAGACCACCACAATCAACGGAGGGGAGACCACGGTCACTCGCACACTGCCAGGCTCAACGGTCGTTTCCACCGTCACCGCTCCAGGCCAATCCGTGACCTCGACCGTTACCGAAACCACCACCGTCAAGGGAGGAGAAACCACCGTTACCCTGCCAGGCTCGACGGTCGTCTCAACAGTCACAGGGAAAGGGTCCACGGTGACATCCACCGTCACCGAAACGACTACAGTCAATGGCGGAGGTAGTTCGACCATTACCTCAACGGTCACTGAAACGACCACCGTCAATGGCGGAGGCGGCTCGACCGCTACCGAAACCGTTACCTCTACCGTTGTATCGACTGTGACTCAGGGTGGAAATGGCGGTGGCAGCACCGGTACTGTAACTGCCACCACGACCGTCTTCCAGACAGGATCGTGCACTCGAAGTGGCCCGACGTTCACCAGCACTTGCACCGTCACTTCCTGGGCCACACTTGGGTCCGGCTACGGCAGCGGTAGCGGTAGCGGCACCGGAAGCGGCACTGGCAGCGGCGGTTACTCTACGACCGCCGCAAGCTCTTCCGGATGGAAGAGAAGCTACTTCGCATGAAGAATACGAATGGCATGAGTGAATGAAACCAGGAGAACATGAGGTGTTTCGTGGATGGCAAAGGAAGACCAGACTTTGACATGTTTTCCCACTGTTGTCGCTCCTTACATGTCATGGCTAGATGAACAAAATCCTAGATAACTTTTCATATGGGTCTAATAAAAAAGGTATCAACCTTAGGATGAATTCCGGAACGTGCGAATAGTACTGTATCCTGCAGTATCTCCATGCTTAGGGGGCAGAGCCTCGTCCTTGGGGCTGACGAAAAGTCTGTAATCATCAATACAGTGATTTGGGCTCACGTGCAGCCGTGGTTTGTGGTTGGCCGAACCCGGCTTTTGCCTGCCGCCACTTGGCTTGGCAGATGTGACGTGTTTGCTCGCCTCTGCCAAATATGGTGGCCAATCGCTGGCTGGCAAAGACGGTGACGGCGCCCCAAATTTTCATCGAAAGAACTGCGACTTTCCAACAAACAAGTTGAGCCCGAAACCCCACCACGGCACCGCCTGATACTGCGGGCTTCACTACTAGTATCTGTCGACTGATCCTGATTTTTATTCCTGGCAGGATCCTCGCCTAATACAAAGCCCATCTCGTCGAGGTTGGCTTCTTATCCTTGCTGCATTCTTTCATTCCGGCAAGCCACGGATTTGGTTCTGCCTAGCGACCATCGACAACCGATACCACATTAATTGAACCCGTCACCAGCTTTTGGCCAACATGCCTATCTCTGCTTCCAAAGCCGCCCGTCTGGCCAAAAAGGCCGAGAAAGGCGACAAGAAGACGGCTGCCTCCAAACTATCCTCCAAGAATGCATCGACCAATGGCTCGAAAGCCTCCTCCGTCGCTGGCGACGATGGTCCTCCCATGCTGGATGAAGATGAAGAAGACGTCCCGGCCACGACCGCCGATAAGATGGACAAGGTCAAGAAATTGACCGAACAAATGGACAAGCACGGCTTATCCGACAGAGTCACAACTGGTGTGCTGGCCTCGCAGGAAGCCAGTCGAGACGTCAAGATCACATCTTGCTCGCTGGTGTTCCACGGCAAGGTTCTCATCCAGGACTCCACGCTCGAAGTCAACTTTGGTCGGAGATACGGTTTGCTCGGCGAGAACGGCTGCGGCAAATCGACTCTCTTGAAAGCCATCGCCAAGCGAGAGTATCCTTTCCCAGAGCACGTTGACATTTACTTGTTGAATGAGGGTGCTCCCCCTACCGATATGGGCGCCCTTGAGTGGGTCGTTACTGAGGCACAAAAGGAGGTACAGAGATTGGACGATCTGGCGGAAGAAATCTTGGAGAAGGAAGGCCCGGAGAGTCCAGCCTTGATGGACATTTACGAGGTAAGATCACATCCGTCGCTATCGTGGACATAATGTGCTAACTACATCAGCGCTCTGAGGCCATGGATCCCAGCACTTTCGAAGTCCGAGCCTCCCTCATCCTGACAGGTTTGGGATTCAACAAGAAGACCATCCACAAGAAAACCAAGGACATGTCTGGTGGCTGGAGAATGCGTGTGGCACTTGGCCGAGCACTCTTCGTCAAGCCGTCCTTGCTTCTGCTCGATGACCCAACTGCCCATTTGGATCTTGAAGCATGCGTGTGGTTGGAAGAGTACCTGAAGAAATGGGACAAGACTTTGATCCTCGTCTCGCACTCGATGGATTTCTTGAACGGCGTCTGTACCAACATGATCGATATGAGAGACAAGAAACTCATCTACTACGGTGGTAACTACGATTCTTACGCCAAGACTCGGAGCGAACAGGAGACCAACCAGCAAAAGGCGTACCTCAAGCAGCAAGAAGAAATTGCCCATATCAAGAAATTCATCGCTTCCGCTGGTACATATGCCAACTTGGTCCGACAGGCCAAGTCGAGACAGAAGATCTTGGACAAGATGGAGGCCGATGGGTTCATTCAACCCGTTGTGCCGGATCGTGTCTTCACTTTCCGCTTCGCCGATGTGGAGAAATTGCCTCCCCCAGTTTTGTCCTTTGACAATGTCACCTTCAGCTACTCGGGCAAACCAGAGGACAACCTATACGAAAACCTTGACTTGGGTGTCGACATGGACAGCAGAATGGCTCTGGTCGGTCCCAACGGTGTGGGCAAATCGACCTTGCTCCGCTTGATGACAGGTAAACTGAGCCCAACGAGCGGTGTGGTCAGCCGACACACTCATCTCAAGCTTGGCCTGTATTCGCAGCACTCGGCCGAGCAACTCGACTTGACCAAATCGGCTCTCGACTTCGTCCGTGACAAGTATGCTTCCACCTCGCAGGACTACCAATATTGGAGACAGCAACTTGGCCGATATGGTCTTTCCGGTGATGCACAGACCGCCTTGATGGGAACCTTGTCCGAAGGTCAACGATCCCGAGTGGTGTTTGCTCTTTTGGCAATCGAGGCTCCCAACATGCTGTTGCTGGATGAGCCTACCAACGGTCTTGATATCCCCACCATCGACTCCCTGGCCGATGCCATCAATGCCTTTTCTGGTGGTGTGGTTGTGGTTTCCCACGATTTCAGGTAAGTTTATCTAACCTCATATGATTTTTTTGATTCCATGGAGACTAACGTGTTGTTTCAGATTGCTTGACAAGATCGCAAAGGACATCATGGTCTGCGAGAACAAGACTGTGCGACGATGGGACGGCTCAATCGGCGAGTACAAGAACTACCTGCGGAAGAAGATGGTTTCCATGGGTCAAGTTTAAGCTGCTTCCTTGCTCGTCGATGCTTTTGCTCCGGGTCTCATTGCCTTTGGACCTGGGCCGATGAATTGGGTCTTGATGACGTCGCAGTCTGCCGGTTTTGTGCAGATTCAAAAGTGAAAAGATGTCTTACGCGGGTTTATGTGTGCCTTTCTTCGGCGTCTGGGATAGACCGCATGACGATTATGACCTCGCTTGGACATGCCTCATGTTTGCGGAGGCCATTGAGAAATATCTCCAGATATAGTCGAGGTGACTACTCTGGCGGATGTCACTGCCTTCTGAGCGTCGAGGATTCGGCTTTGGTGGCATCGTTAGCCGTATTTAGCCTAGAGATGCCGCATGTTGATAGGGCGTGCCTGGCTGGAAAAACACAAGCAAACATATTCTTCTAGTTCCTAAGCCCCGGTCCGTTTGTGAGAGGGAGAAAAGAAAAGGAGGAGAAAGTATGTCGATGTCTACGTGTACGTGTCACGAGTCAGATGGAGATCCAGGGCGAGCATCCAAGCCGAGATATTAGAATAGATGCCAAGGTACATCCAATCCTTTTGATCTATCTATCTTTCCCCTGACACAAAAGTTGATTTTTCCAATTGGAATCGAACACCCTTTTTCTTTCCTTTACATGCAAGCAGCACCATCGACACCGATGATCTTGCCATTGACCCACTCGCCATCCTGGGAAGCCAGGAAGGCAGTGACGCGGGCGACATCGATGGGCTGGCCGACACGGTGCAGCGGGGACCAGGTGGCGGCATACTCGTCGACCTGGTCGTCAGTCAAGTTGGCCCCGTTGGGGATATACTCGCGGCAGACGGCATGGTACATGTCCGTCTTGATACCGCCGGGGGCGACGGCGTTGACGGTGATTTTCTTGTCACCGCAGTCGATGGCCATGCAGCGGACGAACGTCTCGATCGTGCCCTTGGAGCCCGAGTAGACGGTGTGTTTAGGCACGCCCTTGGCCTGACCCGTGATCGAGCCCATCAGGATGATGCGGCCGCCCACTTCTAGGTTCTTGTAGGCCTCGCGCGCGACAAAGAATTGTCCCCGGGTGTTGATGTTGAATACTCGGTCGTATTCCTCCTCGGTCACGTCCTTCAAGTGGCCGAATGATACAACGCCAGAATTGGACACCACAATGTCAATCTTGCCGAAGTGTTTCTTGGCCTGGGCGAACAGCTCGATGATCTCCGATACGTTCGACACGTTGGCCTTGACGGCGATCGAGTCGCGGCCCAGGGCTTTGATTTCGGTTACGAGCTCGTCCGCGGCTTTGGAGCTGTTGGCGTAGTTGACGACCACGTCGGCGCCGCGGCGGGCGAGTTCGAGGGCGGTTTCGCGGCCCATTCCTCGTCCTGGAAGATGTGGAATGTTGTTAGTTTTGGATGTTTCTTGGGTTCAATGGGTGGGAATAGGCGGTGAGTGCAGAGACTTTGGTCATAAACTGGTGGGGCATTGGGCAGGGTATCCAAGGTTCTCGGGAATCTGGTGTAGTGTGTATTGTCTGTGTAAATGATATGTGCTTTTTGCAGGACATTTGACAATATGAAGTGTGGGATTCAGGGGTGTTCGGATTTCCAATGGGCTCGGGCATTTTTCCATTGGAAATCGATCTTCTCCCAATGTATATTGTTGAACTCAGATGTGTTCTGTCTTCTCTTGTTTAAACGTACCGGATCCAGTCACAATAGCGACCTTGCCGGTGAGCAGGTAGCTGGGCACAGCGCCGGTGCCATTGGCGACTCTCGTGGCAGACATTGTGTTTTTGTTGGGATGTGTGGGAGTTGGTGTCCGGAGGGAGAGTATAGAGGATATATGTATGCCTTTGCAGAGGAATCGATTCCCAAAGTGTCAGGGGAAATAAATAGCTGTAGTAGATGGTATAGTAGATCGAGGATAGGACCGGCTGCGAAGAAAGAAAATAGGTGCGGTCTTGTGTTTGATATTATTGCTTTATTGATGAAATGGCATTGGATTGGGTTGGAGCGCAAGTGGATTGGAGGGGAGGGGAGGCGGGCCACAGGCTTTTTGATTTGGTGTCCATTTCTATTTTTTGATACGCATCAGCCGCAAGCTAAAGATCACGGTAAGACGCTAGGGGGAAGAGGCGTCCAGGGGAAGGGGTGAGCCCCCTCGGCCTAGGAGAGTAGTACACGGTCATAATATTGCCCGCTTATCACACTGGCCCTTTTGGGGCTGGCTGCCCCCAACGGGTGGATGAATCGAGTCGCTCGGGTCGCTAACTCGCTCGCTAAGACAGCTCGGGGGCCGAAGCCTAAGCCCAAGCCCTCAAGAAGTGTAAGCCTAACAGCCACAGCATTTTCACTTCGCGGTGAACTTGGGGGACCCCTTTTTCAGTAGTGATGATGTTGGTTCCCAAGCTAGAGCGGAAAGTGGTGTCAGCGGAAACGGAACCAAGACCGACGACATAAAAATGTGCGGTGTCTCTTTGCCTCTTTGCGCTGTCTCGGGCCCTAGTTCCATCGGTCTTGGTGGAGAGGACAGGAGAAGAGGGGCCCGGCATAGCCACCATAGGCCCTTCCCCCAACCTCCAGTTGCTGGGCGTTCAAGTTGTGGCCCGCGGTGGACGACGGACTCGAGACACTTGTGTTTTGGCCGTCCGTAGGGCAGCATAGGTACGCATCAGGCTCCGCTAGCGATGAAAGGACTGTTAACTTTCGGTCCGTAGTATCGGAAGTGCACCTCTCGTCCGCTTGCAGCTTGAACTCGAAGCCATCTGCTTCAGAAGCGCATGGGGCTTAATATAGTATATATAAATTCCATTGAATGTCCGGCTTTCAGCATTGGATTGCAGTGACGATCTGTTTGTTGTCCAACTTCAAGTCTCCGACCGCATGGGCTGCTCCGCGGCTACTCCGGACCGACAATCTCGGAGCATGCAAAGCGTCGCTTACTAGGACTAGTAGGTACATATTGTACAGCTGTAGATATCGCTCAGATCTCGCCTGGTCAATCAGTCCAAGTCCGGCAGATGATTCCAGCAGATGAACATGGTCTCCAAAATCCTGCCGCCCTTTCTTGATTTGAGGCTACTCTCCCGCCGCTTTACTGACGCTGAGGCACACCCGCTTCTTCCGAAGCACTCTATTTTGTCTTCCTGGTAGTAGTGGTGGTGTTTTTGATTGATCTTTCCCCTTCCTCTTCATCTGCAAGACCGACTCTCGTCAACTTTTATTGCAGAGGTGCCAAGGATGTATAGCTGGATCATGGTTCCTTTCCGTGTGGTCTGCCAGATCAGCACCCGCAGGCACGTCCTTGTAAACTGCAACTGCGGTGCCGCCAGGTAACATCCCTTTCTGCTTGCAGGTTTCGTCCAACTGATGTCGATTGCGATGAGACGAGCTCAGTATCGATTGAGCATTGTGGGGACTTGGACGTGGTGAGAACACTGGCCTCGCGCATGACAGCACCCCAGCCCGTCCGCTTGCTGCAGGACACTTAATAGCAGGACCTTCTTCTAGGTCAAGGTAAGTTATTCCGTATCATAGACGTCCTCTGGGCTATAGAGATTCAACTCTATACTTGCTCGTCACCCTCATAACCTGGCGTTGGCGGCCAGCTCGCAATCTTGACTTTGTCAGTCTGAAGATATTCCCGATCGATCACAACTTCTCGGAGCGACCACAGCCTCGAAAGTAAGGTCTTTTCCGAATACCGCATCACAATGACCGTTTCCCTACGTTTTGGGGAGATGCACCAATTCTTCGATTGAGTACGCCGAGACGTGTACGTGTACTCACATGCTATACGATATGGCCAGCTTGCATTGCGACGGCTTGCAGACCCTGATCGTTGCCCTCAAGTTTTGGGGATATGAAGTGAGACCTCTGGCGGACACTCACTGTTGTGCGCCGAAAGGTATTCCGCAGTCCCGACAACCACGACAGTATCAGATAATCGCTTGATGCGTCTCTGCTGCTGAGAGCTGCCCTCAGCTGGGCGACCGGAACTCTGCTGGTATCATTATCAACAACCATCGTCGTACTAAGACCTGTACACTTCGAAGTCCTTTCCCCTTGAATCTGGCCAAAATCCCGGATTGAAACGCCCCTGATGGTACCGTCGACTGTCAATCAAGCAATCCGGTACTAGTGTCTTTTGCCTGGCCGGAATTATTGCTGGGAAGCGTGCCTAAGGACACGACTGCATCTAGCACAGCCTGGAATTGTCGGCTTCTGGTTTGTCAACGTCGCCCTGCTCGCCCTGCGGCCCGTTCGGCCAAGCAACTGAAGCAAGCTGTTAGCGATAGGTGTCCGTGGCAAGTAGGCTGCTCCACGAGCAGCCTTGAACCCAATTATGGCCGCCTTAGTGGCACGCATCTCCGTTGTACGCCAGAACCAACTCGTCCGCACGTTGGATGAGTTTGACGAGGAAATACGCAGAGCTTGGAGTTTCCATTACGGAATCAGGCCAGAATCCTGCCGTACCTTATTCGCCCATTTCCATGCTATTATATGGTTCTCGACGGGAGAGCGGTGCTTGCGACGAGCCATATATGGGAGTCGGTCTCTTCCCAGGTATGCTGCGTGAACGACATTAGCTGTGCGTCCTCAACAAATTCGATGAAAAGTGACCCATAATCCCCGGATAGATCTTTATACGTTCGAAGCAGCTCATCGGCGTTGTACCTTATGCGGTCCAACAGATTGCCTCGTCGACCTTCGGCTGTCTACGCCTAAAAAGCGGTGCAGTACTAGTATGCATCTCGCTCATGCTCCCGGATAGGCTAGTGGACGCCCCAGCGCTTCGGCTAGTTTCTCTGGTTCCGCGGCAGCAACACCGGATGCCAATCATCAACGCAGTACCGTGACACGAACACACAGCATTGTTCCCAAGGCCTGGACCTTCAGCGCCGTTGGAAGCAGTGGTATATGCACCGCGAGCCTACCCAGAAACTGATTGCTAACCCATCCACCACGGACCGGATCTTGGTCGCTCTGCAGTTCTTGTCGCTTGAATGGTTTCCCGCGTGATTGGCACCTCCTTGCAGACACGTACCCGCCCACTCGAGTTACCAGCCTGTACAGCCTCACTGATCCTTTCATGTCACGGCCCTAGGCCAATGCACTCATCATCATGCAAGGGTGACGTGTCAAATCTTAGGTGCTACGAAGGCTGGAGTGTCGTTAAAGTTATTATGAGGTGTGGTCTGGGATCCTCGCTCGGCCCGACCCCTGCCCCATCTTAGGCGATCTCGAATCCCTCTCTCCCTTGCTGTGAGGAAACGACATCCCATATCGTAGACTTCCCTCAAGTGCGCCGAACTTCCCATTCTATGGGTTCGTCTCAGGATGCAGCATGGTTGAGACGAAGACATCTCCCTTCAAAACCTACTTTGACGAGCTGGAAGAGACTGACGGTGATGATGAGTATCGGGCATGGTTAGTAAGAGTATTTAACGCAAAGAAAGACTTGGTCGAGTTTGCTGGTCGTTGCCGGCCAGGAGGAGGAACGGGCAGCTATGTCGAATTTCTCAACGGCTCATTCAATTTCAGCTTCCGCGTCAGCTTCAACGATGGACAAGACGTGATCATTCGGTTCCCTAAGCCTGGTCACACCACTTTCCGAGACGAGAAAGTGACAAACGAGGTCCGCGTCATGGAGTACTTAAGGCAGAATACTACCATTCCTGTGCCTCATGTACACAGCTGGGGGCTCACAAATGAAAGCCCACACCAACTCGGACCATTCATAATGATGGATTTCATAGAAGGAATACATTTGTCAACCATCTTGGTCCAGCCTGCTGCACCAGAGTTGGTTCTCGACCCGAATATCGACAATGAACTGTTGGACAAAATCTACCGTCAGATTGCAAGGTACATGCTCCAACTTTCTCAACTTCGATTCTCTCAGATTGGCGCCATCTCGAAGGATAACAATTCCAATACCTGGCATGTGGCGGCAAGACCTCTCACCTACAACATGAACGAATTAGCTACCGTTACTCGTTTCCCTGAAGACCAGTTTCCCACAGAGCCATTCGACCGCACAAGCGACTATTTCAAGTCAGTCGCTAAAGAGCACTTGACCCATCTATGGACGCAGCGCAACGTGGCCGACAGCCCGGAAATCGCTCGAGGAAGGTTCATAGCCCGCCATCGAATGCTCGACTTGATCCCAAAATATTGTGTCGACGATGATGCCGGTCCGTTCATCCCATTCTGCGACGACCTGAGACCTTCGAACATGCTTGTCGACCCGGAAACCTACCGGATTACGGCTGTTTTTGATTTCGAGTTCACCAACGCCATGCCGGCCCAGTTTGCTTACGATCCGCCGTGGTGGCTGCTATTGTCCGGGCCGGAGGTGTGGTTTGATCGTTGCGCCCCGCAAGAATTTGTGTCTCTCTATAAGCCTAGAATGGAGCAGTTTCTACGAGCACTGGAGCAGATTGAACTCGAAGAAAGGTGCAATTGCAATGGTGATGGTGAAGCAGCGCCAGCAAATGTGCAGCAGCAGCAGCCAAAGGAATCAGGACTGAGCCTTGCTGCTATGATGCGTGAATCCTGGGACACGGGCCGGTTCTGGTTCAACTATGCGATGAGAAAGAGTTTCGACTTGGACGTGGTCTATTGGACTGCCCTGCGACAGCATGATGATGATGACAAAGTCGCCGCCCTGGAAATCGAAATGCGTTCGGAAATGGAGAACTTCGTACAGGTGAAGATGGAGCAGTTCAAGGTATATGAGGAGGAATGTCGCGTACGTTTTCACCGGAAATAGGAACATCGCTGACGAGTTACGTTTTTGGTGCTCTTTCTCGTGAAAGATTGAGGAGGAAAGATTCAGTGGAGTTGAGGAGTCACAGAAGGATAGGGTATACCTGGGAAAGAAGATGGAAAGGCGATTTACTCTCTCGATTTACTCTCTCGATTTACTCTCTCGATTTATTCTCTCGGGTTTCGGGTTTTCGACAATCCCATCCATGAGAACACTCAAGCTGGGGTATGATCATGGAATGTCGCTGCTATGCATAGATCCTACAATATCGGATCTATTAAACTGACGTTATGATGATGAGATGACCAATGAGAGATGATGGATCTAGCGGTTATGTGAGAAATGTTTCCTAGCACTACCGTCAGGTATGAACTCGCAATAGAAACATTGCAATTGCCATACATCCAGAAGGGAGAGAACTAATCAGCTATTTGATCCACCAAGGACCATGTCCTAATCATGGGCAGGCCGCATATAGTTACATGCTGATACGGAGAAATAGGATGGGGGCCTCTGACCTCTGATGGTCGTATACCATAACCCTGCACAGCTTGAACTGCACAAACTTGAAACCCCGAACTGACTGAATTGGACGCGACAGGATGCATCTTCGGACCGAATGAAGGGGAGGAAGGGGAATGCCAGGGAGCAGGGTCAAACAAACGGAGATTTCTATGAATGGGGGATGCCCGTGGGAAATGGATCTAGATGTCCCTGATAACTTGAACGTGCAAAAGCGGCCCGGCCCGTCCAAACATTGAACGATAGTAGGATATCCAGGCGAAGCTCGAAATCAGAATCAACATACGGGTGGTGACCCAGGGATCATGGACAGGGGAAAAGCAAAACCCCCAGCTAGCAGCTTAGCCGCGAGACATACATTGTATTAAAGTTACAAAGTTGTTCATTTCGATTCTTAGCTTCATGACACGTCGATCCAACTCAATCCAGACCAGACACCTTGACATCTGCCGCGTTGACTAACTGCCCCTGCTAACCGTCATTCTTTCCCGCTTGAACGAGGGCAGATCGCAAGGCCGTCAATGGTAGGATGATACAGCGGAACGGCCCCTCAGTCAGCCACGACACTTTCGCCGCGGCCTTTGAAGCCAGGAAAGGCCTCAATCAACTCATCCGCCTCGTCGGGCGTGACACTGTCCTCGAGCATACTGGTAGCCATAGCGACGGTCTCATCGCGAATCAAGCGGTCGACATAGAAGCCCTCGGAAAAAGCAAGCCTGGTGAGCACGACGCAATGCTTGTGCACGCCACCATTGATCACCGACAGTTTGTCCTGGAGATTGATCTCCTGTCCATGCAGCTGGAGGACATGATACAGCAAGTGCACACCTTTGTTCACAATCTCTGCGTGAAGAGCATGCGAAGAAGTGAGCTCGTACATGGCAGAGACCTCATCATATAAGCTGCGAACGATGCGGCCAATCGCACTCTGATGATGCGCAATCAGTCTGCTGCCGTGGTGGGACTGGTCTTGGTGAGGATGAGGAGACGATGTGATGGCGATTCGGATCAGCAAATCCATGACCTCGAGCCTTAGTTGGCATAGTTCCTCGGTGGTGTTGGGAGGCAGTCCTTCGTCCACCTTGGGCGTTTCCCAGAGCAGATAGCAGATTCGGTTCAACACATAGTCTTCGATCTTCTTCTGCTGGTCATCGACGCATATGCTGCCGAACGTTTCCGCAAAGGTGCTCGTGGCGAGCAATCGCAGCATAAGTGTGATGTCCGCAATAGGTTGCCAGACGTTGAGCATCATCAGAACAAATTCCGGGTTCATCACACGCCAGAACAAGGAAATCAGCTGGGAATCATCGGAGACGGCGTATGCCACAGTGAGTAGCAGTTCTAGACAATCTGTCCCATTGACCTGATGGTTGAGGAGCGCCTGAGGTGTCTCGCGCACCGTTCCGAAGGTTGCGTGGTTGACGGGAGAATGTTTGAAACGCGTGTTGGCATTGATGCCAACCGAGTCCTGAAGCACAAGGGCAAGAGAGGAGACTGTGTCGGCATCAACAATGGTCATGTCGAGATCGATAATGTGATTTACAACCTCAACGAGCAGGGCAATGGGCGTATAGTACTGCTCCTTCAATGATTTCGACCAGAGATCGGTGAAAATCTGTAGGATATCCCGCAGGATATTATGACCCTTAACCCGAGCGGTGCCTTCGAGCAGCACAGCTGAAAACGTCTTTGTCGGAGTACTTGGCAGTTTGAACCCAACAAGTGCTTCGACCAACGTCTCCCCGGATCCTTTGACACGGTATTCCAGAATGTCCTGCAAAAAGCGTAGGTCCCGTTCAGCCTGCTTGTCCGTTCGGATAATGGTGACGGGCTGCTCCTCGGCATGCACAAACTCTTCTTGCGGTGGCGGTAGCATCTGGCCGGGGTTGGTGGTCGAGGCTCGAAGCACCAGTGGCTTAACCGGACTCGTGACATCGGCCTTCCGCTTTCTCTTATTGCCAGCAGGAGGAGTTCCGGGTTTCGAGCGTCGACCAGACTTTGATGGGGAAACGACCATCACATCATCATTGTCGAAGCCATCACGAAGAGAGCCGACGAAACCGCGCTTCGGTGTTGTCGTATGGCTGTCCTCGTTCCCGGATTGTTGTCTGTCTCTCAGCCGTTGTTGCAAGGCTTGGAGATTTTGAAGCTCCTGGTCATGTTCCTGCTGCAGAAATTTGTAGCTGGTAGTAAGGGTGTTGTTCTTTTCCATCATTGCCTGCAAAGCAGCTTTCTGTTTGGCAGACTCCTCTGCCATTGTCTTTTTGAGAGCAGCCAGCTGTCGTTCGAAGACCTTGCTCTCTTTCTCAAGGTTTGTCCTTATGATTGATATCTCGCCTTTCTGCATCAGAACGGTATCCTTTGTTGCTTGAAGTTCCCGGCTGAGTTCTTCGCGCTCTCGCAAGAGGTCTTCCATCGTGCGAGAGTTGTCCCCTCGATGTCCTTGCTGCATTAAACCAGTAGCCTCTTGCGAGGGCCCGGAAGGCCTGTCAAGAAGCATCGCGTCTTGTCGTGGTCGAACCCCGCCATAACGGCCATCTCCTCGAGATTCCTGATGTGTCCCTGGTTGACTCTGCCCCTGTGGCCTGTTCATTCCTCTGTGGGGGAGCCCGTTGTATCCCTGAGCCGGATGTTGCTGGCCGAATTGCCCTCGCTGAACCGACTCATTGGGTTGTAGTCGACGTAAAGAATACGCTCCAGACTCGTCAACCGGGGTCGACACGCCTTCCTCGCCGACCAGGTCGAAACTCTCATCTTCAGATTGTGGTTCGGTAAGATGCCGATGAGTGAAGGGTTGTCTCGGTTGCGCTTTGGCATTCAATGGTGGTTGTGCTTGAAATTGATTGTTGGGCAAGGAAATGTCCTTAGGCACCGGGTCCGTGGTATTTTGGGCACGCAATAAGGCAGAGGCTTGCTGAGTTGAGATAAGAGCATGGTGCTCAAGTTCCCGGAGAGCGGATTCTGACAGATTATCAAAGTCATCGTCGAACAAATCTGTTTCGTCTTCGTTGTCGTCCATGCCATTCATGTTTGACCTCCATGGGGAAGGCAGAATATGGCCTCTTGAGGATGTCTATGTCGCTGCATGAGACGTTACGGGCCTGGTGCAGCAGCCCACAGTAACATGCAGCCGTAACACGCGTCTTATCGCGCTTCGTCGTGAAGGCCAAGGGTGGTGGTGTGGTGATGTTTGTGTTGATGGTCGCCAGAGTCTATATCGCTCTGCAAATGTCCCGCTGTATTATGTCTGCGGATTGGGACCCTAGCGCAGATTACATAATATGATAAGGGCACACGTGATGATATTGTTCTGCGGATAAATGGTAAATCCGGCTTCCTGGTGGCTGTGGTAGTACATAGTAGGTGCCCTGCCCTTGTAATCCAAGCACAATTATTGTGCACCTCACCTAGAATGACGCAAAACTTGGGAGCCGCGCTGCGGTTCGCTCCACTGCCCGGTTTACGGCTCCTCTTAACAGCGGTAGATTTTGTTCCTCTTTGGCAGCAAGACGTCAACCGCGATATTGTCTCGACGATTGCTTTAACCTGCCTCTGTCATCCGTGGATATACGATTGACCAAAGCAGCGCGTCACACAAGGGCAAGCGGTTCCAGTCCTGCGGACTGCCAGCGATCATCCTGCCGAGAGCCAATTTCCGCCATTGGAGACAACACACTGGCTAGGCAGCACGTGTCAAGACGTCCCCTCTCGTCGCAGTCTGCGATAGAATATACAGCCAAATCTCACTTCGGCCTCCGTAGGCCTCCTATCCTGGAAGCCTTGTCCCCTACGCTTCGTCACAATGCCCAAGCAAAGATCAGTCAAATTCCAACACCGTGGGAACGGCAATGGCCAAGATCACCGACGCCAGAGTCTTTCTACAGCAAGCGAAAGTACTTCCGAACCTCCGAGTCCCCTAAAAGAAGGCGACAACAATTCCAATCGCAATGGATCACTCGTCAAGGGAGAAAAGCCAGCCGAGGCGTCGGACTATGAAAAGAAAAAGGCGACCTTTATAACTCGGACAATTTGGACTATCGTGATGATCAGTGGATTTTTCGGTGCCATGTTTGCTGGACATGTTTATGTCCTCATGATCATCACAGCAGTTCAGATCATTTCGTTCAAAGAGGTGATAGCGATTGCCCAAGTCCCGACGAAGCAGAAGAATCTTCCACTCACACGGTCCTTGAACTGGTACTTCCTTGCGATCACGATGTACTTTTTGTACGGCGAGAGCGTCATCTACTACTTTAAGCATGTACTTTTGGTTGACCGAGTCCTCCTACCCTTTGCGACCCATCATCGCTTCATCAGTTTCATGATGTATATCTTCGGTACGTACACATCAACAGCAGTGAAAAACGGTTGCTAACTCTGCTGTAGGTTTTGTTTTCTTCGTCGCATCGTTGAAGAAGGGCCACTACAAGTTCCAGTTTACTCAGTTTGCGTGGACTCACATGGCACTTTACCTCATTGTCGTCCAAGCGCACTTCATGATGAACAATGTTTTCGAAGGCATGATCTGGTTCTTCCTGCCGGTTTCTCTGGTGATCACCAACGATATTTTCGCTTACATCTGCGGCATCACGTTTGGTCGCACACAACTTATCAAGATCTCTCCCAAGAAGACGGTGGAAGGATTCGTGGGTGCATGGATTTGCACGCTCATCTTCGGGTTTGCTCTCACGAACCTACTTATGCGCTACAAGTACTTCATTTGCCCGGTCAATGATCTGGGCGCCAATTTCTTCACTGGACTGGAATGCACCCCTAACCCAGTCTTTGTGGCTCAGCCTTACCATCTCCCCGAATGGACTGGGCTGGACTACACGCTCTGGATCGAGCCGATGCAGTTCCACATTCTTATTTTCGCAACCTTCGCTTCCCTGATTGCTCCATTTGGAGGTTTCTTCGCTTCAGGACTGAAGAGGACGTTCAAGATCAAGGATTTTGGCGACAGTATCCCCGGACATGGAGGCATGACTGATCGCATGGATTGCCAATTTATCATGGGTCTCTTTTCCTACATGTACTACCAGAGTTTTATCGCGGTATACCGGACGAGCGTTGGCGCAGTCATCGAGACTGCGATTGTGGGCCTGACCCCTGAAGAACAGGTGGAGGTGGTCAAAGGTTTGGGGAAGTACCTCTACAATCAGGGAATAGTGTCGGACAAGGTACACAGCCACCACCATTTTCTTACTAGTAACCATGCTAACAGTGACAGGTTCTACAATGTCTTGCGGTCGAATTCGCCAAAAGATAAGGAATGGCAAACGAGCACCACGAAAGTTTTTTCTTTTTCGATTCATTGTTGTTCTGTGGAGTGGTCGAGGTACCAGCACGGATGTTAGGCGTGCATAGCTGTGGAGTCTTGAGACATCCTACCATGTGATGAACCCCGTCCGGCAAAGCAACTTTTTCTTTCCGGTTTCCCAGATATGGACCGCAGCCGGGACGTTTTTGAACCCATCATCGGCAGGCGCAGAGCCCGTTTTCTTTTCTTCTTCTTGTACGATTTGACCATGGGTCACAGAAGCCAGCTAAAAAGAAGGTTGGCACGAGAAAAAGCCAGGTAGCTTCAGATAATAATCGGCTGGCTCTAACAATGAGGATGCCTGTTTGAGTTCCGGCTCCATGAACGATCAGATTCGCTCGCTTGAGAACGTGTTGTACAACACTGGGAAAGTCAAGTAGCATTTAGTGCCATCAGCGTCAACTCTGCCCTCTGCCGCCTCTACCACGACCGCCACCACGACCACCTCTCGCTTGACCACGCCCTCTGTCTCCCCGGCCTCCTTGGTCGCCGCGGTGACCTTGCCCACCCCTGCCGCGCGGGCCGTGGCCATGGCCTCCTTGTTGGCTTTGGTGTTGTTGGGACTCCCGCGCGAGCTCTATAATCTCCTCAGGTACTCTTAAATATTTGATCTGGCGGAATCATATTAGCGGTGGAAAGAGGAAACAAGGGTCACATTAGTAGGAGTAACTCCAGATCTTAGGCGCCGAGAGACTGGAGGATAAATGTGGACACTGCCAAGGGTAGTCACTCACATTGTTCCCTCTCACGTATGCCTCAGGCAGTCTCCAAAACCGGTCCCCTTCCGGACTTGTCTGGACAACCTCCTTGAGCGTCAAATTCATCCAAGTGTCACAGTTGACGAGATGGCCATTGAGCGTTTCGCCATTCTTGAGCTCAACAAGCATGGGGTGGCCTTGGGCCGCTGTGAGCAGGCCTAATGGAAGCTGGAGATCATGTGATTAGACTGTACTCTGTTGCGCGCGACATAGAAGCTAAGACTCACCATATTGGCGTTTTATGTGATGCAAGTGCTGATTTTTTTGGTGTAGCTCATTCGGCAATCGAAGTCGAAGTGCAATATAGCACGCGGAACAGGGACGGGTCCGATGATTCGTATTTTGTCCTAGATAATACCCCTTCTTAACGATGATAGAGATGATAGCTTGTAGCAATTTATTAGATGTGCTGTGCCAGTGACAGTGTCCAGTTCGCTGTCGGTGGGTGAAGATCGGCTTCGGTCGCCGTCGTCATTGTCGTTGCCGGTGAAGCAGAATTGATACTTGGCATTGATTGAGCAGGCTGAATATTATGTAATCACAGCTAAATCACATGATTCGTATCACGTGCAAGGCTGTTTGATCCATCCAATGATCTGGAGCCCGTCTGTGGAGCAGGCTACTAGTCTGGTCTCGTTCGGTCGGCCGCGCATCTGCTGACGCGGCTTGACGGATTTTCGGGTCCCTGTTTGTAGCAAGAATCCGAGCTCGGGGGCTGCGCAGCGCGTGGCTCAACCGAGAAATACGAAGACGACAACGGTTGGTGAGTGACAGACGGGAAGACTGGGAATCGACAGCTACTACTGGACTACCTCACTACTTCTACTCCCACCCCGGGCCTCATCCCTCTTCAACCTTCAGGCACCAGCCAAAACCAGGCGTTTGTTTCCCCTTCGCTTCTTTCTCATCCTTCCATTGATTTCCAGCTCCCATTCTCGCAAGCATTATACAGTTCCTTTACACAGGACTGCTGGTGGGTGGCCTTGTAAGGTGTCCCGGGGGTGTTGTGCTTGATTTTCCGCGCCGAAACATGTCACACTCGCGTCTTCAGTGATAGACCGATTCTACCTATCTATCTACTATCGTCTTCGCTTCGATCCGGCATTCAACTCTCCAGGCTTATTGACTCAGTTGATGAGTTAAGACTTCATCATGAAGTCTTCTTTAGCCAAGGCCGCCGTTCTCTTTTCCACTCTTGTTTCGGGCTTGCCCAGCCCACGCCCTTCATCGGGCGATCCGCTTGCCAAGGATATCACCACTGTTGCTGGTACAACAGGTACAATCTCCCATATGGCGACAGCCTTAAGATTTGGATTTGGTGGTCACTAACACAATCCAGATGCTGAACATATTTCTGTCCACTTCCAAGCCCCTTGCCCGGGCTGTTTTATCGGCTCCAACGATGGATTGGTGGGTTTTACTGGCTCCGTTTCCATTGCTGCCTATTGACATCGTGTGAAGGAACTCACTCTCGACATCGATGCCGCCGATGAAGAATGCAGCGGCCGTTCCCCGCGTCTAAACGGCCATGAACTTTCGCTTGCCCAAGGGGAAGATGTTGCCAATGGCCAGATTACATTCAAGTCGAGACCGCTCAACGGTCTGGCCGAGGAGGAGATCCATGCCTCGTGGCAGGCAACATGTCTCAAAGGCAAAGCTTCGATTATCTCGGTCCGCTTCGACGACATTGCCGGCCAACGTCATGTCCAAGATGGTTCTGGCTTCACCACCTCGTTCAAGCAAATGGGAAGCCCTACCATTCTGCGCCTCCAAGACAGACCCATCGACGATATCTTCTCGCAGAACATTTGTGACGAATGGCTCCTCCCAGAAGATCAAGCCTTGGCCGTTGTGCCAGCCATGCCGACGGATGCCGTTCCGGTCGAGGCCCAATTAGAAATAGAATTTGCGAAACTAGAACGACTCCAGGAGGAAATGGATCGACTTCATGGGGAGTTGCGAGAAAATCATCACAAGATCATGTCCTTGCTGAAGCAAGACTTCCAGCAGTGTTCGAGCCTAAAATGCCTTTGGCGAACTGCCGTCAGCAAGTTTCCGACCATCAAAAAGCTCATCAGTCTGCGGTTCTCCCACCCTAAACAACGGATAATGGGGTGTACAGACGGCGTGGATCAGCAATTCTGTGATGCCATGAAGGAAGGCGATGGTCCGGCTATGAGCCATCATGGTCCACAGGACGAGCCGGTTAAAGAGTTTGGACATCCAGGTGATGCAGACACCACTAAAGAGACGCACGGTGATGGGCCGGTTCCCCCTCCAGGACCTCTGAAAGAAGGACCAGCATCATTACCTTATCCTCATGGTGAAAGGCCGCCATTCGATCAAGGTTCGGAGCGACCCAAACACCCACCTGGAGAACATCCTCGTCCTCCACCTCCATTTCCTCCACACAAAGGAGAGCATTCACATCCTCCAATGAAAGACCACCCCCAGCCGCCCTTTGATAAAGACCATCCTCATCCACCTCCTGGACCTCACTTCCGGCCGCCACCGCCGCCTCCAGGATTCCCGCACCCTCCACCGGATCATCAAAAAGGGCCACCACCTCCTCCTCCAGGCCATCAAGGACCTCCTCCTCCTCCCCCGCCTCCAGGATTCCCTCACCCTCCCCCAGATCATGAAGGAGGACCGCCACCTCCTCCTCCTCCTCCTCCGGACCATCAAGGACCACCACCTCCTCCTGACCATCAAGGACACCCCCCTCCACCTCCACCTCCATTCGGCCGACACGGACCACACCCGGGGATCCGACCACCTTTCGGACATCGAGGACGAGGCCACAAGCTCGAATACCAACTCGGCATCTCAGTCATCTCACTCACCCTAATCATTCTCCTATCAGGCCTTTGTTTCAGCCTAATCCGCAAGAGCGCATGGTACCGCGACCCCCGACGCCAAGCCGACCGGGCCGCACGCCGTGAAGAACGGCGCACCCGGAAAATGTACCGCAAAGCCGCGTGCAAACACCGGTGGACGACCTGGTTGAACCGATACCGACGACATAGTTCATCAAACGACTATGAAGAGAAGCGCCAGATGGTCCTGGAGCAAGAAGGCCTACTGGAAGACGTCATGCAGAATGAGATCCGGACGTTGCGAAACGCCTCTGATCTCGTCAGGGATCTGGTTCGCGTCGAGGAAGGCCGGGCTCGGTTGAACATCTACCCGCATCCTCAGCCCCATTATCCGTCTTACTCGGCTGAGCTTGACGCGGGCGTCGGAAGCAGTCATTTTTCGGATCTTCCGCCTTCGTATGCGGCGCCCCCGCCTCGCTATGAAGAGGAACTCGAGGGCGATTTGACGGTTGTAGATGGATTTCGATACACGCCCAGCAACACGGACGATACCCCGGAAAGCAGTATTATTGACTGCAGTCCGCGACTGAGTCTGGAGACGGGCAGGTCGACTATCGTTACCAAAGATGCGCGGGATTGAGAATTGATCTACGATCTGCGATCTGCAATCTGCAAACATTCAGCACGGTGGAGTCAAGTGTACAAAGCTCCAAGGTACGGAACCCGTTCTTCTCTGCTGAGATTGTCATCTACCATATTCCTTGATTTTTGTTCTGCCACGAAAGGGGGAGGGGGCCCGTTTTCTGTTTGCTACCCGGCGTTATTGTAAATAGGACAGGAAGGGATTGGAGTAATAGGTTACGGGTCAGGAGGAAGGTCATGTCAATGCAAGGTACCTAAACCTTAGGTAGGGATTTGTCATTGTTATGGTTTTGCCGGCGCACTATCTACTTTATGTATATATAAATGCATCTTATCTTAACCACATTACCTATGTTCCATCGCTACCCAACTTGGCTGAAAGCAGCGCATTATGCCGAGGCTCTCCCTTCCTCGTCGTGTTTATCTGCTCAGTCCGACGTCGATGTCGGGCCAGGTCGAAGTTATGGGGGTTGTTAGCGGCCAGCCTGAGCTGTTTACCGAAAAACGAGCGAACTCTTGTTCATTCAAGGCACCCTTCCGTTAATGAACCAGGAAGTATGTACATTTTATATATTACATTGGATACCTAGGTACTACACTGTAGTCAATAATGACATCGTTTCCGCAATGGCTCAGACATTATTGCCGCCCGAACCGTCTTTCACTTTTGAAGAGCATTTCAACCGGAATTGCAGGTTACCGCAACGGCTTGCCATTCAATCCCTAGGTAGAAAGTTCTCTTCTGCAAAAGATTGGTTGAAACCCAGTTAGTAACCGTGGACGATATTCCCGTGAAGAGAGAGGACTGTTCCCGTAATCATATTTGATGGAAAAAAAAGCTTGAAGCTTTGGACCACCACTACTACACTGGCACTTGAACTTGAATTGGTTTCTGTTATCCTTCACACCCTGCTACCTACCTCCCGACGTCCCAAACATTCTTCCTACGGTATTGGACGGCGTCCAGCCAATCGGTGAGTAAGTTAACTGCGTCTAATGAATCGGTACAAGGAATTGGTCGCACCTTCTACGATCCCATCGCTGCAGAGGCGGACCTGCCAACGCACTGCATCACAAGTCATGTAAGAAGTTGGGTTGACTGATTGCATACAAACACGACATGCCTCACTTACCTACTCTCTAATCATCGTTCATGATCGAATCGACCCCCAGCGTTTCTACCATTCTCAACGTTATCCACAAATTGACTTTCCCTCCTTCTCCGAATCCTCCTCAAAAATGGCCACGTATACCGTCTACATTGTCTCTTACACATCAATACCAATATTTCATGAAGGAATCTATATCGAGGAGAAAGCGGGTAAAGGATGGCTGTACCACATCATCGGGGGACACGGCCCAGGGTGGCAGTACGAAATGAAGCAACGCAACAACATTGAGAATTCCAAGCAATACCATGACAAGTATGTGCAGGGCAAGATCGCTCAAACCGACTTTCAAAAGGTGGACCAAGTCTGTCGAACCATTCGCATGCCACAGAATGAATACCGTGCGGGTGTCAGCTTTCAAAGAGACTGTCGGCATTGGGTTCGGGAAGCCCTTACCGAACTGGAGAACCGAGGATACTTCCGTCGTGAACGCTAAGAGTGATCCTGCGAAGGAAAAAAGCCTTGGATGGCGTTTTCCACCATTGAACTCTATCCAATCTCTTGAGCCACCATAGCGTACCATGCGTATTCGTTTGGAAACGTCTCCAGGAACTGAGGGATCCATCGATACCAGTCGTCCTCGAACCATGCAGCGAATATGGTCGACGCGTATTCCCAGTAGGTCGGGTACCAGCCCGCAACCTCCCAGTCCAGAATGACCACTTGGGTTTCGTCCCCCCTGCGGATCATAATGTTTTTCTTTTGAATATCCCCATGTGTCAGGACTGGTTGGTGGCCGACCAAGACCTCCGGGAAAACAAGGTTATAAAACTCCGCCTTGTGCTTCAATGCCTCCGATGTGCGACATTTCCTGACTATTGCAGCATTCAGATCCGCTTCCGTGTCAAACGGGCCGTTGCAGTCTTGTTCGGGAGTCCAAAAGATGTCGTCAAGAAGAGGTTTTTGGTCGAGACCACAATAGCCCCCGGGCGATCCGACTTTGCGTAATTGTCTTATACAATGCCTTAGTTGCGTGACAATCAGCTGCTTCTTGTGATCAGTGAAGGTATGCCAGGTTTCTTTCAAGGTCTGTCCATGGATTCGTTCCATGACAATGAACGACCTGTCTTTGCCATCCCGGAATAGGGCATATACCCGCGGAACCGGGATCTGCGTATGCTGGGCAATGAACACCATCATGCGGCCTTCCTCCAAGTTGAGCGTCTCCCCGTACTTGACGACATAGTGCGAGCCAATCGCAACAACCTTTACAGTTGACCGCTCCCTCAAAATTTCTGTCGAGGCCTCGATCTCAACGATCGATGGTAGGGGCGCCGGCAGAGCGATCGTAGGCACGTAATAAGGGACGGGGATGAACGGCGTCGGACATGACTGCGGCCTGTGCTTTCTCAGTCGCAGACAGGAACCTGCGCGGCCAACGGCTGAAGAGAATAAGGAGGGGAGGAATCGGAATTGATTCCAATACCGGCCCATCGACTTGGATGTAAACAATTCGATGGGCAAGGCAGAGAGCGACAGAAACCGCACGGTACAGTACCTACAGTACTGAGGACGATTGAAGTTCCACTACGTTAGGTACTTATACCTGACCGCAACGAGCGACCTACCTCATCGCAGGTACTTTCCTTCAGCAATCCACTTGTACTACTTTTAGTCTTGCGGGGATTAGCGCCTTGGCAACGGTCTCTGTGGGAATCGCGGGCACTGCAGTGGCTGACAAGATGCATCAGATAGTCTTGGCACTTGTTAGCGCAAGTAAGTAGACCTCACCTTTCCTCTTCCGTACCAGGCACCCACTAGTAGGTGCCACGCAGCGCTCCAGATATCTTAGGTAATAAACCACTGCAAGAGTTGCCCTTGACTATCCCCAAAATCATTCACAGAACATGCAATCCCTTCCCTTGCAAGAAATCTACAAACTTCTGGGATGGGGTGATCTCGGGCTAGTTTTCGAACTATCTGACCATATTGCTCTGAAGTACGCAATAGAACATGGCGATCCGCGTTTCGAGAACGAGAAACGTATTTTCGACATCCTTGAACGCCATGCTCCCTGCCCCCATATCGTCTACAGCTTTATGCGTGTCCCCAACCTGAACTTCATGCAGCGGCTTTCAGGGGGGAATCTGGAGATGCGACTTCGAAGTCGACAAAGCAGAAATCCAGCCACGGGACAAGTCGTGGCATGCACAACTGAACCGGAGCCTTTAATCTTGCGATGGGCAAAAGAGTTGGCAATGGCTGCAGCTTGGCTGGAATCTCTCGGACTTGCGCACGCTGATATTCGACCGGCGAATCTCCTGCTTGATGCCGAAGACCACCTCAAGCTCGCCGACTTTGACAATACTCAGGCCATTGGGACGGATGTTGAGGTGGGGACGGCACCATATTGCAGAGTATTAGGGGATGAAGCTGGTGACCTTCGAGGCTATTTTGGTCTTTTAGGTCCACGCACTGAGCAATTTGCCATCGGTTCGGTTTTCTACTATATGGTGAAGGGGTATGAACCGTACGATGATCAATGGTTCGGGGAGGAGCACGGCCCTATCACCGTCGACAAACTGCAGAATATGGATTTTCCCCATTTGGACCCAAACGACATGAAGGAGCGTGTTATTCGCGACTGCTGGTATGGGAAATTTGCTTGCATCGAGGACCTCGCAAAGACCATTGGAACACTCGGCAGCCAAAACGAAGTGCTGGGGCAGGTATTGACCTCTGATTTTATCGAAAGCAGAAGAGAGGAATGCAGGCAGTATATGACGACTTTAGGTGCTGGACCTCGACCGCTCATACACGACGATTCGGGAATGCCGGCCGAAAATGGCGTGGATTCAGATTGATGTAGATTTCTTCGAGTTATTCCAGATGCGTGAATAGCCACAAGTTCCATTGCTTTTGCCGATGCTCGTGGCAATGATCTGAGGATCCCAGTTTGCTTCTGTGGTGTGTCAAGCAAGTCCCAGGTTACTAGGCAGGTGGGCGGTGGAAAAGAAATTCCTGGAAGAGTGCACTTTCTTTGCTGATTGGGGACATGTGGTTGACTTAATTTTTATTTGGACAATAAAAAGGTAAACAGTTTTTGTGGACCTGTCACTGTTGGACTCACTTGCCAGTGTAAGTATTATCCAAAGCAGATATACATGGAACCAGAAGGGCGAGACGTGGGGGATCATACTGTACCTGGAACCCAGAACTCCATCTTGGACTGTGTCCACGAGGAAACCTCTCGCGGCAGGCTCGTGTTACAGCGTTGTACGATCTATTATAGTCGATCAGACCAAGACAATGGCAATAGCCTCTTGGCCCAAAAAACACGCGAGGTCCCACTGTAGTTGAGTTGAGTTGGTGTAAGGTTCTCCAGCCATTACCATGCAAGGCATAGCATCGAAACCACATGAAGATAAAATACCTCCACCTACCAGGATAGTGATAGAACTGTATCTCATGGTTTTAGATTGTGCAAGGTTGATGTCTTTCTGGACGCTTGAGTTAATCAAGGGAACTTGGACTTCGCTCACGGCCGTAGCGCCGCAACTGCCCAGCGCAAAAGGGGTTGCTGCTGGGTCGTGTGGATGAGGCACGATGGCTCAACTGTCTCCCACCCGTGGCGCTACACAGTCCGTAGGGGGCACTGTCGAAGTGGAGATGTTCTCTCGCTCGTCCAAAGTTTTATTGTCGGAGCAAATTCGTCAGCTTAGAACTCTGTAGGTTTTGAATTGCAATGATGGCAGCGCTCAGCATCATTGCAGATCCCACAAACAGTACCACGTTCTCGTACTTCCCGGCGCCATAATGGTCGACAATGACAGCACCGTGTTTCACCAGGGTGCTCCCGATAGGTCCAGCAAGCACATTCCCGACGCCCTTGCCGAAATTCAACAGACCGAATGCAGCAAACGCGGCGGTCGGCTCACTGCTGATTTTCATGCCTATGCGACCCCAGAGAGCGGTGTATCCAGCTCCAAAGGAGCCGTAAATCACAGCGAAAACTGCGAGGAGAGACATGCTGCGAGCCAGGCCCCAGCAGGTGTATGCCGCAACGCCAGCGACCAATGGGGAGCTGATGGTAAGAATGCTGAGAGGGAGTCTTCGATCTGAAAGGTACCCGAAGGTCATCTGGCCCAGGACCTGGGATATGCTCATGACAGCGAGCAGGAGAGCACCGCGCATCGACCCCATTCCATGCGCTGTGGCATACGAGGGCAGATATAGTGATGGAAAGAAGTATGCCAAGCCCATTGCAAGGTTACTGGCACTGTAGACCCAGAACAAGCTTGTCTTGAGGAATGACCAGTCTGTCTTGCCGGGAGCAGTGCTTTCGCTTTCGGGTAGCCGCCCCTTGAAGTTCGGTATTAGTGGGCCAGTCAAGACGAACAGTCCGATTGCTATGCTTCGAAGCGTTGTCTGATAGCCATATCGCGCGAGTAGTTGGTTGATCAGGAACGGAAAGCCCGCGCCTGAGAGGCCCGAGGAGGCGCATATGAAGCCGTAAGCCATGCCCCGTCGAGAGATCCAATACTCATTGATCATGGAGAGGATCGGATATTCAGATATGGTAAAGCCCAAACCGTACAAGACACCCTGTGTGAGAACAAGTGTATTGAGGGTCGTGGCGAAAGATCCGGCGATCAACCCAATGAGGCAAAGGGTCCCTGTACAGTATGTGCGATTAGCGCTACTATTGCTTGACAGTGGTAAGCCAACCGGCACGCGACGAAAACCTACATCCGATCCATACCATCCGACGCCTCCATATTGCATACCGCTTGGTCAGAGGAATTACGACTGGAGCAGCCATGTATGTCAAACCGGTGGCGACTGTGCCGATAACAGAGACGTACGGGTCATCTTTGAATTGAGCCAGTTGCGTGTAATAGTCTTGGAAGACGCCAAATGACAGTGGAAAGCCCCAGAGCAAGGCCTCGAAGACAAAGGACGATAAAAGAAGTCGCCAGGCTGCCCTGCCACCATCCGGAGGTGGGAGTGATGATGCCTCGCGGGGATGTGATTCCTCGTCCAATGGCGTAGGTTCGTGCTCGCCTTCCTGTGGGACCGTAACAGGCGAGGAAAGTTGCTGTAGTTCGCGGCCTCGCTCAGTAGCGGGCCAGGACATTTTCTCAGCACCGCTTTAGGCAGGCATTCTGCTACCTTACAACCCTCATATATCAGGCCGCCGTTTGTCCAGGGATTTCTTCAAATCCCAATTTTCCAGATTCAAGCTCGGACATGGCCGATGGGCAGCTTGTTGCTCCTTTCTTGTGGACAGAGGTTGATATAAAGCTCTGCCAACCGTGTTTTAAACGGGCCAGACGGCGAGACACACCTTTATCTGCGAAATTTGATGGCTCTGGCAGCAAGCACTGCCTGCAGTTCCAGAAGTCTCACATATGCCCGCCGTGAGCATGCAGGGCGTAGGTCTCTGGCGAGTCGGCCTGGCCACGTCTTACTCCATCAGCCGCCTCCAGTCTAAAAACCCGTGGCTGCAACACAACTTCGATTTGTTTCAGTCTCTTGTCTGGAACATTAGTCCTACCTTTTCAATCACCTACGACGGAGTAACGATTGTCTATGCTGCTAGAGTTGACGTTGATAGATGAGGTGAAAGCAATTGGAGGTTAGATGAACATGAATCACTGGCAAGAACGAAATCGTCAATCTTCAGGCGCTGCTTTAGCGACACTACAAGGCGGCATCTCCCTTTTCCAAACCGGGCGAACCGCGACCGACTCGGAACGATCAACTTTTTTTTGCTTCTTGCTGGCAGCTTCAACGGCGGGAACAAATACTGAGACTAGCAAGTAGGCTGTTAATTCTAAGCGCAGAGAGTACCTCGCTCGCTGATCTGCACCAGCTATGCGTAGCTGATGCATAGGTCTCTTGCTAAACATGGCCTAACACACAGTCTCCAGGCATTGGCCCTGCGCCGAACCCTTACTCGAGTTACCCCGGGGAGCTGGAAGCCAGGGTTGAACGGGGGCCGAGCGTCTCAGTCTTCCGACCGTCATGATGCTTTGTTAGCTGGTGGCTTTACCAGTCAGCCGACCAAATCGTCAGGTTCGCAAACGCTTCACGAGCCGCAGGGGAATAATACATCCAACACTAAGGTTCCGTGGACGGATGGACAGAAGGAAAAGGCAGAGGAAGGAGGACAGAGCTCTGAGGACACTGGCCGCCAATACCTAAGAAGACTCCTCCCACCTAAACGCTACCCGCCGCTGCTTCGCGAAATTCAACAACGTGGACGCAACTACAAGGTCCCATCCAAGAAAGGCCGCACTCAGAAGCCCCTGGATCGGAGCATTGCGTCTACCGAAACGCTGGAAGACGAGTTGAAATGGGTTGCACGAAATTATCCGCACCCACACGCAATCCGAAACATTCTGAAAATCCTGATTGAAGACCGCAAAGTTAAGCCTTCAGCTGCTCATTATGAAGCATTGATTCTTGCCAATTGCTTGCCTGAACTTGGATCGGTGGGAAACCTCAAGATCATACTGGAAGAAATGGAGCGGGAGGGCGTGCTGATTGAACCCGCTATATATTATGCAGTCTTGACGGTTCTCGCAGTCCATCCGGACACCTATCTTCGTACCGCCATCATTCAGAAACTCCGTGAGCAATGGATTACGATCCCGGAACAATACGCCCACTTTAACGTTGTGGCCATGATCCGGGAAGGCCAGCTCGAGCTTGCGACAGTTGAGATGGAGAATCTACAGCAGAAACAAATCCCTATTCCACCCTGGATATGGACCATCTATGTCCACGCCATTTGCGATCGGCACGATTTCGAGGGCTTGCTGCAAGTCTTGTATCAATTGTCTGATATGGGGTTCTTCTTTCCCCGACCGACGCTGCTGCATGTTCTCATCCAGGCATCTCAGCACGGCTGTTTGGACGTCACAAAATGGGTCTGGTATGGATATGTTGAGACAATGCATATCATGCCGAATGAAGAATTATGTATTGATGTTCTACGATTAGCAGTGACTAATGAAGATCGTAAACTGGCGGAGTCTGTCATTGTTGTGCTGGAGAGTGTTGCTGGAGACGTCCTCACTGCGCCGCCGAGTCTGGTGGACAAGCCGCCTCCAACTAAGCACGAACTCTGGAGCCTGACTTTCGATTCGCCAGATCTTCCTGGAATGGAAGACCTTTCGGTTGATACTGGGGCTCAGGACGGCAATGAGACCAGCAACAGGGCTGGAACTGGAACCAACAACGCAGTTGATAATGCTGGGAAAAACTCCAAAGCGGGCTCTGCGTCTTTGTCGTCATCACGCTCGCCATCTACATCAAAATCATCCGCCCCAAAGTCCAGATCCGAATCCAAGCGCCTTGCCATGGCATTTTCGACTCCGCTCCCGTTGCCGCCCCCACACAAACCGCCTCCGCCGCGCCCATTGCCAGAGGAAGCTATACAGCTTCTCGAGAAATTAGGAATTAAATATTTTCCTACCCGGCGCGGTCGCAAACGGCGTGGCAATCTTTATCCCTTGTTCAGGAAGGAGAGCGGGCTACGAGGCGCAAGATTTGACCCCCAGCTCGCGCTCGTGCAAGGCTGGGAATGGCGGAAGAAATAGAGAGCCCTGGCAGTGAGGTTCATAGAGGACGAATCCAGACACCTGTTGATCTGGGATGTGCCAGCTCTATATACAGGCAGAAAAGGGGGTATGGTTACTGGTTGTCAAGAGAGTTTGAAATACTGTGTTCCTGGAACAAGGCCACTTGGCTAAGGCCCTTATCAACATGTTATCTATATTGGTATAAGAACAGGCTTCACAATCCTCACCCATGAATGTTCCGTTGTTCCTTTTTGTCAACCCTCTTGTTCCGTCCTGCTCACCCTCTTGCGTGTCTATTGTCTTAATTCTCCTGGGTTGTCACGTTCACCCATCTGGGTTACTACCATCACCGCAACTGAGGTGACCTTGCGGGCCCTACTCCATCATAAAGTGACGACCGACTATAAGGTACCTAGGTAGGTAGCGCCCGGTCTGTCGCTTGAGGAATCTAAATCTCGCTTTGGCACCGCGACCATTCAAAGTGGACGCGAGAACGAGCCCGCAAGACTAAGGCAAGGTCCGGGGCTCTTACATAAAGGCAACGATCAAGGCCTCCTGGGTCTCAGCACAGATTTAACCTAGAGTGCTCCAGGCACATGTGTTGTTGGGAGGTGAACAACGAACAAGGAGTCCTTCAGTAGGCCATAAAGGAACTTCAGTGGAGCCTTAATAGCTATATTAGAGTTTATCTATTAATTATTGAGTTGAAATTATAAAGTCAGTAAAGAGTAATACTGTGATTCTCCTCAACAATCTAGGAGGCAGCAATTCCTTGAATTGTCAACACCTTAGTGTTAGGAGTGACAAGGGTATTAATTCTAGGTCCAGAATTCCCAAGCACAACTTGACCGATAATCGCGACTCTGTCGCATCATCAACTTATTCCAGTTCAAAGCACATTGCAAACCAACTGAGACTGCTGATGAATCTGTCCGCGCTTCTTGTATCCTTTGTGCGAGCCAGGTTAATGTGCAAGAAAAGCCAAAACAACTATGCATATCCTGTATTTATCTAAATCCCTGCAGTGCAGTGCAATATAGTGACATCCAAGTTGACAAACTGAGGCCATTGCATCCTATTTACCTGATTTTTACTAGTATATGCACGGCTTTGCTATAATGTACAGATAATAAATAGATAAGCCTCTCTCGGTCTAGATTGTGCCTCAGGCTTCCAACAGCAAACTACCAAGTCTAGATTAAGTCATATGCCATATGCCTACCTTGGATATACTAGCCTCAGGCGGGATTTGTCGAGTTACAAACATTACCCTTTCATACTGCTTTTAACGGATCACTGAGCATACCTCATAATGTCTTCTTACGGCATAACCCATGCTGTTCGAGGAGAGTGCACAAGGCAACCACAACATAAGATAGAACCACGCCTACGCAAGAGATGCGTCGATTCGCCAAAACCAGGCCCTCCGTGTGGCAATCCCACGCACGATCCAGGTTTCGATCAGCTCCCTTCTAGAAAAGGAGGGGCATGCCCAGCATGTCGGGATTCGGGGATATCACTTGAAATCTATCAAGTCAAATGGGTAAGCGCTGAGCCGTACTTTTATCAGTATACATATACTCTGACCATCAATGAATAATAGGTGGATCTTCACGGCTAGACTCCGTCACCTATGAATGGTTATCAAGTCTGAACAGTGGCAGAATTTGGGCAAAGGTCGTAGTAAATCAGTTGAAATGATACTACGGGCAGATCGGAGTATCTCTATGAAGATACTAGCTCGCATGACATTAGGTAGCTGTGGAGTGACAGAAAGAGTACTCTCCTGTGCCGAAGCTTACGACGCCTCGGTCCATTTAACAAAGTTTGGGAAGAGGGTGAAATGTTTCTAGCTCTCGAAGAACGTCACTCATAGAGGTGAAGTCGCCACGCCAGCAGCTCTCGATTAACCGACCCAGAGGTAGAGAGGTGACGTCGGGAAAGCAATTGTTTGTGTATAGCTGCTCAACCTGCTGATATCGGTCATTCGATGACTCGAGTTCATGGTGTGGTGGTCTTCCAGTTATAATTTCGTAGATTGCACAACCAAATGCAAAAATGTCCGTGCGTCGATTCACCCGAGGTATTGATGGTCGATAACTGAACCATTCGTAGCAGGAATCTGCTGGTTCACCGTCGATGCTGCAACCTTCAAAGTCGATTATCTTCAGGCAACCATCTCTTGTTAGAATCATATTGTTACAGCCAACATCCCCGTGGATAATATTCCAGTTATGTACATGCTGATAACCTCTTGCAGCTTGCTTCAGCCAGCTCAACTTCATCTGGATCGGAATCTCAATTGCGGAGGGAGATCGACAGATTGTCCGAAGGACTTCGCCTCGTTCGAGAATAATGGAACCATCTTTCCGGGTACCTAGTAATTTTGCAATATTGGGGTGCGATCCGAGACGGTGATATGCTCGACGTTCAACTTCGCCTCTGTCGCTCTCTTGAAATTCTTTTAAGATTCTCTTGTCATCAACCCCATAGACGATTCCTGATTTCCCTGCAGCAAGGAATTGCAATGCTTCAAATGATATCGAATCAATGTCTGTGTTACTTGGACGACGAAGGGTTTCAAGGCATTTCGTGCAAAGCGCCCTTAGAATGGAGAGGAGGGAGAAAAAGGATCTCGCAGCGCGCAGGAAGGGTCCAGGATCGAACAGCATCTTTCCCCCGACAGCGATAACGAATGTTTGGAGGGACTTTCGGGAAGCGCAGGGAGGAAAGAGGGTCGTACTAAGGCTACGGTGGGTGTAGCATCGTTCAGTGAAACGATAGGTGGATCGTAGTGCTTCTAGCCTTGAGAGCTCCTGTCATGGCTCCAAATTCTTTCGTGCTCTTCGATGGAAGGTTGGAATGAAAGAACTGCGAGCGACGGCCACAAGCGCATGCAGTGCAAATTGCGGCGATTTTCCACTTACGTGTATAACCAGAAAGAATGAACTTGAGCCTACCCTACAATGTTGTAGGCAGCAGCTGATGGCAACAATAACCGGTATTGTGGTGCCCGGAACTCGGCCCTTCCAAAGCTTGGACACGCCGGAAACTGGGAACTAGGGGCCGAATTGTGGGCTGAGGGCCCCTTGCCTGGCTCACAGCTGTGACCACGCTACTCAGTCTCCGCCTCAGGGCCAAGCGACATCATCCTCCTTCTGCCAACTCAGTCGCTTTCACACTGCAGTATCACTGTAACTGGATTGGTCTAGACTCTAGTATTCTACCCATCCGCCGCCGCACTGGCAGGGGACAACATCAAATCAACCAGCCACGGCGCATTGACGGGCTTATACTGGAGATTCATAATACTCGCATTAACGAAGAGGGTTTCTTTTCCCGCTGTTATATCAGTGGCGTCGAGAAGCACGACCTCCTTTTCTTTTTCCGTTTGGGGCTGAGACTGAGACTGAGATTCGTTGGACTCGGATGGTAACGGTACGCCGCCGAGAACCTCAACCTTACTTGTGGCGGAGTTGCTCGTATCTTCCCACTTCTTCCTCTCCGCGCCCCATGCCTCGTGGATATGGCCGAAACAATGCACCCTAGGCCGACACCGCTCAACGGCTCGACGGAGGTGTTCGCAGCCAACGTTGACGTTGGTTTTCGTACGATCTAGGATTCCGTATGGCGGGCCGTGAGTGAGCATGATATCCACGTTGTATCCGAATTGTCTGAGCAAAGCATTGGTATTTCGAGGATGATCCGAATCCATGGCCGCCCTAGCTGCAGTCTGAGTAGTTGCATCTGAACCATCACCAGCTTGATAAGTAGGTTCGACGAAACCCGGCACCGGATTCTCTGGACTGGAGTCGGAGCCAACATTAAACCGATCAACACCTCTCTCATAACCAAACGCCCAATTCCAGAATTCCGGCTGCCACGCGCTGGCATAGACAGTCAACCTTGCGCCGTTGCGGAGGACGAACGACTCAGTCCCTTCTTCGAGATATCGGATTCCACGATCTCTGGCCTCAGGGGAGTCATAAAGCGTGCGGATCTCGTCGAGCGTCTCAGGCGGGTATTTGGCGTACGAGGCGTGCAAGTTGGGGTGGCGTTCGTAGTATGCTCGATCGAGCGTGATGTCGTGGTTCCCAGGGATCACAATCTTGAGGTCCGCCTGGACCGAATCGATTAGCTCGATGGCTCGGCGGTGTTGATCTATGGATCCGTTCATTGTCAGGTCGCCGCAATGGAGGAGAACATCGGCGCGCGGGAGCGGGTGACGTAATGGAGATGACTGAAGTAGGGACTGGGAGTCGGAGTCGGATTTGGACAAGACTTTGAATTCGGTTTTGGGTTTGGGTTTGAATATCGATTTGAATCTTGACGTGAAGGTGGTGGTAGAGGTAGATTGTGACACCTTTGACGGAGGACCACCGCAGTGTAAGGATGGTGCTGGTGCTGGTGCTGATGCTGATGCTCCTGAGCCTGAGCCCGAGGCATCGTTCTGTGTCAGCTGTGACTCAGAGCGTCCAGGATGTCCGTAAGGTAAAGCCGAGTGGGTGTCTGAGATGATGAGGATGCGAGTCTTGATGCCCCCGGGCGTCTGCGTCTCAGATGACGGGGATCCCATGGGTGAAGACCGTGGGCGGTTAGACCGGGCCGTCTAGGTCTGAGATGATAGAGTAGTTCCGGGTAAGTCAATCGGTATTCCCCTTCGAGTCGAGGAGTGGTCTGGAAACTCGTCCAGATGTGCTGTGCGCTGTGATTCTTGGTGGTGGAGTTGAGATAAGGCTGTAAGGCTGGGGTAGTGCAATATGCTTTGAACTGAACGCCACGCTCCCTTAGACCCTGGCGGTTGAAGGATTGCCCGAGTGGACAGCTCCCAAATCAGGAGAAAGTCTTCAGGCAGACATGTCAGAGTGAGCTTGGTAAATCAGAGTCCCTCGCAGTAGGGAATGAGGTTGAAATAAAAACAATGGGGATGCTCTGATTGGAGTAATATTTATTCTGAATAGCATGCATAGGATAGATATACTGGACAGTTTTGACCACACATATTGTAACTTACAGGAAGATCAGATGCGAGCAGTGTGCCAGGGACATGTATTCTGGTTCTGGTATTACTATGAGCGTAACTCAGGCAGCAGTCTCCTGGGATCACAAGTAACCACGGTTTAACCGGTCGATTCGACATCAACCCTACAACAGCTGGTGGCACCATCCTACAACGGATGTCGTTGTCGAGATCTTTGTCACCCCAACGATCGACAGCAACTCTACCCCTACTTAGATATTCAAATAGTTCAAACCGCCTCGCTGAATGGTAGAATATATTCCACAATTGACGAATAAGGCCTCATAAGATATGAAGGTCAATTCTAACCCGCATGCTCGACAATCTCGCTGACAAGAGTACCATCTTTGATCACGCTCCTGATCTGTTCAGGGAAGGGCAACTCCTTGCTGTCCTCATCCGTGCCCTCTTTCGGCGGCAATACCACGTTGATGGCACTGCATTTGCTGGTGAACATCTCGGTGCCTAGACTCTCGTTCGACAAATAAATCTGCGCGCCGTCCACCTGATCCAGCAGCAAGGTCGGCACCACTCCGTCGACCTGGACCTGAAATTTGGTGGCTTTGATGACATCCAAGCTTGACACCAGAGAGTCCACCAGTATCGACAGCCCGGCACAGTTGTCGATGGATATAGCATTGGCCTTGCCGGTGACTCTCAGAACACATTTGTTGCAGCGAGATATGAGAATACTCTGATTCAGTTCCGCGGGGATTTCAATGACTTCTGATCCAGTGTTCTCAAAGTTCTCGACAATCCATTTGTTACCGTCAAGCTCTTTCCGACTGGGCTTCTTAGACCTCATGCTGTCGGGCTTCTTATTGGGTAATGGTGATTTGCCACGGCCCGAAGAAGATACCGACGTTTGTGAAGCGGACCGTTGAGGCACCGTCGATCCTGCTCTTAGATTCGGATTCTTGTGCGTCATCTCCGACTTGTCGACCTTCCTTAGCCCTGCCGTGATGGCAGATCCCTGGTTCAGCTGACTGAAAACGGCTGACATGTCCCCAGCCTGCGCACCCCCGCTCGAGGGAGGCAGGGGAGGAGCAGCAGAACCATCATCGTCAAACTTGGGCAGCGGAGGTGGGGGCGGAGGAGGTGGACCTCCAGCAGCGACTGGTGATTTCGCAGCCCCCGTGCCGGCCTGTACCTGCTTGAGGGCCTCAAGAGCATCAACACCATCTTTGTTGTTCCACGTGAGACCGGTAGGAAAGAACTCTTTCACATATGCGGCAAGTGATCGGAAGATCTTGTAGTAGGCTTGGATAAATTCGACATGCGTCTTGTCCCTGTACGGTCCAGAGTTAGTGACGTGCCATCCCATACGTTCGTCGTGTCAAGCATACTTCTCCTTATACTCCTTAAGAATCTTGTTGCCGTAGTATTGAGCGCCTCCGAGAGTATCTGTTACAAAATCGGCAGGTCTCTTCTCAACAATCCATCCTAATGCTACAATGCCTTCGGAAATGGCACTGAGATGGGTGAAGAGTGGGGAGGGACGGTTGGCTTCCCGTATTTCATCCACAGTAGAGGTATATCGATGGAGTTCGGTCATCAATTCCGGTGGTTGCGGGTCGGGCTTTTTGGCTTTCGTGGATACCAGGAGGTATGTCCGTTCGGCCTCGAATGCATCTCTGACAGCTTTGGCCTGTACAAGGAATCAGCATGGCCGTCATCATCTCAAGTCGTGCTATTCTGACCTGTTCTTCCACCAGACCTCCGATCTTCGCTGCAGCTTTCACAAAAGCGTCGACATCTTCTTCGATGATCTTGTCAAAGGCTTCCACAGACTTTGGCAGAGGTTCGGGGGCGAGTGTGGCAGTTTCAGGGGTAGCGCCGGAGGCTGACGACGTGGCTACAGCAGCGCCGGCCAAACCGTTCGTGCTGGAAGCTCCGGGGCCGTCTATGGAGGTTGCAATGTCTTCGAGCCGGGAAGTGGCAGCTTCAAGTCTGGTCAGGCAGAACTGTTAGCCACGTATATTCCAATGGGACATTGACATGTGGACGATTCAGGGCGGGATTGGTTAGGTAGCAATGGTAGGCTGGAACTGAACATACCTCTTAATCAAGGTTGTCAAATTGTGCATGCTATTCCCCGGAGAAGCCATCTTGACAAGGACTGTGAGTAGACTTGGTATCTGGAGAATGGTTCAAGTTCGGGGTGACGAACATACGTCGAATGTTTAAACTGTCCCAAACAGGCATCAAGCGCCTTGGAAACCGCGCGGCACAGCGCGGCAAGCGCATAATTGTGCTTGGAAATTAATGGTCCACCGTACCCACGCGCAGAGGTACAACGCGCTTACACCATGATTCGGCAATCTACCTCTTATCCGTACCAACGAGTTGATCTGATCTGCCCCTACCTACCGGTTTGCAAGATAGCAAGTCGATGTAGTACCTTCATCTCGTTTCGCAGGAATGGATAGACACGAGAAGCGACCAAGGTCAGACAAATTCCCCCTTACCGGGGCCCCGTCACGTGATGCGGCGTTTCTTCCCCCGGTCACGTGGGGCGATCCTTTCTTCAGCCTTGACCACGCGATGCACAGTCTGTCTTCCTCCTCAAGAGGAAAAATGGGAAAACGTTAACGACGACATGATTTGAACTCTCCGCTGCATACCTCGTGTGAAGAGTGTAGCAGGATCAAGGACAATTAAGCGTGCGCGGTCGAGGGAGGCCGTGGCTAGTCTTGACAAGGCTCCGACTGACGCTCACGTTTTCACTACCACACCATTTCTGTCAGAGTCCGGCTGGAATCTCCAGCAAATGGCTGAGGCAAACAGGCCTGATAGGACTGCAGCAAGTGCAGGACAATCATGTCGAGAATGTCGCCGACGCAAAGGAAAATGCGACGGAAAAATGCCCGTGTGCTCGATTTGTCAAAGATATAACCGACATTGCCTCTACGACAAACATAGTAGGTCGTCGTTGACAAGAAAGTGGGTCTCCATAATCACTCTTCCGCATTCCTAACCACAAGCTTACATCAAGTCTGTGATCCAGGCATCTTACAGAAGTCGAGGAACGGCTAGAGAAGGCCGAGGCATTGCTAAGGACGGTCTTCACTGAAGCACAACTGGCTGAGATGTTGGCCCATGGTGCCTCTGCCGGCACCAACCACGCATTCAGAGGAACGAATGCGACTCAATCCGCTTCACAAGGAGCCACTCAAACCATCAATGAGCCTGTTTCTTCAAGTTTCTTTCGCCAAACAGAGCAGAAAACGGACTCCAGCATTCTGCAGCCTGGAGCTGTTGGAGCATCAGCAAATGATGCCCAAGGAACTTCCCTGTCTTTCGAGAGTTTGCCGGCGGCCGAGGATGACTTTGAGTGGGATGAGCGAGAACCGTCATGGGCGATGCCTGATCCTGGGGGCGAGAGCAGCGTCCCCGAAACTGATGCTGAAGCCGATATACCTAGGATTACCGATGGCATGGCCACGCTCACGGCCGATGACTCCAACACCGGCTTTTGGGGTTCAGTATCAGGCGCAGCACTTCTACGGCTAATATGGATGGGCAATGCGATCGAAGCAGGAGACGAGAGACCGGAGCTGAGGAGAGAGCGGCGGAAAAGTCTGGAGCAACTCTTCAAGAAGAGTCCGGAGCAATATGCCTCGTCTCTATCATGGCTGCAGACACAGCCGCTGATCACTCGAGCGGTCGTGGACAACCTGGTCGACGCCTACTTCGCCTTCTACCATCCTACATTTCCCATCTTGCACGAACCGACCTTTAGAGAGCAATATGCCAAACTCAATGGTCGTCCCGGTGGAAGTACAAGCACATGGCATATCTTGGCGAATCTGGTCGCTGCTCTTGGCTCGTTCGTTTCGACAACGTGTTCCGACGACACTCACATTACGTTATTCAACGGCGTCAAGGGCAATCTGACGATAGGGTCGCTGGAAACAGGAAGCTTGAATCTTGTCCAGGCGTTCGCCCTGGCGGCAAACTATTTGCAAAAGAGGAATCGGCCTAACAGCGGCTACAACTATGGAGGTATTGCGCTGCGGATGGCGATCTCTTTGGGTCTTCACAAGGAATTCCATGGCTGGCGGACGACTCCGTTCAAAAAGGAGATCCGACGGCGAGTGTGGTGGTCGTTATGTGTGTTGGATGTTGGAGCCACAGTGACCTACGGCCGGCCGCTCAACTGGCCGCAAGTTGGGGTGGAAACTGCGTTTCCCCTGAACATACACGAAAGGGTTAGTAACATTATCCTCTCAGATGTGCTGTCTGCGCCAAATATTTACAACTGCCAATCTAGGATCTCTCCCCAAGCTCAACCACGGTCCCTCCCGAAGTCAACGAGGCCACCATCTACACTTACATCCGGACGCAATCGTCATATCATCTCCGGACCATACCGATATATAACCGCTTAATATCAAACCCTGTGCCTTCTGCAGGCGAGCTGATTTCTCTCGACGATGAATTGGTGCAAGGCTGGTTGACAAGTCTTCCAGCCTACTACTCTGACCAAGACCTTCCTCTTCCACAAGGATTCTTACTCGGCCACGCCATTGGTCGTTGGCGGTTCCGCCTTCTTCGGATCATCATGTACCGACCATTTTTGATCCGGTGGGCACAGAATGGCTTGGTAGGTTCTGTAAAGTCTTTGGGGACCAGTTCGTCTGGGCCAGGGTCAGCGCCGCCTGCAGAGTCAGTCGCCACGATGCGCTGTTTTCAAGCTGCCGAGGAATGTATTTCGTGCATCTATCAATTCTGGGCGGCGGGAACACACACCAGGCTGGCCGCTTGGTATGTTCTGTAAGTGGAGACCGACCCTAACTTTCCCAGAAATTCTGAAGATGGCTAATTGCGTTCGTCTACAGCTACTTCCTTCTGCAAGCCGCCTTGATTCCCATCCACTGTTTGCGCCGGAATCCTTCTCATCCCGACGCTGCATCGTGGCGCACTCAAGTCCAGACTTCCTTGGACATCATCAATTCCATGATCAACATCAACTTGAACCCAAGCGCGCCCAAATGCCGTGACATTATTTACCGGCTATGCGGCAGCAGTCTTGGACCGCATGGGGCGGCGGCGCAAGCATCTCACATGCAAACACATACACACCCACACTCACAACCACCACAATCGTCGCGACTACACCCACACCCAGAGGTCAATGTCAAGACAGAGGATGATATCACCGTCAACCCGAATTCGAACATGGACTCTTCCTGGCCCACACTATTCCCGACCGCTGGGTTCGCGGCTAACCCGTCCTTTTCCTACTCAGCGTCCGGCACTGGCCCTGGGGCAGCCGCAGACGGCAGCGGTGGCGGAGAAGGCGACCTTATGGATCCCTGGATGGCAGAAGTCGACACCGCAATCGACAACTACGACATCTACTGTGATCGACTAAGCAACGCTGCCATGGCCGGGATGGGATTAGCGCCGCAGTACAATAGCAGCAGTAACAGCGGCCATACTTACGGGGCCCCTGCAGGCGGTAGCGGTAGCGGCGGCGGCGTGGTCGGTGGATCTGGATCTGGATCTGGATCTTTGGATACTAGTATTGCTGACGGCACAGAGATCGGCACAGGTGTGCAGGATTGGGATTGGGGGTTAATCCTGTAGTGCTGTACAGCGTTGTGGTACAAAGTTGGCACACTGGCACATGTGGTCTTACATACTCCTACTGTATAACGTGCATAAAAATTTCAAACTAACGCAACCTCGAAGACCCGAGAATGAAGCTGCCCTGTTCTCGTGCTCGAGGTAAGCTTGATGTGATGCTGTATGAAATTCTATAATACAAATTGAGATCAGAGGGGTTGGGAGGACCTCGTTCCACCCAGAGTACCTTACATACCCAGTCAGTCGACCCTCACTACTCAGGACCGGAGATCAAGATCAACCAGACACCAGATCACCACCCACCCCGGCCTCGTTGGTATGAAAATCCTCCTCTTCAAGCATCTGACACAGCTCATGCGTCGTCCGAAACCTCCCCTTTGTCCAACACGCCTCGATGACGGATCCCAGAAAGACATCGTCCGTAATAATAGCAGGGAGTTTATCTCTGGATGGCCAACCACCGCATTCGTCGGCGATCCCGTCAAAGTCAGCAATCTGTCGCGCACCATTATGAACCACTTCATAGATGACGGCGCCTAGCTCGCAAATATCCGTTGCAAAAGAGAACCCGCACTCTTGTACCGACCAGATATCAGTTTCTAGCGGAAAGATGGACGATGCTCCAAAGTCACAAAAGACAATCGAGCCGTCGGGATGGATGAGCATATTTCTCGATGCGACGTCGACAAACAGGACGCGGCGATCGTGCATTCGAGCCAGTGTACCGGCCATCTGCTTGACCCACTTCAGTTGGTCGGCTCGTGTTCGAGGCACATTGTTACGCTTCAGGTAGCGGTCTAATGTTCCTTCTGGGAGCAGAGGGAGTAAGATGGCCGGGCCGGATAGATCTAGGAATGGCACGATTCCTTCGCAGCCTTGGAGACGTCGATAGATTTGCTTTTCGTGTTCAAGCAGGTCAAGACGGTCGTTGTACTCGTCTTGGTCTGCCGGCGAGTCCGAGTGTCGGTATGGTCGTTTGATGATGATCCCGTAGACGACAATGCCCGAGTTGAGTGAGATTGCGTTATTGGGGAGACTAGTGTCGTGGAGGCCGGAGCCAAATGTACTGGTACTCTCAGACATGTCGGCGGCGGCGACGATTGAAATAAGGGTAGGAGGACCTAGTTAGCATCAAAAGACGACAGTACTTACTTGTAAGGACACCCCTTTTACAGAGAAAATGTTTGGAACGGCTGACATTGACATTCCTTCCTTCGCTAAATAATGACTCTGGTGCGCATATTTGGCACGTGCAGAAGAGCTTCGCTTCGTAACAAGGATTAAGGTGAAACAGTCCTGCTCGACAGGCACAGGGGGCTCCAGGAAACTGGGTGGTGGGAAGGCAGCCACGTAGTTGTGATAATGCGATACAGGATGCGGCAACCTGCAACGGTGTCCAGCCCTCGTAATCTAGACCGTCTGGATCTGCGACAGCCCGAAGGAGAACACCAGTAATAACAGCAGCAAAGGAAATGTGTCAAGGATCTATGGGATCAGAACGGATGGACATGGATCATACTGTAATAAGCTGGCCAAAGTGCAGACACTGCCACTGCTTGGTGGCACAATTGATTCTCCCCCTGATCATGCAAAAGACGGGCCCGGGGACCGAGCCTACCTAGGTTGTCACGTAGGTATATATGCAAGTGCTGGCGTTGATATGGGCATCGAGTTACGTACCTAGGTAGTATCAGGGTACGCATTTCCTCGGATATTGTCTGCCAATGAAGTGTGGAAATATGCGCGAGCATTGGTTACTTAGACCAGTTATTATTGTTCTGGGGAATATAAATCTTTGAAAATGGTCGTGATCACTGGATAAGACAACCACATATGCACACATCGCGTCAACACATACCTACCTAGGTAGAATGCACCCACATAAGCTGCGTGGCCATGCCGGACCCATTGATGCCTCTGCCTCTGCCATTGCCCCTGCCTCTGACCCCGTTCCATGCATTAGCACAGCAAGCATAGGTACCTACACATCCCCCTTCCATTCAGCGCAGCACCATACCATAGCCCGGTTCTCTCTGGGATCATAAGCCGAAAACCATCGACCATTCCATTCAGACCAAAAACCTGAATCCCTTAGCCGCAGCCTCGGCCGGAACAGCCTCACCAGCCGCCAACAGACTTGCTCTCCGATGCTCCTCCCCATCTTTGTTGGCCGCGGCAGCATTGTTATTGCTATTAATCGCCCCCTCGACAAACTCTCCGCGATCCAACTTCCTATTCAACCTGACCAACATGAACCTCAAGATCGTCGCAAAAATCAACGCAATCGCCGCCGTGGCACAGCACAACGACATGGCCAGAATATACCTCGGCCCCGCCGACTTGGGATACATATAACTGGCAAAAATAGAACTGGTATTCGAAACGGCATTGATGGCCGCAATCGCAGCAGCTCTCTTGGCCGCCGGTCGAGGCAACGTATTCGAGATCCAAGCCAGACAGACCACATAACCCGAGTAAATGCCCGGAATCATGAGCATCATGGCAATATACCGTGGTGCCGTGGCGGTAGTTGCAGCAGCAAGAATGAATGCCAGGACGGCGAAATACAATGGGCCAGTGATGTGGAAATATCGTTCGCCCGTACGGTCGGCGTGCCAGGCGTTGATGAAGGTTGTGATGACGGCCAGGACGTATGGTGGACAAGTCAACAACAGAGAATTGATCTTGGAGTAGCCTAGTGTTTCGACCACGGTCGGGAAGAAGTTGGTCACGCTGCCGCTGAAGACGATGCAGAAGAGGATGATCATCTGTAGGTACCAGTTAGTTTGTGCGTGTCTTTGAGGGGGGGAGAAACGGCTTGCGTACCAAAATCCACATCTTGATATCCTGCGCCGCCAATTTCGCACCATGCAGAAACGACTGGTGCTCACTGTCGACCCAGTCGTCTTCACCGATATCTTCCTCGAGACGCCATGCCGCAAGGGTCTTTTCCTCTTCGCTCAGCCAGGGCGTGGTACGTGGGAAATTCGGCAGAATGAAATAAGCGATGAACGCGACTCCGATGGTGATTGATCCCTCAACGATGAACAGCCATCGCCAGGCTCGGAGGCCGTGAACGCCGTCAAGACCTTCGGTGATGCCGGCGGCGATGAGTCCAGAAAAGGCGCCGGACATCAATGAGCCGGAATACAACAAGGCGGTGCGGAAGCCTAGTTCTTTGCGTGTGTACCTATACAACAACATCCGTTAGCAAAACCAGACCACTCTTGCTTTCACTTTGCTTCGCCGAGACGAATCCAGTTGCGGTTGCACTTACCAGATGGACAAATAGTATAGACAACCCGGAAAGTAAGCAGCCTCGACGAAACCGAGGAAGAACCGGACAGCAATCAATCCGCCGAACGATTGAACGCCTGCGGTGGCTGTCGAAATGATACCCCAGACGACCATTGCCCCAGACAAGTAAATTGCCGGCTTGCCAAACTTGTTCAAAAACAAATTTGAGGGCACCTGCATCAGCAAGTAACCGATGAAAAGAATCGACACCGCAGTCTGGTATTGGGTGCCATGGAGTTTGAGTTCGTCTTCGAGACCTGCGAGACGGGCGGCTGCAATGTTGTTTCGGTCGAGGTAGTTTAACTGGATTCAACACGTTAGATTTCGAATCTTCTGGCGATAAGCTCCCAAACGGTCAGGGACCTACAATGTAGATGATGATGACGGTGGGAATCAAGCGAATGTCGATCTTGCGAACGAGAGCCTTTTCGGCGGCGGCACGTTGCTCGGGAGTCAGAGACTGGATGTATGCTGGTGCTTCGGCTCTTTTTCTGGTGGCTACAAATTCGGCATTCTCGACGTTTTGCTTGATCGACAGGGTTGACACATTGTCTGGGATTTCTTTCACGTCCGCCATTGTGGGAGTTCTCGCAGGGCTTGACTGGTACTTCCGGCAAGGGGGATGTTAGGGCTGGCGGTGGTAAACTCTTGAACAAGGAAAAACTTCGTTCCACGGGCAGGCCAGAGATTAAAAGCAGACACAAAAACCAGGAGCAAAATCAGGAGCCAAATCAGGAGCCAAAACCAGGAGCAAGACTTTAAACAAAACAAACTGGATCCAAAGCCCAGGTTTTTGATAGATTCTGGAAGCTGCCCGTGGGGAACGGAGTCCGCCCGACAGCTGATCAGGCGCGTGTTGTACACGATACCGACACTCGGACTTGCACCGATGGACTTTTGACGTGGTGGCGATGCTAGTGTAGACATAAATATATATGGTCATCCGGGCGGTTTGCCATTTTCAATTGTAACCCAGCCCACATTAACCCACAAACCCCCTTCTGACTGGATCCGGGGAATCCTTCATTACTAACGTCGGGCGAAACTCGCCCGGTAAAAGCATGAGAAGTTCACATGCCGGTATATAGAAACGGATAAAATGGACCTTCAATCCTCAATCATTCGACCTTTGGATATGGGTGCTGATGTAGAGTCGGCATAAGCTTTTCAGCGTGGGACGTGGGATAAATTTGCATGCATGTGTGCATGCATGCCTCAGATGAGCCTAGGTCAAACATAGACAAAGCTTGGGGACAATCGGGGAACGGGGTAACCCCCGTGCTCCACAACAGGGCGACAGTCGACCTTGCCCTAGGGCCCGTTCCAGAAAGTCGCCGGTGTGATCTTCGAAAATCTGCAGGTGATGCGCACATTGACAAGGACGGCCAAGGCTTCGGCAGTGCTGGACTCGCTTAACCCCTGCTTTAGTACCATGGTATTGACATACCGTTGGACCATGTGCTCCCGGATGTCCGGATGTAAGTGGGTGCGGTCCGAGAATTTCCCGAGGCCGTCCGCTTAGTGTCGGCATTTCTCCCACAGAACGTCTGTGCAAAAGGGTCTCCTATTTCGGCGCGGGGGTTGTACTGTTGTAAAAAACGGTCTGGTCGGCACATTTTGTGGACTTCTCCATATGGATCAACCTGGGGCACGAGGTGTCCATGGAGAGGAGATTCCAAAACCGGTCGATAGAAAGACGTCGCCCTCGTTCAGCACATCCGGCCATGGATCAATCGTCCCCTCTGGATAGCTTGCGAAATCCATGGCAACTTCGTCGTGCACTGCAAAACCTTTGTCCAGGTCGAATGGTTCAAATGCAGCATAACTATGGTTCTGTTCAGGTAACGTCGGTGCAGGAACTATAGGTTCATTTGTTGGCACCGGGAGCAGTTGCAGTTGCGGGGCATCGTCGCTCGTCACAGTTGGTCGTCGAGGCGGTGGTAATTCGTTCAACGATTTGGGCCTTGCGGCATCTGACAGCCAACCATAATCAAGAAGGTTCCAAATTGTGTCGAGATCGGGATCATGGACATATTGGTCGTTCGGCGTCGTCGTCACCAACGCTCTTGCCGATGAAGGATTTGGTTCGAACGCTATAAGGGCGGTGGCCTTAAGACATGGGTTAGCTCACGAGGTATTAAGTGAGGTATGTAAGTGAGGTGTGTAAAGTGGTGGTGGACATACTATGCGTAAGTAATGCTCCCAGACATTCTTTCCGCTGTCAAGAAAGTCGAGTGAATAGTCAAAGAATTGCTGTGCCGTTCTTCGCGTCCATTCGTCGTCATGATGCATGAAGAGTCTGTGGATCGTGCCAGCCACCAGGGAAGCATAAGCGTAAAAGCTAGTCAGGTTGAATCCTTGCTTCTGTATCACACGCAGGGTGACAGTTAACTGGTAGGCATGCTCCAGACTGCGCCGAAGGGCCTCTCGCAGAAAGCTTGGAGAGTATCTCCCCTTGCAGGAATCTAACCGTTTCCGGAGAAGAAACGGATGGTGTAGCAAACATTGATTCATATGATACATTATCGTGGAAAACGCGAGGTGGCCCGCGGCTGAATGGTCATGCACTCCGTCCGGCCCCACGAACCGGGCAATCGTACTGGAGAACGACACTCTCGTGATTTCGGAATGGGCTTCGAAGTTTAGTAACATGCTGTAGATGGCTGCAAAATCACTGCGCGAGTCCCAGGGCGGAAACTTGTCTTTTAAGCTTTGATGTTGTAACGAGTGTCTCTCGATACGACCCAACACTGAGGCCATGAGAATGGTTTGCGGGAAAGGGTCCATATTCGGGTTGGTACCGTAGCCGGAAATTTCGAATAATGTCCTCAAATCAGGCATTGTTGACGATTCGGTCTCGTTCGCTGGTGTCATGTCTGAGGCCAGAGGTATGGAACAGTCGATATCTGATATCGTGGGTGGCCGTCCAGTGCCGCACGACACCAGTCGGTCCAGTAGGTACATGGACCAAAAGGTTAGTCGTCGCTCATCTTGCTGCTCTGGAGTATAGTGACTTGGTATCACAGAGCCGAGCTCTAGACTCTGTGCAAATCGCACCGCTAGTCCGACCTTTTGCCATCCAAGTTTTGGTCGACCAGCTATGGAAGAGGTCAGCAACAGTCGGGCGGAAAAGGGATTAAATCGTACTGGTAAAGTCGATTATGGCCAACATGTTAGTCGCTTGCACGGCATGAATGTCAAGCACATAGTCCTCCGAGAAAGACTTTTCAAAGATTTCGGTCCAGGCCGTTCGTGCATATCCATCAACAAGTTCTGTCTGCCGACGCTCGAAATAAGGGTCTGATGAGAAACGCACTGCCAGAGAAATCATGGCCAGTAGCAGGTACTCGGGAATCTCGCCGTTGTCCAGCATCCACCAGAAATATTCTGGACGGAAAAAGGCATAGGGCTGGTTATGACAACGAGCGAAGTACGTCTGCAAAACTGATCGGAGCACCGGTTCTGGCGGTAATTGCATGGCCTTTCTAGTCAAGGTTAGAACAGCGATGAGAAGTTGGATAGAGTGTTAGAGTGCTTACCTCGCAGTATCGGATGCCCGACCCTGTGAGCCTTGACTATTGACGGAATGGGCCTCTGGGGAGACGGAATCGTCCTGTGCTGAGGTGCGTCGTTTCTTGGACGGGACATAGCCGTCGGTGGCCAACAAGGGAGCGCTGTTCATGTGTAAGTATGCGACCGATCACCTCGACTGTATTCACTCACTCATTGCCACCAGAGTTGAGGAGACTCAGCTTCGACTCCAAAAGCGCCACTCTAGCTGCCAGATTGATGTTCTGGTCTGGTTAGACGAAGAGCCAGTGTCGAGAACGGGCCATTTCTTACACTTGCGCTCAATGCCGCGGTGGAGATTTCGTCCCAAAGACATTCCTGCTTGAGTCGGGCGCAGAACGAGCAGACCGGTTTCTCACCGGAGCATCTTGTCTTCTTGCGCCTGAAGGTTGATTAATATGCGTCGTCAAGGCCGCGAGCCCCACGTACCTGCAATTCTGACAAGCTTGCCGCACGCGCTTGGGCTCGCGCAGTTCGGTCATGATTGTGAATGCATACAGTCTGGTATCTGCATCTGTTCAATGCGAGGCATGAGCAGGCACAGGGAACATGTAGAGTGTGTAGTGTCTTGAAGTTGAATTGAAGAAACGGGAGCAAGTTCGGAGAAGGTCGAGGACCAGCCTTAGAAGTGGGGACCAATAACAGGGAACTTGATTGATTGATGAATCCAAACGAGAGGTTCAACTCGAAAGGTTCAAGACCCGCGGGGTTCGAGGCAAGTTCGGGGCACTGCAGCCTTGGCACCATCACATGACTCGAGGTCTGAGTCTGCTTCAAGTTCAAGTTTCTCGACCAACTTGAACCCTTCTCCTTCGTTGTCTGACTGGATCGACTAGTGCTGTTCAAGCAACATCATGATGTTGGCTGGGTCACCTTCAGGTGTGCTTTCTGTCTTCTAATGAAGAGCAAATACACATGACGATAGATGCGCGCTGTCATTGCCAGTGACCGAGGTGTTCAAGTTCTTTCACGTTGTGAGCGAAGCTGAGGTAAGCTCAGGCAGTGAAAGCACTAGACCACATGCGGCTTAGCGCTGTTCATGAATCAGCGTCTTCTCATTCGTCGAAATGCAGTCGACTTCGCAGACCGACACTGCATGTCTCTCGGCTCACGCAGGGTACCACGCAAGGTGCTGCCAGTGTGTGCTGAAGCAATACTACCTAGGTAGTAGTACTCATCGTCAAAAAAGAGAGCTATCCGGTACAACAACTTTGTCTTCCCACCTGCCGGCTGCGTGGGCCCATTTCACATTCCGAGGTGACAGACATGTACTAACAACATCATGGTCAAGTTCAAGTTGTCCTGTACTGATAACATGATCGTATTCAACTTGTACTGGCTATAACTTCGCTTTGAGGGCATCGTCCTTGGACTCCCCAGTCATCCTCGCGTCCCAATCCACCGCCTTGACACCCTTTTGCAACTGCCCAACACCATATGCAGCCTCAGCATCCGGGGCCATCATTTGATCAAAGTTCTTCTTGATGCCCTCCAACTGCGCGGCTTCTCCAGCATGGGCCCAAGCCAGCTGGATGAGATCTTTACACATGGTGCTGGCTTTGGGCGCAGATCCCCTGAGCTCAGTAAGATATTGGTCCAGCACTTTTGTCATGGCGTTGCCATCGTCTGCCACTTTTGCAACCACACCACGCGCGGCGAGCTCTTCTGCCGACACCTGACGTCCCGACAACATGGCCTCTCTTGAAAAGGCAAACCCCCATTCTCTAATGACATACTTGGAGATGGTGGCCGGACACAACCCCAACCGCACTTCGCTCAATTTTACCCAGGCCGAACGGACAGCTATCCGGACATCGCACGCAAAAGCCAAGCCGACGCCACCGCCAAAGGCCGGGCCTTGCACACAGGCAATTGTCACCTGTGGCGCGCGATCAATAGCCTCAAACAACTTGGTCAGGATCTGATATTGTATTTCGGTCGATGAACCGCCTTTCGAGACACGGGTGCCCTTGGCACTGAGATCCATCCCCGTGCAGAAGTATTTCCCGTTGGCCGCAATAACAATACGCGAGATGGCCGGGTGATTGGTGGCTGCATGCTCAAAAAAGTTTGTCAACTTCTCAATCATGGTGCTTGTCAAAGCATTGCCGTTCTTAGGTCGGTTGAGGGTGATTTTGATGTTGACCCCGGACTTTTGCACCAAGAGTTCGTCGTCCGCACTGCTTTGGCCCACGTTTTCCCAAGTCAAAGCTGGCGAGGGTTTACTGGTCGCTTTCTTCGGACCTCCTAGTTTCAATCCCTTCTTCACAGCCAATGCCTTTCCAGCCCGGCTCTCATTTTCTCTGCTCAACATACTCGACACCCAAACGCCAGTTTCCACAAGTGCATCCAGATCCACGCCTGTCGATATTCCGGCTTGATGGAATAAATACACCAAATCCTCGGTAGCAACATTACCTTTCGCCCCGGGGGCATACGGACATCCTCCCAGACCTGCAATGCTACTATCAAACACTCTCACTCCACATTCATACGCAGCCCAGACATTCGAGACTGCTTGGCCATAAGTATCATGAAAATGTCCCGCCAGAGCATGCACTGAAATCCCCGATGAAACCAGATAGTTAATCAAACTCTTAGTTTTGGCCGCAACACCAACGCCCAAAGTATCGCCCAGACTGACTTCGTAGCAGCCCGCATCCAACAGACGCCTGACGCAGCGCAGCACGGCTTCAGGCGGCGTAGGTCCATCGTACGGACAGGCAAAAATAGACGAGACGTACCCTCGCACTTGCACACCCTGCTGCAGTGCCTTTCGAGCGACCGCTTCTGCACGTTGCAAGCCCTCTTCAACCGTGCAGTTCGTGTTTGCTTTGCTGAACCCTTCGCTTGCGCTGACAAAGACGGCGACCTCTCGGACTTTGTGTTGCACTGCAATGTCGAGACCTTTGAGGTTCGGCACCAGCACCGGAAGCCGTAGAGATTGATCGGGCAACAATGCACCAACTTCCGGGTTTGAGAGGACATTTCGACAATCTGCCAATTGCGGTATCGCTTTGGGAGAGACCACGGATGTCAGTTCGATGGTGCGCAGATTCGTCGCGTACAGCCGTTTAATCATTTCAATCTTGACGGCCGTGGGGACATTGCGTGGGAAATTCTGTAGTCCATCGCGGGGGCCGACTTCGACTATTCGCACGGCACTGCCATCGCGAGGCTGAGCCTGGGTGTGGCTGTTGAGAACAGCCATCTAGATAGATTATAGGTATGGTCTTCCCAGTATTGTATCGTCGCAGGCCGGTCGGGGCTATTCCAATAGGTCGAAACTCGGCTTCTCAATAAGTTCGTCCTTTCAACACTGCAGTGCAGCAATGATAGCGATTGACGTGATGTGATGCAACGCTGTTGTCACCAAGCCACTGGATTGTTGTGGAATAAATGGTATCACCGTCGTCTATCCGATTCTTCCTGTACAATCTCCTGGCGATTTGTCGCGGCAAGCTAGACCTCTAATAAACCCTCGGGTTCGGCGCGCCGAGGTGTATTGTAGATATGCGCGAGGACGTTTGTTTACCTGTATCCAAACCGATAATCGCAAAGAATGCAATGTAATGTGAACAATAATGTCGAAAGCCCAATGTAGTAGTAAACGTGATGGTGCCGACAGCAACGTCAAAGGTAGGTATCGTCGAAAGGCTTGAAGTCAAGTTCGGTCCTCCCCGCGTGACGCCGCGGCCGGCGTCAAGTTGCAGTGGGTGTTGCAATCGCAGCTTCGGGCTCTCCCTAGGTAGGTAGCTAGGATACCCCACAGAAATTGTCTTCTTCAATCCCACAAGGGTCGAGGCCCGGTTTGGCTACCAGCCGTGCCCATGGAGTTCAACAACAACAACAACTTTCGATGTGATTCGAATCTCCGGGCCCGTGTCGAAACAGCTGGAAACATGGATCGACCGACGAATCTGAAAGTTGAGGCGGGGAGACACTTTGGAAGTGGATGGTTCCCCGGCCGGGCTTGAGGTGGGTGGCTGAGGCTGGCGAATTGGCGCGGTCTCCAGGTGGGTGGGCACGGAGAACGGGCCGACGACAACATTCCAGTGGTACGGAGGAGGCTGAGATTAGCACTCTTGGTTTTACAACACTGTACAGGACCTCCGGCTACATGTAGGTACCCATTGTAAGGTAGGTAAGCAAGGCTCGCTTTGGTGTTAGTATACAAGGCTAAGGCTGTGAGATATACAGTACTATTGGAGTTATGCTGTACTGTACTGCTCTGCTTCGAAGCAACTTTAGCATGACTGGTGCTGATCAGGTCAGTAGTTGTAGACGCTACAATATTTTTGATTTCACATCCTTCAGGTTCAAGTCGTGTACTAAAAATCCTATCCAGACAGGCCAGACGGAGGCAGACTTGATATGGAATCGTAGGCATTGTTTTGAAAAGAGAAGCCCACGCATGACCCATGGTGACAACAATGATCGTATACATGTATATACGTACGTAGGTAGATACTTATACGATAACCACACTACATCCTCGCCAAAGCCCGATGCGCCTCAGCCCCCTCAATCGGAGCATTATTCACAATCTCCAAACACATGCCCAGCACATCCCTCGTATCACGGGGATCAATGATCCCATCATCCAACAAGACCGAACTCGTTCGATAACACTCGCTATCTCTCTGGACACCATCCCTGAACTTGTTGACTCTTGCATCAATATCCTTGGGGTCCAATTTGACACCTTTTGCCTTTGCACTGTTCGTCTCGACAGTCCTCATAACACCAGACAACTGATCGGGACCCATGACGCTGCATCGACCAATGGGCCAAGTAAACAGGAATCTTGGCCTATAGGCACGACCACACATGGCGTAGTTGCCCGCGCCGTACGAGGCGCCCAGAATCACCGAGATGTGCGGCACCGTCGAGCAGCTGACTGCGGACACGAACTGGGCGCCCTTCTTGATAATGGCCGAGTGTTCGGCTTTCGATCCGACCATGAACCCGGTCACGTTGTGGAGGAAAACAATCGGTGTTCGTTGCTGGTTGCATAGTCGGATGAATTGGGCGCCCTTGGATGCCTCGTCCGCGTGGATCACCGGTGTTTGGTTCGCGATGATTGCTGTCGGGATCCCCTGGATACGCGTGAATGCCGTCAACAAATTGCGGCCGTACTCGGGCTTGAAAAACAACAGGCGTGAGTCGTCGACGATCCGGAGCAAAACTTCGCGCATGTCGAATGGTTTGCGGATGTCTGGGTTGACTAGTGATAGAATCTCTTCGGCTGGGTATCGAGGTGATAGAGGAGGTGAGATTTGGCGTGGTAGGAGGAGCGTTGAGTCGTCGAGGGTTAGGACCCAGTCTCGGGCTTTGCGGACTGCGTCGAATCTGTAGCAGAAGGATTGTTAGTCAAAGGTGTTTCGTTTCCTGCACCAGGGACTTCTGGTTGTGCATCCTGGTGGTGTTGAGGGGGAGGGTGACCGTGCGGCTGGTGATAACAGTATAATGATGGCACGATGAATGGAGAACGGTCATAGAAGCGAAATCTGGACCAAATATCAACTTACTCGTCCATGGCAATTTGGTCCGCCAACCCAGTGACTGAACCATGAATCGATGCACCGCCCAATGACTCAGCATCGATAACTTCGCCTGTTGCCATCTTGACCAGCGGCGGTCCTCCCAGAAACACTTGCGCCTGATCCTTGACAAAGATGGTATAATCCGACAGGGCCGGGTCATATGCGCCCCCTGCCGTTGACGAGCCGAACACGACCGAACACGTCGGTTTGCCATTTCGGCTGCGCAGTGCCAGGTCGCGGAATAATTGGCCTCCTTTATGGAACACTTTGAATTGCTGAGGGAGAAATACGCCGGCCTAAAACAATATGGTCAGTCATCGCTGGACTCTCATATCTGCCATTCCACGCAGAACAATACGTACTGATTGGATCAGGGCGATTATGGGTAAATTATTCTCGTTGGCAATTTCGGTCACTCGGTTTTGTTTCAACACTGCCAGCCTTCCGTTAGTACCCGGCTCAAGAACCACTGGCAAAGTATGCCGGCATAGCAGTGTATGTGGTAGTACTATACCTGTATATTCATTCCAGGCACCTCCGCTCTGCGACGGGACGTGCGATCGAATCAGGCACAATCTCCCGCTTTTCAGGGCTTGTCAGTATTGGCGTTCGTATGAACTGAAAAGCAAACCCAATGTGGGCTGGAATATAGGCCAACTCACCAGACGCTCCCTATCCCCGCGATGAGACTCGCACATGGACTTGAATCTTTCAAGCCGAAGCCGGCGAAAGAACATAATTCGAGAAACGGGGTGTCGGGATCCAACAACAAGCTGATCCGGTCGCGAGCTGTAAGAGGACAGTTAGAATTGAGTTTTTGTCTTTTTGGGCCCGTTCAAGCTGTGCCATAGATGAACGAATGCCTGAAACATACCCAGCAGTTGGCCCCGTGCTTGATGACGCTTCAGGGAAATCTCAGTCCCTTCGGACGTCGTCGCTTGCAGATTCTTCTCGTACTGTTCCAGAACCGGCGCCCAGGCATCGCGGTTGGCCTTGCTTTGAGCGTCGAGACTGTTGGGTTTGGACTCGATGGCCGGAAACGCGTCGATGGTCGTCATTATGGCTGACAACAAGATGGAAGGATAAGGGAATCAAGACGACAAAAACAACTCCAGCCCTCCAGAGTAAGCGGTGGCCTCTTCACTTTGACAACACAGCGCTCCCAGCAGTCTATCGGCAGATATCTGTGTTGTAGTAATGCGGCTGTCCAAGGTCGCTGGTGTCCTTAGCGCCATACAATGTTCAAGTTGTACAGGAAAAATGGCGAGGACCCAAGCTCCGAGGCTGAGCGGAACTGAAGTGACGCTGGCAGGGAACGGACCCCAGGCGGGGCGACTGGTCCTGGTCCTGGTAACCGTCCCCAGAACTTTTGAGTGTTCGAAACCCGCGCGGCCCACTTCACCAGCCCGGCCCGGGGCCGATCGACCACTCCTCGTCCCAACTTCAGTGGTGCATCGGCCACAACTACTGGCACCTCGATTCCACTTCAGGGCCAAGCTGAGGGAAGGCCGGGGAACCTTGAAGCTCATACGCCAGCCTTGATCCTGCAGGGCGTCTAGAAACAAAAAGATAATTCTTGTTGTCGTCGCAGGCTTGTGTGTGTGCCAGTGTGACTCGGACGCCCTCGCCCACCGTCGTTGATCCTTGTGCCCGGGGTCGGTCCAGGACTTTCTTTTTGTCGTTTGTCTCTTGATATCATATCGTGGTCGCTCTCTTTACCGTCAAAATGGCCACCAGTTCCAGCAGCAACACGTCGAAACCAAGTTCGACTTCGGCATCACTGTCATTATTACACGGGCCCAAAACACCACCTCTATCAACCCAAACACTGCGCGAGTTGATCGACGAACAAGCCAGCAAAAATGGCAGCCGAGTCGCATGCGTCTTCTCCTGGCAGAACCACAACATGACCTTCCAGCATCTAGCGGAGCGGAGCAAACTGCTGGCGAAAGCCATGCTGGAAGCCGGCCTGAAACACGGCGATTGCGTCGGCATCATGGCGGGCAATCGCTACGAGTACATTGAGACCCTGTTGGGCGCCGCGCGCATCGGGTGTCCTTTTGTCGTGTTTAACAATACGTATACGGCGCCGGAACTGTGTGCTGCGCTGAAAGTCAGTGGTGAGTAGACCCAAATACCGTCTCTCTGCCTCTCTCCTCCCAGTTTCAAGGCATTTCTTGGTGGAAAGATACTAAAAGTCCAATCTAGCATGCAAACTGGTATTCCTAGCACGGAACATTGGCAAAAAGTCACTATCACCACACATCCAAGCGGCATGTGGCAACGACGAGGGCCTATCAGAACTGAAACGAGTGGTTCTTCTTTCGACAGACAACCCAACAGATATCTCCTTCAACTCATCAGTGCGAGAAACGCAACTATACAAAGCGTTCGCCGACAACGGCAACTCCATCTTCATGAACGACGCCACTTTGCGACGAGCAGAACGCAAAGTCAAGAACAGCGACGTGCTCAATCTCCAATTCACGTCCGGAACCACGGGGGCACCGAAAGCAGCGATGCTGACACACTTCAATTTGATTAATGACGCACGGTTTTTCGGCGACGGACTCCATTTGACACCGGAGGACGTGGTGTGCTGCCCGCCGCCACTGTTCCATTGTTTCGGATTGGTGATGGGGTTCTTGGGCTCATACACGCATTCCAGCACGATTGTGTTCCCCTGCGACCAATTCGACGCCGATCTGGTGCTGGACGCTCTGGTCAAATACAAGTGTACGGCCCTGCTGAGCGTGCCGACCATGTTTATCGCGGAGATGGAAGCGAACCGGAAAAAGGGGTACAAGATCGACACGTTGCGCGTCGGATTGGCCGCGGGCTCGACCGTCCCCGCGCCATTGATGAAGGAGTTACAGCGCGAATTGGGCGTGCAAAAGACTTTGATTGCTTACGGTATGACTGAGACCAGTCCCGTCACGTTCATGACTCCTCTCGAAGACCCGGATGAACTGCGCGCTACTACTGTTGGTAAGATTTTCCCTCACACTTCGGCAAAGATCATCGACAAGAATGGCGATATCGTGCCTCGGGGAGTTCCTGGCGAGCTGTGCACGGCCGGCTTTGCTTTGCAAAAGGGATACTGGCGCAATGAAGAAAAGACCGCAGAGGCTATGAAAGTGCACAAGGATGGCATTCGCTGGATGCATACTGGTGATGAATGTGTCATTACTGAAGATGGTCATTGTGTCGTTACGGGTAGGATCAAGGATTTGATTATCAGAGGTATGTTGTAAACATCCACAAATGTGTATGTATATTCATTTTGCGACAAATGCTGACTCACGCACTCCAGGCGGCGAAAATATCTCTCCCGTCGAAATCGAAGATCGACTCCTGGAGCACGAAGCCATCGCCGAGGCATCTGTTGTTGGAATCAAAGACACGCGATACGGAGAGGTGGTCGGCTGCTTTCTGAGACTGCACAACGAGGTCCCGCGGCGGCCGAACCAGTCGGAGATCTTCCAGTGGTGCAGACAGCGGTTGGGATCGCATAAGGCGCCCCAATATGTCTTTTGGATCGGTGATCCAGGCGTCGGAGAGGACTTCCCAAAGACCGGCAGCGGCAAGCACCAGAAGCATAAGCTGCGAGATTTGGGGAACAAGTTGGTCGAGGGCAAGAAGCCAGAGTTGAAGGCAAAGTTATAGTCGTAAATAGATCATATACAAGGTTGGACACACTACTACAACGTTGTAGAGCACTGGAGAGAAGGGATCATTCAGATGTTGAACGCCCATCAGAGTCATCTTGTCGGCACCTGACCTGTCGTGTGTGCAGCATCGAGTAGAATAGTGCGCCTGCAGCCTTGCCGGGTTGGGGACACTTCATTTGGTAGTCAAAGCGAGATGAAGATCGTAATCGCCTGTCTTGTTGCCTTGGTTCGGCGGCAACACGATCGCCAGCGAAAATGTGATCTGTCTGCATCGCAACGACAAATGACTCGTCACACCGTGGTTTGAAGCATCTGGTTGCTCCCAGGCTAAGGTGAACCCTAGAATCTGAATCTTGTACTACTGCACAAGACATCAGCGGCTGATTTGGCCTTGTCTAACGGTGGGCAGTGACGGTTGACGAGGAACCCTGGAGAACCTTTGCGAAAGCCACCTTGCGCTGGAGACGGCCGAGGCTGAGCCGCACGGGGCACTGGCAATGGCAATGCACGGCAAAGTGGGAGTCGCCGGACCGGGCCCACTTGTCCTCAACCTGGGGGATTAGGAGGACCTGGCATGGGAGTAGCCCGTCAAACCAGCCGATTGGCGGGGACGCTCCCCTTCCCTCGCTGGAACCCATCTTGAAAGATATGGGGAACTTGAAGCCGGTTGCTCGCCGTACATGATCCCAGTCCCAGACCTAATCGTACCTAACGTTACTCTGCAACAACATACAACCTTATTGAGAGGAGGCCAACTGTTACTGTCTTGCGCGTTTCTTGCTGGAAAGAATATCTGCTGCACTGGTGAAAGGTTATTCACGTCGTTGCTGCAAAACAGAGACACCGACAGCATGGTAATCCGGCCGCCGTTGTTCGTGGCACCTCTGCCACGGGACGAGAACGGCCAACCCAAAATCAAAAAAGTCCTCATCGCCAACCGAGGAGAGATTGCATGCCGAGTGGTCGCGACGTGCAGGAAGCTGAACATTCAGTCTGTGGCGATCTATGCTGAAGAGTAAGTTCAACCTTAAGCCTTTTAGCCCAGCCCAACCAGCGACAGCAGCAGTGACGGGGGCACAACAAGCAGCCAAGTCGCGCTCCAATCAATCAATCTGTTGCAATTTATACTGACAAGGCCTAGGGATTCACTATCGCGACATGTCGAAGTTGCCGACGAAGCAGTTTGCGTAGGAAGCATCCAGCAAGAAAGCGGTAATCCATTCCTGAACATCAAGCTGCTAGTGGATGTGGCGCTGTCAGTAGGCGCGGACGCTGTGCATCCGGGATATGGCTATCTCAGCGAAAACGGCGAGTTCGCAGATGCCGTACGGAACGCCGGATTGATCTTCATCGGGCCCAGCTCCAAAGCCATGTCAACTCTGGGAGACAAACGAACGTCCAAGGACTACTTGCGCAAGCACGAGCCGAGCGTTCCCCTGATTCCCGGATTCACAGGGTCAAGTCAGAACGTGGAAGACCTAGAAGCCGCCGCCGAGGAGATTGGGTTTCCGGTGATGCTGAAAGCGTCCGCTGGGGGCGGCGGGCGTGGAATGCGGATTGTGCATGAACGGTCGAAACTCAGAGGCGAACTGCAGAGCGCGCGGTCCGAAGCCGAGAGATCGTTTGGGTCCAGCGACTGCATTTTGGAGAAATATATCGAGGCCGGCAAGCATATCGAGGTCCAGATCATGGGAGACTCGTATGGAAACGTCTTGTCCCTGTGGGAGCGCGAATGCTCCGTGCAACGTCGACATCAGAAGATCATTGAGGAAACGCCGTCTCCGTTCCTGGACGCCAAAACTCGCAAGAGTCTGTGTGAGACGGCCGTCAAGATTGGGAAACTGTTGGGTTACGAAGGAGCCGGCACGGTCGAGTTCGTTGTCGATGTCAAGGACAGTCGCTTTTACTTTCTAGAAGTCAACACTAGACTACAGGTCGAGCATCCCATCACCGAAGAGGTGACGGGCTTGGACGCCGTTTCGCTACAATTGTACGCCGCGGCAGGAGGTCGGTTTACTGATTTGCCGGAGCTCAACCAAATCCCCCAGAAGGGCCACGCCATTGAATGTCGGCTCTGTGCTGAAGATCCGCAGCGTAACTTCATGCCCGAACACGGCATGGTACGTCTTTGGAAGCCGTATGTGGCGGCATCATCAGAGGAGGCAAGAGATATCCGATACGAGACAGCCATGCGGACGGGAACCGAGGTGTCGATTTATTTCGATTCCATGATTGCCAAAATCATCGTATGGGCGCCGACTCGCGCCGAGGCCGTCGAGAAAATGGCCCGCGTCATGGCCAATACGGCCTGTGTTGGCGTCAAGACCAACCAGCTGTTTCTGCAGAGTTGTCTCTTGCACCCGGAATTCCGAAGCAATCCCGCCTACACCACCTCGTTCATCCCCAACAACCTTGGAGAGCTGCTCAAACCTCCGTACTCTTTAGGTCCGGGATTTGACGAGAACTCGGTTCTTTCCGTGGTCACCGCGTCGTTCTTGCGAGACGAGTTTGCGCTGTCCAATACCAACACCAAAACACCGTTCAGGAATGTGCGCAAGGCCTTCAAGAACCAGCGCTTTGACCCGGTCAACGTCAGCTCCAGGATCGTGAAACGGATCCAGTCACATGGCAATGAACAACCGCTCCTGGTCGTCTGGAAACCGTCCTCTGATAACCAACAAAACAACACAAAGAACAATATTGCTGTCATCCCACTGGAGGAAAAGACCATCGACCCCAACTCCAGCAATAGCAAGGACCAAAAGGACAAATCTCCCGCTCTCGAGGTGTCGGCGCGCTACAACAGCATCAGCAACAAACTTCGGTCCGGAGTGGTGTCGACTTCGTCCAGCCATGAATTAGAATGGAAACAGCGCGACGTCCTGCCTGAACCAGCAGCCTTGACATCAAGTCCTTGGTTAGCAACCTCGGCCGAATTGACAGTCGATGGCCACAAGATCGCTGGCTCCTTCATCACCGATAAGCCCTCAACCTCGTTCAAGGCGGCCGGTTCAGGCTCAGGCCGCGAGGTCTACTGCCACATCCCTGCTTTGGGCAACTGGTTCGCATTCAAGGTATACGACATCCTAAGTTTCTGCGAGAGCTTGCGAGACGACGTGGTGGCTGCTAGCTCCACAGAGTCGAATGCCGTCAAGGCGCCCATGCCGTGCAAAGTGTTGCAGGTTCTTAAGAAGCCCGGAGACGACGTCAAGGCCGGCGAAATCGTCATGGTCGTCGAGAGCATGAAGATGGAAATGAACATCTCCATGTCCATGGACGGCAAGTTTCAGTGCAAGGTGAACAAGGGCGATTCGGTGGATGAGGGCAAGGTCCTGTGCTGGGTCGACTAGACGGATAAGTCGGTCTTGGACAATATACACCCCGTAGAGAAGATGAAGAAATGTACATTTCAGTTCTGACAGTCTCATGCTTGTAGCACCCAAGTATATTGCGTTATGCCCCGTACTGGTCCTCTTGCGGAGAAAAGCACGCAGCAGCATCCATTGATCACTCACCCTAAAACGGACGTCAGCTCAGACAGGCGGCCACACAGCCACGCTTCTCCACACAAAGCACCTACCTTGTACTGTAAGATGTAGAAACGCAAGTGAAGTCTTGAAACCCGTTCAGCCACGTCCTCAGCTTCAACTTCTCGACCTCCAATAGTCTTGATATCCTGCCCCACACCAAGTCTGAGGAATTGAACAGATGAAGGATGCAGAAACGGCCGACACAGGCTCAGCAAGAGGGCAAATCGGCCATGTCCAAAACCATCATGGCCACAATTTGCTCCTCAACCTTCCCAACGAGCTAATCCTCGCGGTTGCGTGCTTTCTGGACTTAGAGTATCAGCTCGTGTTGAGCCTCTCGTGTCGTCGACTTCATGGGCTTCTCAACTCCCGGCTTGACCTGACCTTTAAGGACGATAAGGACGCCAAGGTGCGGTTCCTGCAACTCCTGGAACGAGATCACCCGGAATATCTGACATGTCGCTCGTGCGCCCGTCTGTATCTCTGGCCGATGACGGAATTCTTCCAGTATAACTGTCCGCGTGCCTACGAGCATCTGGTGGCGGATATACTATTTCAATGCGCTCAGCTCTTTCAAGCAGGTGACGACAAATCCATCAGGCTGACACGTGGAGTGGTCGACCTGATCTTGCGGGACTACGAGCAGGGTCCTCTTTACGGCTTTGGCTTGCCTGTATCTCTCCTGAACATGAGCGGCCAAGACCACGATGGCGTGTCTCGAACTCACGAAGCGCGGTTGGTGGACGGCCAACTCATCCTAGCCAGCCGAACGGAGGTAGAGGCAGGGTCGGGTGAAGAGATGTCAGCGATGAGGCGCTTCATGACCCCGGATGTATGCCTGCACCTAATTACCACTGGCCAGCTCATCAACGAGATAAGGCAGACCTTCGAGCAAGCCCTCGCAAGCATGAGATTAGGCGCGGAGAAATCTGACGTGTTCAAGTGCCCCTTCTGCGAGACTGACCACCAACTCCACATCAAGAAGACCACCGAGAACCTGGCAAGGATCGTTCTGGACGTTTGGAGAAACTACGGACGACGATACGAGAACAGGCTATCGACTGAGCAGATCTTTCATCGGAACCCTGTGCTGCGGCTTGATGCTGTTTCAATATCGCAAAGAGACGTGCGAGCGGTCTTTGAGTCTGCAAAGGAGTACGCCAAACATGGACACATAGTCCATGCCTAGAGCGTACCTGAGCCGTCCGTCCTGTGGGGCTACTCCCATTGCTGATATCTCTCCGACTATGCTTCCCAGTGGACAAGTCCCTCGAGCGTCTCAAGTCTACAAAATTCCGCATATTCGGTCATGGACTTGGCTCAATGGACAAATCAACCGAGATCGAAGGATTGGACGGCGGCATAAGATTTCTGATTTGAGTGAGTAGAGTTGCGAGCCTATGGCAGGCCGGGGAAGGGCGCCCGCGCTTGTGATGAGCGTGAGAGAACGACTGTGCCATGTTCAAAGAAGTCAGACTTTCCTGGCCAGGATGAGGAGACATCCTTGGTTGGGTTGGCCTTGGCTTCGCTTGTTGAGGAGCTACCTGCCACCAGCACTGCGTTGAAGTCTAGGCCGTTCGATGACGAGACCAGGTCATTGAAAGCATGACCGCTGCTGGCAGCTCACAGTGGTGAGCCCACACCAAGTTTGTGCGCCCGCCTGATGGTTCTTGTGACACTGCAGAGCAGGCATCGGTGTGACGATCAAGCCTGGTCCCTCCCGGATACCAACAGACTCAACCCAGGTGCCTGGGCTTTGACGAGTGGGCCGTTCAGATCTACGGCCAGCCTCCTTGCAGGGAGCGGCGGGTGGTCTGAATCCGGATGAATTCCAGGCTTCGCATGTCTTGGAATGCTATCTTTTTCAGACTCGAACCCGCGCATTCAGCTACATTGTCACTCCGAAACATGCTTCACCCAACGTTCTAGTGCCCAACTTTGAACTTAGAGTTCACCCCACATAAGTGCTTGGTATAATGACACGCACAGGTCCAGGATCGCTTGTACGTCCGCCCAAAGCAAGACATGAACTCTAAGCACTTGCGCTTGGGAAACCTGGACATGGAAATCGATTTCTTTACTCTCGCCACAAAGTCCTCGGGGGAGACGGCCAATGGCCAGGGAGCGGGAGTCGGGGCTGGCGGAGACGGCGACGGAGACCCGTTGGCGGCGGCCAGCAAGCTTCGCAAAATAGGCGCAATAGGGGTTGGGCCCAATCGCCGGGCAGCGGGACCACGCGCACCAGAACGGGCTGGGGTTGCAGGCGAGCCGCCGGAACCACCTGTCTTGGCAGCACCTGCGACGCGCTGATTGTGAGCTGGGAGATAAAATATGTGGGCGTCACTGTTACGCCGGCGGCCCCAAGCCGCTCGCCAGGACTCCCGGTTGGCGCGCAAGAGATCTCGGGCCTCCGGGACAAGGACCTCAGGAATCCGATGCGATTGGCATGGAACTCGTGTACGAGTTACTTGAGGCTCATATTGAGGCATTGAGAGGCCGGGTGCTTTCCACAGACACATTCCACACAACCCGGGGCTTAGGTACAGCCGAGTTCTGGAGGCCCAAACATGAAGAATGACAAAATAATCCTGTCACATTTGTCGTTTTCCATGGTTTCCGTTTGTGTCCCAAGTCGCCTGCGTATGCTCTTGGCCTCCTCAATGTAAGAGTGCAGATCCCTGTTTCCCTGCGCCAGGTTTGCCAGCGCATTGAGTGCCTCGGAAACCGAATCATGCGTCTTTGGTAGGGCAGGTGCTCGCGCGCTCCGTGAAACTCACCACTCTTGTGGCGGAGAAAGGGCAATGCTGAGGTTCAGGCAAGGACGATGACGATTTCCCATGGCAGGTGCTTGTGGTTGATTTAGTGGCGTCGGTGGATTCAGTGATATGGGGAAGACAGCAGTTGAAGAAAGATCGTTGAGGCAGGGTTGTTCAACATGTGCATACGGTTATTAAGGATAACCGTTGAGACGCTGCTGGATCCCGAAGGAGCAGGAGTGTTTGGTTCATGCATATTTGCAACATATGATGGTGGATGTGGTTGAGGAATGTTAGGAAACCCAAAACTCTGCTTGTCCAAGAGGTAACACTGGAGAAAGATCGTCAGATCCGGGCGGCACTCGAGCTTGTCTCTGCTGGATCTGTTAAAAGCGACGATTGCGAGACGGTCCATCCTGCGTGGGAGAGCGAGGTTGAGTGGTCCTGCACCCATGTTTGCCCCCAAAAAGGGAGAGGAGTGTAGCAATAATTGGGCCTGTTGGCCAGAGGTGCTGAGGACACATTGCTACGAACACAAAACGTGGACTTGGAGGAGAGAAAAGGAGGCGAATCGGTTAGGCAGAAGGAAAGAAATATAATACCTCCCCACGCACCGGCGCCTTCCCACCCAACGGCTCCTTCCATCCGAGTCTCCTGAGGCAGCGGGAGGTGCCACTTGAGTGTCCGCAAGTATGTGTTGCCTTGGGTCCACTTGAAGAATGCAGTGGTGCAATAGGTCGCAATGCAGGTGCGAAGGTTGATTGACAATCCATGCCAATAGGGAGATTGACACCTGAGATTGATACCTGAATTTGACGATAAGATTGATTTGGTGCCCATGAGAGTAATCTTGGAGACTTCGGAACGACTTCATATTCTGGGTGCCGCCACCCTCAAGTATCTAGAAGATTCGTGGCTCCCGGGTTTCAAGCCGTGACCCTCGCTTTGAGCATGGCCAATATCAAATCTCAGCAGACGACTGACTGTTGTTCATCGCGCCCATCTGCGATGACAAGAAAGGCCGACGTCACGTGGTCGAATGTTTCGCCAGCTCGATCAAGGGGACTTACCTGTATACATAAGACACTCCATGGAGCGCTACAGGCCGTTGGCCAGGCCGACATTCGTAAAATCCAAAATAGGCAGCCTTCGTGCACCCCCAGGATCAAGCCCATATGGTGCAATTCTTTGGCAAGCTCTTCGTCAGTGTGTAATTGAGGTCCTACAATGTAGTGGCAGGGCAATGTCCAGGCTACAGGACACCAAAAAGGACAAGTTATCCGGGTCACCAATGAGGCTGCCGGTCTGGCAAGGCTGAGCAACTTCCAATCATCGCCAACGGGCATCATTTCACCACTACTAGAAGTGTTTGATTTCACGAGGAACCAGCACGGTCCCTTCAATATAGAGAAAAGTCAGCGTGCGGTGGAGCAAGCATGGGGGAGAAGGAGAGGCTTGCGTTCTGCACCTTGGGGATGTTCATCATCGGTCTGAAAGCACACCCATCTGCTCGCTCTATGCCAGCCAAGTTGAATTGACATATCGCGACAGACGAGATTGAATACATCAACGGACGAGCAGCCGAAAAAAGCATCATAGGCGGTGCCGGGACTTATGCAGCTCTTGGGGCACGGCTAGCTGCTGGGGCCGATCAAGCCAAATATGTCTCTTGGGTCGTGGATATTGGCTCGGACTTTCCGGCCGAGTTCAAGGAGCTCATCGATTCATGGCACACGAATTGCCTATTCAGACTGGACATGACTCGATTAACGACTCGCGCTTGGAATGGATATGGCCCGAATGAATATCGAGGTATGTTGCCTCAGCCTTGCTTTGACCACACCATGCCCGATGCCATTCCATTCCTGTAAGTATGAAAACTGATATGTGCTTTCTAAAGCGTTCAAATACCTCACGCCAAGGCTACGGCTCGACGAGCATTCATTATCAGATGACCAAGTCCTGGCCCGGTCGTTTCACATGGTGTGTTCTCCGGCACGTTGCATATCAATCGTACAGGGCATCATGGCGCGGCGGAAGCAACTGATTCCCGACGAGCCGCGGCCCGTATTTATCTGGGAGCCTGTGCCAGATCTATGTACGCCAGAGGAACTGGACCGGCTTCGAGAAGCGGCTTCACATGTGGATATCGTGAGCCCAAATGCCGACGAGTTCGCCGCGTTCTTTGCTTCGATGCCAGAAGCAGCAACTGATCGGAGAGTGGCTGTGGCACTGTTGCTCGGCCTGAACGATGCCCACCCGTTACCGACGGCGCTGGTTATCAGAGAAGGCGCCCTTGGTTGTACCGCTTACTTCGGGCGGGCGTCCCTACATCTGCATGCATACCACCAGAACCCTGAGCGAGTGGTAGACCCGACGGGTGGCGGGAACACATTTCTGGGCGCACTAGCAATAGCCATGACAGGCACCGCACATCCAGGAGAGGGGACGCCAGAACTGTCCGATATTGCCAACTCGGCTTTTCCGCGACCGAGGCTGGTGTTTGCTCTGCTCCATGCTACAGCTTCCGCGAGCTATGCTATCGAGCAGACGGGCATGCCGACATTATCGGATAATGACTCTGATCGTTGGAACGGCGAAGCTTATCGACATCGATTTTTGGCTTATCTGCAGCGGGACAAGGAGCATATAGTTCGGCAGCTTACTAGATGCGATCCACCAGATGTATAACACAAGTTTGTAACCAATAATCATGTCATTTGTGCGATTCCAACAAAACCGCATTTGTAAGGCAGCAGGCGAGCACACTTCTGCCGTGCACCGCTGTGTCGTTTGCTATTGTATGTACAAATCGTGCCACGGGCTCGAAAAACTTAAGGTGTTCGGTTCAACCACGGGGCCGCAAGTCAACCAGTTCCCTCGTCCTTCTTGAAGTCACTTTCCGTTGGTTTTTCCATCTTGGCTTTCCATTGGAACCGGTTGCCGGTCAAACCTCCGAGTTGTCAATCGATAAAGCATAGGTTTCGTGGCGTCGGCGTGCTATTTATGGTGGCAGATTCGTCTCTGAACTCATTGGCCCTTTTGAGCCTTATCATGCTCGATGATCTGCTTGGTCCAGCTAGAGCCATTGTCAGCATTCGTGGCACGATAATCCCCGACTCTCCCAAACGCGGCCCTAGTTCTCGAAGCCAACTGCTCTTCCCCCGTACACCACCCGCAAAGCTGAGATGTGGACTCACTATCGACTCGGAAAGAAAGCGTCGCGCTCCGGCATTCGGTATCTGTGCTCTCGTTCGGCGGACACTCTCCAAGCCAGACCTGCACAAGCTGCGATGATCAGGCCGAAGACAGCGGTGTTGGTCTTCCAGTTCTGCGGCTGGCCGTACCAACCACCGGCAGGCGACCAGATGTGTTTGGGATACGGAATCTTGCCGCCACCACCCATGTTGGCGATTTCTGAGAGTGCCGCCTGTGTATAGATTGGCTGAGGGTATGGTGAAGTGTTGTAGTTTCGATGGTCAATTGTGATGTGAGCTTGACGATGCCATCCCAGTGGGTCGAGGTGCACTTTCAACAGGCAAGCGATCATTGGCGGCCTCAGTGAGATTCCCGGCAAACTTTCTATAGACAGTAACTCACTGAATTAGTAGTAGCACCTTCAATGACTTGTGGTCCGCAGTAGTTCACGTGACGGTCAATCACTCCGGCCTGCCAAGTCTATTCGGCGCAGCTTCCCATTTCCAATTTCTTCGCGTGATCTCGTGTCGCAGGAGAAAAAGTTCCAGGGCCATTGGAATATCAAAAGCATCGGCTGCGCATGGTCTCGGGGGAACACAATTTAATCCAAAAACATTGAGATATTTTGCAGGCCAACAGATTGGCAGCAAGAGCTTCAGTGGCTCTAATGAAGAGGTTGAGGCTCCTGACATGGAGCGGCAGTTTACTTTCACCACGGACGAGACCTGATCCCATTCGATTACCTTTTCACATCTCACGACGATGTCAGGCTACGGCCGTGGCGACTTCGCGACCCTTCGATGAACAGGTGCCGGTGGAGGATGCCACTTCAACTCCCTTTCTCCCGGAAGAGACCTTACAGAGATTACCGTCGCCGCCCGTCACAGCGGCGAAGACATCGGCGAAGCTCGCCGCTCTCCACGCTCGATTAAACCTCCCTCCACGCCTACCGCTAGAAACGTTGGCGAGAACTCTTGTGGATCCTTCCGCAGACCCTTCGATACGATTCAATAACAAGGCCTTTGCAGTTCTTGGAAATGATTTGTTAGGTTATTATACCTCGGAATACCTCCTCAGTCAGTATCCGCGGCTGCCGCTGGCTGTGGTATTTGCAGCTATGTATGCGTACCACGGCCCAGCAACCTTAGCTGCCCTGGCCAAGGAATGGGGTGTGGAGGCCGCAGCAGCACCTGGTGGTGAGGTAGATCCGGGTCTTCTTCAATTCAAACGACACCCCTCTGAGCCGAGACCCGATCACCCGCAACCGCAGCTCATCAGCACCCGGGAAGAAGCAAATCCGAAATTCCGACGGACCATGAGCTCGAGGTCTGTTTATGACGATCAGTTTGGCGAGGTCAAGCCGCGAAACAAAGACTCGACACCTGCCGAAGAGAAGGGCGCGACTTTGCAACGAGCAAGCACTGATTTTGTGCGAGCCGTGTTTGGAGCCATATACTTACATGCAGGCCGGGCTGCCACGAAACAATTCTACAACGACCATATTGCATCACGACAGGTGGACATGGCTAGTCTGTTCCACATCAAGAACCCTACCCGAGACTTGAGCCGATTATGTGCCAGAGAAGGGTTTCAGGCACCAGTGGCCAAGATCTTGAGCGAGACTGGACGGAAGAGCAGAACCCCGGTTTTCGTGGTTGGAATATATTCCGGCAGCGACCTACTTGGTGAAGGCGCCGGCGCCAGCCTGGATGAAGCTCGAACGCGTGCCGCTGTGGCGGCCATGAAAGGTTGGTATCTTTACAGTCCAACCGACTACCGGGTACCCAGCGAAATGGAGGAGCCCGGAGCGAGGCCTTGGACGCCAATTCTGGTTGATCCTGGCGAGATTGCGAATTAATGCTGTGTTCCTTCAAAAGCTGTTGTAAATACAATACCAGCATGTTTCTCAGACGTGGTGTACTTTTATTACCGACGTGTTGCACATACCCATGGGGTGGGAAAGGATCCGGTCATGGCATATCCTGGCGCATGAAGATTTGACAGCGTGCGAGTTGAAAGCAGGTGACTTGTATAGTCAAGAATCATACCTATCTTAGGAGTGTATGAAGTGTATGATTGTCCTCTCCACAATATTAAGCCGGCATCTTGCATGTATACGTTGTAGTCTCTCGTAGCAGGGCTCGGGGGTAAGAGTTCGACATAGTAGGTACACTCGGTGAACATCGCTTACTATGACCTGGTCGCTCTTTCGCCCTCAATAAATTCTTCGCTAAGCTTATGGGTTTCTTGTTCTTTTCTTCTCTTCTTTGCTTTTTGTCATTCAAAATTCGTTTCCCTCGAGTGCCAGCACAGAAGGGCGGGTACTGTGAAAAATAGCCCCGATACAGTAGAGTACCGCCAGGCGCTTTCCAAATTCCAGGGGTGATTTCAGGCTCGTTGCACAGTCCACCACCTACAGTAGTCCTTCACGCGCCGTCAGGCCAAAGTTTCCTGGTTGGTTTACATATACAAGCGTGCTCCTATTTCTCAGAGTATCGAGCCTCCCTTCCGCCCACTTCAAGTTCACCGCCTTTACACCACCTGCTATTCTTCACTACCCGACTTCCACTTTTACAGGATCCCGTCTTCATTTGCGATTCCGTCTTCATTTGATGCCAGATACAGGTGGAGTCGGTCTTGACGATGATTGAAACTCTCCAGCAGACAAGCCAGCAGCAAGATCATACTTCACCCACTTCCCAATCCCTCGATCCCTATCATCAATCGCACGCGACAACCCCTCAGGGCCAAGAGATGTGGACACCTCCGACACTGCCATATTTTGTCGATCCTGCTCAGCTTCCAGCGCCACTTCCTACTACTCAGGACATTCGAGCGTGTGGTACCATATTGAATGAACGCACTGCCCAAAAGGTCAAGGCCGTAGGCGACCACTTCGTTGTCAAATATGGCCCAGGGACCGAAATTCGGGAAGGCAACAACCTGATATTCATACAGCATCAGTTACCGTCCCTACCGGTCCCAAGGGTCTGGGCGATGTACGAAGAAGACGGGGAGGTGTTCATCATCATGGACTATTGTCAAGGCACCACGCTACAAGAGACATGGCCCACATTGGACGCCGATGAGAAAACTTCCATAACGCAACAACTTTGGAGCATAGTGGATCAACTGCGGGCGCAGCCGCCACCCGAGCCGCCGTTCTATGGTAGTTTCGATCGTGGTCCGGTCCCCTATTGTCTATTCTATACGCCCGAGCAGGATCCTGCAATTGGCGGCCCTTTTGTCAACGAGTATGATTTCATCCAAGGTCTCGTACAAAACCTGAGGTCCATCGACCGGCTCAATAACAGAGACAGTTACAAAGCAGACTACTACGAGCAGAATCTGCCATGCTGCTTCCGCCTCGGACGGCCGACATTGACTCATGGCGACATTCAGGAAAAGAATATCATTGTTCGAAGAATCGGTTCTCATGGCGATGACCCTGCTTTCAAGCTGATGATTATAGATTGGGAAACCGCGGGTTGGTATCCTGCCTATTGGGAGTACTTCGCTACATTCACGTCCCTTCGCTGGCATGATGACTGGTCTTCAAGAATCCACCAGTTCCTCCTTCCTTGGCCCGCCGAGACGGCCGCGCTGCTCATGATATACCACGACCTGTTCTTCTAGTGAAGCCTTCACAGTTATGCCAAACATGCCGCTTTCTGCTTGACGTCCTGAGAGATGCCGGTGTTGAACTCTTTATAAAAGCAACCCGTTACGCCGCAGAGCTGGAATTGCTTGATTCTCTGTCCATTCAGTGCATTTGATCAATCTAGGTCGAGAATCTCCAGGGCCGTAAAACGATCCATTTGACTTGATCGGCTCGGTCTTCATTGTTTGCCGATTGAACGCCTTTTGACGCGGCGGCGCTGGCTGTGCCTGACAAACCCTATCTACCTCCGCTGGATAATTGGACCTGGCCACACGACCTAGGAGCGTCTTGTCAAAGAAGGTATCTGACCTCTCAGGTCTGTCCGTTGGCTTCTTGTCATATCGCATTCCAGTCACCAGATCCCCGATGACTTGGTGGATGTAGCCTGTTCCATCAAGGCCGGTTTCAACAAAGATCACCGTATGGTACCTTGGTCCTGCCACGTCGGGATCTGCCAATGCAGGGCCGAATCGGACTTTGAAGACGTTAAAGTACTCCGACATGCGTGCAATGAGGCTGACTGTTGATACAATACGCCTTTCGAAGAGCTTGATATGTATGGTCACTCCGGTGGCAGGAGAAGGAATGGACCAGGCGATTGATCAAGGTTGGAGTATTGTGCCTTCTAACAATCCATCAAGTACGAAAGCAGAGGCGCTTCTGCAGACGAGAATCGAGACCAATGAGAGGACAGCTTGGGTCAGATCAACTCGTGTTTCATTTAACGCTTGAAGTCTGGGGTACTGGCAGTTCGAAATGATTACCAGGGAACCGAACGTCATTTACTGTGTTCGGGGGCTTCTTTCGCATAGCCCAGAGGCTGGCCGCTGGATTTCAAGCTCATGACAGGAAGTTGTCGGCAACTTATCAAGTCAGCTAGACTGCAGTCGGTGGAATTGAGTTGTGGACGACTTGAAAAACCAGCCTGTGCAACATTAGGTTAATGGTCTATATCCGCAGGGCAAAATTCATGTTGTACAACATGACTGTTGTGGAACCTAACTGTTGTCGTGGTGAGGCGGACCAGGTCGGGCAATGGTGGCTCTTGAGTCCTTATCGGAACCCTGGCTGAGGCGCTGCTGCGCAATGATTGATTGCTTTGCCTTCAGAACTCGACCAGCATCGACTTGCGTGTGCTGTGACCCCTCCAACAAGTTGCACATGTTATTGGGAGAGCATGACGAGCGTGAATGCCTACGCTCTCGAACCACACCGTCGTGGCGGATTGGGGGATATATAGGCTAAAAGGGAGACGTCTCGACCTCCGTTGCCAGTCCTCCTTCAGTCTTGGTCAGGTTCAAAGAAACAGATACCTCTCTTCCCACAAGCGCAGCAACGACAGTTACTGGTACAATCAGCTCCGACAAAGCGATCACTGGTCAAAAATTTCAAAGCAAAAAGTGAGGGCCCTTGTATTGACATACCAGTGGGGGCATGTCTAACCGTCTGTCTGCCAGCATGGCCTCGGCTGAAGTTGAAGACCCGACGGCGCTCTGCAGCTTCGCAACAGGCACTCGAGTCGACGGATCAAAGTACACATACAAGCCAAGCGACTGTGGATCAAGCACTTGCAAATATTCCTCCAGTTATGTTGCGCCTCCGAGGCGATAGAAAAAGAACCTGGAAGCCTTTTGGGTTATGCAGTGCAAGATGAGGTATCGAAGGATTTTTGATCATGAAGAAACTCTTCAATCTTGGAAAACCCATACCAGTCGTTACTGTATTCCGCGGTGGTTGATTCCTGCGTCCACCCGTCTGTACCGAGCTTCAAACCAAGCTCTTCGCCGACTTTGGCGCATGAATCGAAATCTATGATGACGAAATTGTCTCCATGAGACAAGATGTTGTGTGGATTTATATCTCCGTGCACAATCTCCAGCGAATGAAGATGTTGGATACCATCTCGAATATCCTGCAGACATGCTCCTTTGTCGAAGGAATCGGATCGTCCATCTTGCATCATTTGGAAGAGAGAGTCGCCGTATTTCTCAAAGCAAAGGCCTGTGATCAAATCGTTTTCGACTTGACATCCTAGATATTTTGCGATGTTTGGATGCTGAAATTGCGCCAGAGTCTCGCAGATTTGCACCTCGTGGAGTACGAGGGTTTTTATCTCGGTCGAAACGAAGCTGTCTCCATAGGCGAGTAAGGATGGTCGTTTGACGTATATCTCTGCAGAATCGGAGGCAGGATTCGGGCATCGTAATGCATTTTCCGGGCTTTTGGGCCAGATGGTTTCTGTCGGAATTGGATGGAGCTCAAGGGCCGATGGATCAACTGAGGCTTGGAAGGATGGAGTCTTGCGTTGATCGACCCTTGCGTAGAAGAATTCAAAACCATCACGGAGGATGACTTTGGTGTGGGAAAACTCGAAGTCATCCGAGTTGTCCACTTCTTTCCAGACTTCGCTGCACTCCAGAATTTCAAGGCCCTTTTTTGGTTCAGTATCGATCGAAGACTTGAAGGACGAGATGTGGAGGACTATACCATGACGAGGAACGAGAAACTGTGAGAGTGGCTATGATGGACTTGCCGACACACGCGGAGATAGCGTGGGAGAGTAGTTTGAAGTGGTCCCTGGGGGTGAGAAGACGCACTGCAGAGGTTAATGTATTCCCACACCGGTGAGTACTGAGCGCCACCCGATTGTGGCTTGATTGCTGTATTGCAAACGTGCAGTGCGTCACTGTGACCGGGCTCAATGGCGTTACACAATGGTTAGTTTTGATGGTGATTTTTGGTCACGTAGACCGCTATACCATGGCGGTGAAGGCCATTGCCCTGAAGAGACTCCAGTTTTTGGAAAACCTACCTAACCTAAGATGCTTCGATATATTGGAATGAAGCATTCACTCGATCTCGCTTACTTTGCGTCTGACTTCTTGCGAAGATCTAGCTGCTCAGCACCCAGGGAGACGTGACTCACCTAGGATAATTTAATCCTTGCAAGCGGCGTAGCAGTTTGCTATCATCATGCTCAGAGCCGGGATATGTGAGGGTTAGAGTGCAAGGATGAAGTAGCATTGGACAACCTGGCAGGTGCCTGACTCGAACTTGGATGAGGTTCGATTGAACTTCGAGCGTACGGTGGGCTGAAGGTGGGGCAGAATCTCAGATTCTCACGTGACTATCTTCTAAGCGGCGTGCCATAGATCTATCTGTGGAAGCCATCACGTGGAAGATTGTCGCTAATAGCAGCCTCAATTCACCCACTCTAGACGTCAGGCCAGCGGCACAAATGACGTCGTACGGCCAGGCTGCGACTCGAAGCCGGAGACTGCGCAGGCGCCGGTGGTTCGCGCCAGACCTCCAGAATCTCTAGAAGCCTGAGGCTTGTCAAAATCACGGGCGCAACATGTCGGCACAACATCGATCAGTTCGTTGTCGAATTGGACGAGTCGTTTCCGTAGGGCGTCCTGCAAACTGGTGGACCAACGGCAGATCAGGGCGCAGCAGCCAGCACCAAGGCAGGGGGGTCATCCTCTGCTCACAGCGAAGTGCAGTGTCAGAGACTCCCAAGTCCATCGCCTGCGCCACCTGTCATGGTCTGCAGCTTATCCACGAATCATGAGTTCAGTACATGTCCTCGGCAGTGGTCGTCTGCTGCGAATCCGAGAACTCTACCGGATCAGGCTTCCCCAGATCGCGCCATGGTTGCCGGCTGACTGGTGCTTGTGACTCGTACAAACAGCCTTTTCGAAAGGCTGCGAGTTCGCCTCACTAGGCGCTCTTTGTCATCCTCACGGACAGCCAACGTCGATTCATCAAGTAGGCAAGGGTATTAGTGGGATGTGCCACCCGATATGTGAGTACCAGGTATATATCTACCCATAAGGCTATCCATCTTCCAAGGTCGCCCTTCTCTGAACCTTTGCCTTGGTAAATCCATATAACGCACCATGGCAGCTGCAGAATACTTTGCTTCCGGTGCTCGCCCGCCTTACGAACAAACAAACAGTCTCTATCCTCCGCCACCGGGCCGGCCTCAACGAGCACATTCACAGCCTGGGCGCACATATCCTCCGCCGCAACCGAGTCATTCAAGTCCACAACTACCACCAGTACATCATGTCCCATATGTGTCACCACCGCCTCCCTATCAACCGCTCACGACCGAGAGCAAACCCAGTCCATACTTAGCCCCACACCAGTCCTCTTCAGCCCAGCAGCGGCCCTCGATATCGTACCAGCAGCGGCCAGATCAGTATTCGATGAGCCTACCAAATTATCAGGCATGGCCGCCCTCTACTCCCCAACACGGTGCAATGGCTCCCCAGCCATATCCCTATCAGCAGCAGATATATCCGCCTTATGCGTCTAGACCAAGCCTATCAATTCGTGACGCAGGAATCGGAGATGGCTACGCCTCAGATCCAGAACAGCGGAGAAGGAAACACAAGAGTCGGTCCCGACGCATATCTGATAATTCTCGGTCCACAAATGCGGATGGATTTATTGGCGCTGCAGGCGGCGGACTGCTGGGTGACTTGCTGTTTCCCGGGCTAGGGACGGTTGGAGGCGCCCTCGTTGGATGGGTTGGTGGCAAAGATTATGGCAAACACCGGAAATGGCGAGAAGAGAAGAGAGACCGGGACCAAGAGAGGTGGGAGCGAAAGTTTGGCCGAAGTCACTCGAGGAGCCGGAGCCGGAGCCGGGATGAGAGACGGGATAGTCATGATAGACGGAAAAGCTACGATTGAGACGATGATGACTGAGACCAGTCCACTTCCGGGATATGGCAATTGTCTCTCTGGCCGGCCCATTGAGACTATTGCCTTTACACAGCAATAATGTCTAGTATACTATATTACTAGGTTGAACAGGAATAGTGTTTATTCCATAACATACGTTTGGCAGTTCACGCCCTCTCGCCTTACCCGATAAGCTTGTTCCTTGTTGAAGCACATATCTCTGAGAGGTAGCTTCGAAAAATTCACATAGAGCATCCCAAGGTACTGTTTATGTATTACGTCTAGTGTTGCGCAACTGTTGGTGGTGAAGTGATCAATGGGGGGGCCACTCAGCATCATGAGCAGGCTCTAAAAGGTAGGTAAACAGCAAATAACCCTAACCCTAGATTATTGTACAGTACCACCACCTCTCTATATTTTCTTGCTCTGTGGCCGTTAACAGCAGACTGCAACAACAGCATCCTTGGCTCGCCATTTAGGCTCCCTGATCGTTCTCTAGCATACAGATATATTTGAGGCATTTTTGTCACCTGGGTTTGCCGGCAAGCCCAGCGTTGCGCCTTTCCACAGGGCGGCTTGGTCATATCATGGCACGAATATCGCATCCTTCACAAATAAAACAGCAAGCAGCTTCCAAAGGATGAGCTGGAGCTTTGCACGCTATGAAGCAATAGCCTGGTGATTTTTGCAGCTGTCCTTCTCTACAAACAAGCTGCCGGAAACAACTCCTCCCATCACAGTTTCTTTTGATTCATCTGCTTTGGATCTTGCCAGTGTTCGACAATGTTGATGCCATCGCAACGTCGACGGCCAAAAAGGCCTTTGCCTGAGACTGAGGCTGGCCCTGCTCGTGGACCGGGTCGACCGATGAAACGAGCATCGGAATTGAAACCCTCACGGAAAGCCCGAACAGAACATGCTAAACGACTACACTCTCAAATGTCGGGCTCGATGATGACCTCGTCCACATCGAGTGCTGGTGCTCAGCCAGACGCAGCTCAAGGCCGGTTAAGCCTATCTCACCTCGAGACCCTTCCCGTCGAATTGATCCAACATATTTTCTTCCTCTCTTTCGAGGTGAACATGGCACGGGCATCACCGCAGCTGGCCCGCGTCCTTTCCAAGCCTTCAATCTACAAGGCCCTGGTGCTATTCGCGTATTTTGACGAACCGGCCGATAAGATTCCCGTGGAAACTCACCATTTCTTACCGGCTGAGTATCGACAAATCAGCCTTGACGAGAAGATGCGGCTACAAAGGGCCATTCTAGGGTGCAAGTGGTTTACTCTGGATCTGTTCAAGTCTTGTATGCCCATATTGAGTCGGCTGCAAATGGTCGAGGAGTGGCATTGGGAGCATCGATCCGAGGCGCTTTTGGACATGTCATTAGAGGGTCATGGGCTGGTCGCTGGACCATCGCAGGATCCAGGAGAGCAAGCAGAATTCTTACAATCTGTGGCTGCCCTTCCTTCTCTTGACGACCAGGCCGGGATGGAAAGGCACTTTTTCGCGACACTAGAGCCTGCGGCGGTGGCAGCATCGTTCTCCGTCGTCGGATCAGATCCGCAACACCCGAACCACCAGCATCCAGATGCCCCGGTTCAATCGCAGACAGGACAAGGTTCATCATCTCAGGTGGTCGGCCCTATAGGCGCCAGGAACACCCTGCCTCGAATCATGCGCTGGACATGCTCAGTCGACACTCACGGCCGACTGCACAAAACACCCGAGCAGGGCATCAGCATCCTCGCCGCACGCGTTTTTCCCGACCACATCCTCCGCGGCAGTCCATGGACAGAATTGAAACTGGAACTCGTACAACTTCTACGCCAAGGCATGCGATTTCTGGCCCGCGATCACGTCCTTGACATCTCTGCCACGGCACTTTTCGAAGGCATGGCCAGCGCCATCCGCGAAAGAAACGAAACGGCACTATTGGTTCTGTTGGAATTACACTATGCTACTATGCGCTTCGACCCGAGTCATGACCCGGATTGGTTCCAAGGCACGACGCCGCCTGTTCCGAAAGGCCCGGACCGGTACTTTGTTGGCCCTCTTGCGCATCCTTTGCCGGTTGAGCTTTTTCATCTGGCTGTGAAAAAACATACAGGTACCCATGTACACTGGCATTCAGGGGTGGAAGATAGGGATCGCGACCACAACCATAACCACAAATCCGACGTGAGCAGCAGCCACGGGCACGGAGCAAAAGAGTCCACTAGTGCTGCTACTACTACACCCGCCCGTGTTTTGACACTTTTGCTACGCGAAGGCATTGATAGCATTCAGTCCGACGACAAGATTCTTACTCGCTGGGCGGCACATACGTTAAATTTACCTGTGGACTCCACACAATCGTTTTCTTCGGCGTCATCATCGTCCGCAACAGCACCGGCACCGGCACCAGCATCGGCGTCACAGTCTTCTCTCTCCTTCGAACGTTCCCTAGCTCGCTGGCTTCTAGACTTCATGTCCGGAACCAACACCGACGTGACTCACCATCTACCCCCGACCGAGCCACTCTTTGTCAATGGGAGATTGTCTTCGCGACTTAGTGATTTGGGCGGTGAAGGTTCTGCTTCTTCTTTGACAGCGACTCTGTTTCCAAACACGTCATTCACCGAAGAGATTGGGTATCTTACCCATGGGGAGGACGGGGAGGATGTTGTTAGAGCGAGAGATGGAGAACCTTGTGGGTGATAAGGTGGTCAACGGTCACCCCAATCTATCTTTCAGCACTGCGGTATCTTGAAATATTCCCCTTTGGCCATCATAATATTGAAAGCTTGCCGTAATGACATCTAGTGCTTGTGCGGTTTAAGCGGGCGCCGGCGAATCTGTAGGAATGCATGTACTATTTTGGGAGAAACAAATAAGACAATGCAATTAGAGGACCGCAGATCGATTTAAGAGGTGCCTTTTCCTCTGCAATCGATTCTTGATGATCTACTGAGCGTTTTATATTCATACCTTACTTTTTGTCTTCCAACTATGCTATGCAGGTATTGCACCACTGCAAGAGTCAACTGGCTACACAGCCTCATGGACTTTCAAGCTAAAAGCTGTATCAAGGCTCGCCAGGCCAAAGTCGATCGGCAATTCTCCTGACCAACTTCAACTTGGCAATCATGTCCTCCCTCTTGACGGCATTGCCACTTGAATGGCTGGCAAACCCGCACTGCGGGCTCACACCGCATCTTGCCAGCGCCTCCTGTTCGCTTTCGCCCGTGCCCTTGGCAATCCACTTGGCAGCCTCCTTGACGCGGGCAACCATCTCATCCTCGTCCTCCAACTTTGGGAATTTGCTGGTGACCACACCCAAGATGACATACTTGTTCTTCGGCAGGTGTTGCAACGGCTCGAACCCGCCGGCGCGAGGTGTGTCGTACTCGAGATAGTAAGTGTGCATGTTGAGGTTCTGGAACAACTTGGTAGCGATCCGGTCATAGCCGCCTTCGGAGAAGTGGCGCGAGTTGACAAAGTTGCCCCGACACAGATGGACTCCAACGTGCATATCCGAGGGGATCTCGGCGACGCACTCATTGTACAGGTTGATGTATTTCTCGAGAAGTTCATCCGTAGAGCACGTGTTTAGCGGATCCTTTTTCCAGCCTTCGATCATGGCTTCGGAACAGAAATCTACAATCACAAGTCAGCCAATCGGTCGAAATAGGAAGAAAAGGACACAAAAGAAAGGTTCTGCTCACATGCTAGATTGGGGTCGTCGAATTGGACATTCCGCAACCCGTGATCGTACAGGATCTTCAGCTCCGCCTGGTATGCCTTGGCCACGTCCGCAAAGTACTCATCGTCGTTCTTGTATACCTCCTTCGGGTATGCTTTGCCCTCCTTGTACCGTAGATGATACCAGTTGGGAGCGGCCAACGTCAACTTCAGGTCTTTCCATTTCGACTGAGAAACCAGGCTCTTCAAGAAATCAAACTGTGCCGTGTATGTGCTGCCCACGTGTCGAATTTTCCCCGTACACAACACCGTCTCACCAGGCTTGTATCCTTCCTCGGTGAACGCGGCGATGTCAGGGATGTACATGCGAAACAAGTCCGGGCTCGGCTCGGCCACCTCCTCCATGCCCTCTAGTCCAGGCCAGAACGAACCCCAGAACATGTGCCGGCGGTACTCGCCATCGGTGACGGCATGGAACCCCAGGTCGAGCTGCAGCTTGACAACATCCCTGATATCGGCGTCCTCCACCGCTCGAAGCTCCTCCTCCGTTGCCTTCCCTGCTTCCCAGGCGTGGCGGGTCTCGAGGAGTTTGTCGGTTCGCAGGAGGGAACCGAGATGTTCGGCCCTGTAGGGTGGGTTGCGGTGGATGGGAGACGACATCGTTTCGAGGTACAAGTTTGCCAGAGCGCCGTGTCGTGCCGTGCTATAAGAGGAAGCTTCGAAAGACTCGGACTCGATTCTGAGGCACAGTAGCGGAAACCACCCACAATGGAGGGTCAGGGTCTGGTTTTGTACCACCACCGGAGATTACCCTCCTACTACCCCACGATCTTCTCACGGCCCCGGAAAAGTTTGCCTCACTTACCTTACCATCCAGGCCAACCACCTGCTGCACTAGCAGTGGATCGACAGCGATTTGGAGCCCGACTGCACATCTTCAAGTACCTAGGTATGCCAGTCGCCGATACTCACACCGTACAATGTAATAATGTACAGAGGAGAGGCCTGACCTCCAGGATATTCGCTGCAATTTGCGGCAGCAATCTATGGCGCAGTAGCAATCACGGACGGAATGCACTGAGACACACCTACCACTGTATAGGCCTCTATTGTCAGGATGGTGAATGGATAGGCAGGGGTGCTCTAGTAGGAAGACTCCCGATCCCAACTTGAATGGTTGACGAAGCTCAGCTGATTGTCCCTGGCGCAGGAGACTCGAACCCCCGCTCGTGGCTGGACGTAGCCGAAGGTCGACTGGTATTATGTAATTCTGTGCCCCGCACTAGTCTGGACTCAGGTAAGCATTATCTTATCGGCACGTGCTGATAAGGCCTGTCCCGCCCGCTCTTCGATGATCACATCGATCTCTACAACGACTTCAGTGGCATTAACCAGGTCACCTCCATCGTTCGCTCCTCTTCAGGCTCCTGGGACAAGGCTCCTTTCGGTTTACCTTCTGTCGCGCTTGACGGTTCTCGTTATTAAAGCCATGTAGCGACGGACGCCCATCGTATCCCATTTAAGCAATTCGGCATGGCGATGCTGCCTGCGTCAAGTACCTGATCACAGTGTGACCATCTACCACATCTACCAGCCGGCCGGAACCATCGACCAGCTATTGCTAGGCATGTCGCTTCTCAGCCTTCCAAACGAACTCATCTCCCGCATCATTACATACCTCGACTCGCCCAGTCCTTTTGACACCACTCTGCTCCATAAACCGATCGGATGGCGAAACCTCAAACAGCCGTGGCAGGTCGACGACCCGGATGAGGCGCCGGATGGCACATTGCTCTGGCAAGATCCGTTGAAGCAATTGTCGTTGACCTGCCGGTTGGTTCGGTCTTTGGCAATGCCGACTCGATTCAAATATGCTGTGCTCCGTCCGTCTCATCTCACCGAATTCCTAGCATTCTTGACATCCCAGGACCTCAACCAACATGTTTCGAGTTTAGTGGCCGATGTGCCGGGGATGTGCAGAAGCCTTCACCCAGCGTGGTGGGCGCGATTACTGAATGAAGTCCCCGCTACTCGGTTCAGTCTATTTGGTCCTCCAGAAGTGCTTGCGCAGATAACCGGCATCGAGGCATTAACTGCGGATGCCTGGGCGTTTGACATGGCATGCCAAATTCTTCAATTTGAGCAATATCCAGATGATGCTAGAGTCAAGATCAATTACGACGACCTGCCAAATATCCTGGTTGCACGCCGCTGGCGACATTTGACGTTCAACGAAGGGTCTAGTCTACTAGCATACACGACTTATGAATTCTTCCTCAGACGGACGCCTTCTCTGCTGACTGCTTTGCATTTTGCCAATTCGGCTGAGGCGGACATGCTGTTTGACAACCTTTTAAGCTTCGAGTACATTGCCATCTTCCCTTTCTATAACCACGTGGCGGAGATTTTGATGTGCATTCGAAAGATGCTGAAACTAAAAAGGCTGATGATCAAGCTGTGTCCGGAGCCAGGCACTACAGTGCTGCAAGACGAAATCGAACAGGCTGGGGGACATTTGGACATCAATGATCCGTGGAATGAATGTGAAACATCTTGGATGCTGATTGCCCACTCGGTGGTGTTTTTGACCGAGCAAGGATCTCTGGCAGAACTCCAGATGGACGATGTCAAAGTCGAGGCTGTCCGACATACTCTGGAAACGGGTTTGAATGCTCGGCTGCAAGAGTGGTGGACTTACCAGGGCGAAGGCTCCGGGTTATGGCAGCGGAAATCTAGGAGTCCGCATGCGTTAGTCGAGCCTCCGGAACCATAGGTGGAGCAGCATCAATGCTAGGCAGGCTTGCTGCAAGGCGAACGTACAATGCAGGGTATGTCAAAGGCTCATTCGGCTGCCGAGGAGGCATTGTTTTGACACGGACTCGAAGGCCGAGGGGGCCTGTCGTGCTGTCAACCGCGTTATATTGGCTGCCTTTGATGGAAGCTATGTAAGGTCCAGACATGCTCGATCAGAATGCTACGACTGTAACTGTGGCCAAACCGTCGCCGGCCTTCTTCATCAATGTCAATTTCCAGATGGGACGGGAATGGTTGTCCTCAGCCGCAGTCTCTACCTTAGTGGTGGCAGGGGTAGTGCAGGAGAAGCTGAAAGAAAGCGAAAGCCAGGAAGCCAGGAAGCCATGCCGGTGACAGTCCGGACAGCTACTTGTACAAGGTTGTTGAAGCCCCCAAGCACATAGCGGCCAGGTAAGTTCAAGTGGTTGATCAGCATCCTCGCCTACAGTGTGCTAACAGCCCTTGAATCCTCCCTCGTATTCCTCTGTGGCGATTGCTTTGTATCTCGGCGTTGTATGTTCAATCGGGGTTTGGCCTATCGAGCCATCACACCAATGTGGCGCAGCTCCAGTGTCTAGACTTGGTCGATTGCTTCTTGTGATGGGCTTCTTGCTCTTTCGTCTCCTCCCAAAGTTACTCACCGCAGCCGGGCGCGGCGGACAGTTGGGGACAGCGGAGCCAAACACAAGCCAACCGCCAGGGTCGTTCGTAGGGAATCATGCACCTGGAGTGGCAGGTCGCTCATATGTCGACGCATCAAGCAGGGCGTGCTGCTGGCTGCAGAAAGTGAAAAGAAAAGGCGTCTGCTACAGCTAATAAGGGTGTTGTTGTCGCCTGCCTGCGGAGAGGGATCTGTGATCTGTACGCACTGCAGACTGTTCTGTGCACATTGGCTCCCTAGGCCCGGAAGCGGTCTGTCAAGTGCTCGACTAACACGACAGGCGGTGCCAGTAGGCGATCACGGTTATTAGTGTTTGTGGCTAGAGAAATCCTCGAGACTTCCATGGGTATTTTGATTAGCTATTAGCATCTTCGAGTCGTGGTGTTCAGTTGTCAGTGACAGTTTGGCCCGGATCTCATCTTCCGGCCCGTGGACGTGCGGCCCACGATACTACGATCCTCCCAGTCCGCAACCTGGAATAGCGTCCCCGTCTTCGCCAACTTGAACCGCAGGCAGTTTGCATTGTCCAACGTTCTTCCCCGTCGGCGCAATCAAGCAACAAACCTGGTGGCAGATAGACCAAAACGACGGTCACCGACGATTCAACGTGATGAGTTCAACAGCCCGGGCTCAGTAACACCTCCTCTCGCCACGTCTGAAGCATGCCGTCGCCACCTACAGCCCGAGCGATCCAGCCGCTCAATGATGGCCTATCTTCGCAGTCGTCGCAGCCGCCCCATTCTTTACCGCCGAAGAAGAGGCAGCCGAGCGCCAGAATATCCGCTGCTTGTGAAGCGTGTAAGAAGAGAAAGACCAAATGTACCGGGGGCCCGCCGCCGTGTCAACTATGCCAATCCTTGGGCACCCAATGTGTCATCGACCTTTCTCTCGATATGAGACGTCGCGCCGCCCTGCAACGCACCTTGGACGAGTCCAAGGCCTATCAGGACAATCTAAATACCCTGCTCGATGGGATACGGGCTGGCCCCTCGAATCGTCTTGACGCCCTCGTTGGATACATCAGAGGTGGAGCCAGCAATGATGAGGTTGCCGATATCATACAAAGGCAGTGGAATCCAGCTGGAAACCAAGATTTGGATCATCCAATGGCGCCCCAAGGCAATGAAATGGACTACATGCATACGAACGAGGCTGAAGGTCAGAACAGACCGGCCGGAGACCATCTTGACAACGCTGCGCCAGACGCTCAAGTGACTCCAACTGCCAGCGAAACCTCGACCTCGACTGATTCGGGGTCTCGAAAGCGCAATGAGGTGGCACACTCCCCCGACATGTTGAAGCTGCTGGCGGCGCTCAAGAACAGCAGCATTGCAGATGGGGAAGATCTTATTCGGCAATTCATGACCTCGTTACATTGGGATGAAAGGGGACACTCGACAAGTACTGGGTCCATTTCCAGTACCATCAGTCCTTCGTCGGATGGCGGAGTGCAGCCAACCCTCCAGCCTACTATGGCTGCACGTTCTGGTTGGCATCCGGCTTTACAGGCGAGGACTGAACCAATTGAGGGAGAAAAACTTGTACAGGCAAGTGTGTAAATTCGTGCACTGGATGGCGGTGCTGCTCAGTTTGTGCTTTGCATTAGTGTTATCCTTGGCGGTAGCAGATGTGCTCTTCAAGTATTCGTTTGAGTGACTTTGCTGATTGTTTTCGGACAATACAGGGTAAATCTGCTGATCAGCCGATGTCGCTGTCGTCAAGCCCGGTGGATGCCGCATCCGCACGTAACCCAGCCTCGGCTGACTCTTCCAGAACACAAGCGTCGTCAAAGCGCCAGAAGACATTGCACCCAACGATCAACACTGAGGGTGCTCAAGGCACAGAGTCAGTTGCGTCGCCGACGTCGCCTTATCTGGAACAAGTGACGAGCCATGCACATTCGGCCCCCGCCATTGCTAGACGAGACTTGTGCGTTGCCCAGGATGGCGCATCGACAAGGCTTCGCATTCCCGTGCATCTCGTGCTTCCCCTGACCGTGACGGATGATTCGTACATGAGTCGAACATACTCTCATTATCTGCAAGCGGCGCATCAGATGCTCGAGGCTGGAGTGCCCCTGTCAAATCTCCTCGGTTCGCCCGATCAAGTGGTGGTCGACTTGTTCTTTCGGCCACGAGAAGCCAACGATATATACACTTGTGCCTCATGGGCGTGCGAGGTGTGTCGAAGTTACGATCATGACATATTTGTTCGGCTTGGGTGTGTTTTTCTCCTTACTTCCATGATGCGGGTGAGTTTCCATATGAGAGGCATATGTTACTGCTGTCTCTGGATTTGGAGCTGATGCTTTGGCAGTGGCTGCTCGCTCCCACGCTCGAGAACTATGAGAGATTGCCCGACATGATGAAACCGACGCCTTTGCAATGTATGATTCCACATATCGGGGCCATAGAAACCATTCCACTGTACGTTGTGCTTGTTTCAGTGTTTTATTTTTCGCCATCAAAAGCTTACTAGTGTCGAATCTGTCAAGGCCTCCGGTCCGCGATGCTGTTATTCATCGTCTACGAGACTGGCTCACACCGCTGGAAAGGGCAGAGTGGAGCATCAACTGGCCGCATGGATTGGACGCAGCCATCATGCGCGATGATGCGACAGGTGCCACCGTGTTGACTCCCAGCTTTATGGAGCATGCGGGGGATTACGACAACTGGAGTGTTGCCCGTGTCTTTCTTGATGACTTTCCCGAAGTCGCTGGTCGAATCCGGATCCATGATGGATGAAGGATGAACGATGAACGATGAACGATGAACGACGAACGACGAACGACGAACGACGAACGACGAACGACGAACGACGAACGACGAACGACGAACGTGTTACGATTACAGTTGTATCAAGCCAGTGTTTCATGTGGGCCTGCTTTATCCATCGACCAGGTTCGGCTTTCTGGAACAATGTAGTATCCAGGTTCATCGCACAGGCAACCTGGTTTCAATGAACTAGGATATTGGAACGCAAGAGACCCTAGGGTTTCCTGCTTGGATTCCTCTTGCCAGGCCCTGGACTCTAGGCAAGCAAGGAAGGAGACGGTGGCCTTCCCGCTTCAAACGATGTTCCTAGCGCAATACCGGGGTGTCCTCCAGGCTGAGAAGGAGGAGGTACGAGAGGTCATAAGGGGCAGCTTTCCCAGCGGCAGAGGACTGGCTGGAGGGGTTGGGCGCGGCCTGGTCTTGCAGTCAGGTGCTAGGACAGGGCAAGTGCAGTCTGCACGTGCATTGAAACTTTCAAGAGTGGCCAGCAAAACAAGATGTTCTCAACTTGAATGTGAGAAAGCCTCGGGTCATTCATGCTAACGGTTGGATGCTGACAACGTAGTGATCGGATCCGTAGAAGGAATTGGGCCACAAGAAAGGATGGTTATCCGACATGCTCCCTCGGAGCAGAACCACTATTTTATCTTCGCTCGTCTGCCATTGGTTTACAGCCTGTATTCCATCCGACTGCAGGGGGTCATGCTTGGTCTTGGTGATCGACTCAACTTTGAGATTTGCGAAATGGCGAATTTGAACGGTGTGAACAGAGGCTGCCAAATCACTTCTGACAGAGCGTGCAGACTCGCCTCAACTTTATTTCTAGAAAGTCGTCACTTGTACTGCCACGACTCGGAATCGCTCCGCCTACCAGTCAATGCGGCTAGGCAAGCTGTGAAAAGAGGACGAACATACAGGAGAAGAACATCAACCAACAGAACAGCCTAGCCTGAACCTAAATAGCCCCCTGCCTCGGGCCTACCACCGACTCGGTCTCCGGGACATGGTGGAGAGCCATAATCATGATGCTCAGTTTACGATCGGACAACCTGTAACGTAACCTGAGACCGCATCAAAGTGGAATCATAGCGAGCTACAGCATATACCTACCTTTTCTAAAGGACATAGCACATGCTCGTTGTTTCAGTAGCTGAGCTCAGTACAGCTGAATCACGCAGAGCGCAATTGGCTATTATTCCAAAGTGCCAGTTAGTATCGCCATTTACATTCGCCGCCATCCTGACAACCTGTTATAATCGTGGTTGAGAACCTTGTAGACAGAAGCTGAAGAGAGACATCGGTGTTGATGATCAGTCGTACAGCCTTGTTTTTGGCCGCAGCCGCCGGCACACGGCGTGGCCGATCTTGTATGAGTGGGTGGCGCTCGCTGTATGGCGTTGGTGTTGGGCCATTGCGCATGTGATGGACTCCAATTTTTTTTGGGCGGGTTTCTGGACTGAGATATCATGTCATGTCATGACGTGGGCTCTCCGTTAATGTCGCTGTCCTTTTGTAGGTACTTATAGCCGACGATATGCGAGCTGCAACGGGTGGGTTGGGGTTGGGTTGCAATGGGGGCTCACAGCCTCGTCGGGTCAGCTCGGCTTTGTGGTTGCATTGATTAAAATATATGGATGAGGAGGATGCTTGGGGAGCGCTTCATAGATCCTTGCACTCCTGCTTGAAACACCTGAAGCACTTCAGTGATAGTGAAAGGTGGTGTGGTCGATCTTGTCCTCGGTGCTAGGGGCGTCGTTGACAGCGTAGTGGAATGGCCCTTTGATCACGGATCTGTCGTTGAGGTCATAGACTATCCCCTGTGAAGGATCATAGCTGAGGCATTGCAAGGAAGATAGTTTGTATGGGTTGAACAATGTGTTGTAGGCACCACGGAAGGGTTACCAGGGCAGAAGTCTATCAAAGACGAGGCTGGATGTGTTAGGGGGCTGGCTTAGGTAAGCGGGTGGTGGGAAAAGCGGCGAGCGGATGATCGAAAACAAGTTTCTCAGTCGCCACTACAACGTAGGTTGGTTCTTACAGCGCCTGCGCCTCACATACGCGCGGCTGAAGACGGCGACAATAAAAGCCACCTAAAGCAGCCACGTAGATTCTGAAAATAGAACGGCAATACGAGGCGCCAACGCCGCGAAGGCTGAAGTACAAATTGTACTTTGCCATTGCTCCACTACACCCAGCGACAATGCAGTGCCAGGCATCGCTGGGACGGCGACAGTGGATTCTTGACAAGGATGACAATCAGGATGAGACTCTGACACACGGCTAGAACCTCGCAAAGTACGGTTCACCCAATGTCATCGAATCGTTCTGCGCCTTCATACGCCTCCCACAACCACTCATTTCTTTCTTTGCTGGTCTGTTAGAAACAAAGAATTCTATGGTTCAAAACAGTCGGTACAATGGTTCACCCAATCAGATACGCAATCCATGTGACTCACGAGAGCCGCGCCGCTGCCAAACCTGCCAGTGATGCCTGCCCTTGGAACTGAAATGTTCAACACGGGTTTGACCCCGGGAACTCACAAAGTGGTCATGTGGCCCGGTTTCTCTTTCGCCTCCCCGCCACTGAAAGAAGAGAAAACAACTCGTTTCACCCGGGTCCAAGCCCAATGGCACTGCAGGAGATGTTAATGTTGCTCAATGCCAGCTTGTACGAGCCAAGAGGTGCCATGAATCATGGACGGATGGTTCTTGGTCCGCCATGGCTGTCAGAGGCAAAGGTGACTCCACCCGGTCGATCCGATGCGCAGGCATCCACTGTCAGGCTCAGGTCATCAGGCATCAGCCAGCCGCGCTCACTCTATCATTCTTGCCTCTTACTTATGGTTCACAAGAACTAAGGTACACTCCGTTCAATGGTAGGTCGCTAGCTCGCTATGAACCACAGAATTTGGCCGTTATCCGGTACCAAGAGGTGCGGTTGGTTGTAACTCTTCCCGGGATTCTGGGGTTGTCGGTACCGTTTCCTTCCATTCCCACCATTCCGCCAGAAATGGTGGCGCCTGACCTGGGTATCGCACGGACTTTGATCAGTTTTGGCCTCAGGTTCCGCACAGCTGGGCTGTACTCACTCCTAAGCGCAACTGCATCTTACCGGTCAATGCAATTGCGATACACCCAACCAAGTCCGTCGTACGAGAGAGGCGTGTCTGAAGGTTGCCTGATCTGAGACCTAAATGACTCTGGTATTGACTGGTTCGGCCAACCGAGTCGACCGAACCATTCGAAGAAGACAGACTGTGAGTCTGAAGTCCCGACCCCGAGTCTTGGTGCACATGTTGGCTGGGCGCGTGGACACGACAGGCACAGCCCAGCCTTGCTGTCTGTACTCGGTAGCTAGGGCATCCTAGTCGGAGCCACGAGTCTCTCCTACACATATATATGTTATGCCACACTGCACCTCGGCCCCAGCCCAACATGGGAGATGCTGACTACCTCACTAACCCTTGTGCCCTTGCCTGGTTGCAGCGGCACAGTTGTTCGTTCCTCATCACCTCAGCGCCTTGCCCTTGACGCCCGTCGAATACGCACACACAACAAGGCGCACACAGTCTCAGTCCCATCAGTCTCAGTCTCAGCGTTCCAGTCTTAACAGTGCCAGTGCCAGCCCCTATAAGCGCCCGACTATCAATGTACTATACTTTGACATTTCCATCATGGTTTTGACATCAGCCACGATAGCAACAACTACTTCTTCGTTGAGACACCACTATCCGTTGTCACCTTCGCCCGATTCTAGCAATAGCAATTTCTCACCTGAACCCGCCGTCATAGGCATTACACTTGACCACAAAGGTGCAAAGCTACGACTTGCCGCCATGGCCGAGCAGCAACAACCATACCAGGAGCAACAGCAGCAGCAGCAACTACCGCAATACCAACGGTCTGAAAGCTTGGTCTCTGTCCCCGAATTCACCCGACGCCGACCCCTGACCAGAAGCGTGCGGCGTACGAGAAACCCTCCTCGTAACACCGATGGGGACATATACTGTGACCATCCTGACTGTCACGACAGTAACCAGATCTTCCAGCGAGTATGCGAGTGGAACAAACACATGGACCGGCACGAAAGGCCATATAAATGTATGGAGGTTGGATGCGAGCTGACCCAAGGCTTTACCTATTCTGGGGGCCTTTTGCGGCATCAGCGAGAAGTCCACAGGATCAACCTGACTTCGAGACGAATACAGTTTTTCTTCTGTCCATTTCCCGATTGCAACCGGAGTAGCGGGGTAGGGTTCTCAAGACGGGAAAACCTCGAGGAACACAAGCGTCGACGCCATTTTCCGGGCCGTCGCCGACCGGGAGATGCAGTAAGTGGGAACTCTGCAGGGGGCTCCAATCCTACGGGACAAATAACACGACTGGAAGAGCTGGCACGTGAAGCCGGTTACAAACTGGAAGAGCGAGATCAACAAGCCAGTCGAGATACGGTGATAGTTCCAAGCAACAGCACCCCACCCACCACCGCGGCCGCAACTTCGACTACAACGACTACAACGACGACAGCGACGACAGATCCAGCTGACCAGGTCCCAATACCTGGGGATCGCCCAACCGTCATCTCAAATCATTTTCAGCCGTCGAGCGCGACCGCCGCAGCCGCTCCATCCACCGGCGTTACGAGCAGCAGCAGTCCGTCCACTCATCTTCAGGATGCGGGTCTGACAACCCAGCAGCAGCAGATGCAACAACAGCAACAGCAACAGCAGCAACAACTCATCCACCAGCTCCGTGAAGACGTGGGCAAAAAAGAAGACATAGTTCGACGTCAAGCCTCTGAGATTCTCCGGTTGCACAGTTTCATGCAGGCGTTGCCGCCCCGGTTGGTTTATGGACTGATGCAGCGACAGCAAGCCCAAGGACAACAGCAGCAGCAGCAGCAGCAGCAGCGGGCCCGAACTCAAACTCAAACACAGACACAACCACAAGCACTACAAGGCTCAGCAACGGCAACGGCGACGGCGCCCCGAATCAGCGAGGTGTTGTATACGACGCCGACGCTGCATACTCGTGTGCAGACGCAACGCGCAATCACACCGCCAAAGCAATACCAAATGTCATCGCAAAGAGCAGTATCATCAGCACCAAAGTCAGATGCGGCTGAAGACAAGCAATTCAATATCAAGCAAGATGGAGGGGACTAGCAGGGCAAAGCACCAGCCCACAGCATCATGTGCAGACGCACACGCAGATGCAGATGCACTCACAGTCGCAAGGTGCAGTTCAGTCCCATCGGCACCAAAGGCAGATTCTCATGCGTCCGAAGACAACAAAGTCAATATAAAGCGAGATGGAAATGGAAGGTTGAGCTGAAGGTGGAGGTGGAGGTGGAGGTAGGGTTTATTATAACAGGTTACTTGACTGTACGATGACGGGGAGGTGGTACTAAGTGTTTGGTGTTGATGATGAGCATTAAGCAAAGGAACTTGATATCCGGTTGGTTTTGGTATCAATGGTATCAATGGTATGGATTGGATTGAATTTGATTCGCTTCAACAGGGACAAGATGGTGATACTGTACTAGTACGGGCGTTGAGAAGGAGTTTTGGACCCATGTTTTGGCAATACGATTTGTTATTCTCCTTTTCATATCCCGCTTGGTCTATCGAAGACAGCTGCATATCTAGCTTGGTAGATAGTAATTGATAGGTGTCCTCGTGTCTTGGTGAAGTGTACAGAGTCTGTATACAGATCGTATCGAGTGCCTACTATCAACCTAGATACCTACCTAGGTACCTAAGCATCTAACGAATGTACGTCCAGATCGACCAATGATTAAACGCTGATTGAAGTTTTTGAACTCCTTCCTATTCCCCAATCCCCGATCCAGCTCCCCATTGATCATGATCATTTCTCAATCCGTTCATCATATCATATCATATAGTGCTCCAGTTCTATAAGTCCGTCCTTCAATGAGTATATACAAAAAACGGATTTTTCAAATCCGTCTCATCAGAATACGCCAACTTCTCCCTGGCGAGCACTTTCTCCTGATCACTCATATTTTCCAAATTGGCGCGATTCCTCACATTAAGCCGATCGTTACAGTACCTCAGCGCAAAACAGACAAACACCTGTGCCGTCAAACACGCCACAATGGCAATCTTGCCGCTCTTGTAACCCGGGGCCTCGCTCTGCTGAAACGTCTGGGTTCCCAGCACATTACCGACGCAGAAGCCGACCAAAGTCAATGCATTGGACGTGACTTTTTTCGAATGGCCCGCGAGGTTACTCGCGTTCCACGCCAACAATAACATAAAGGCCGCTCCGAAGGTGCCGCTGAGATAAGATGCGAAGAGCAAAACACCCTTGTTGTGCGGCACTCCCGTTGGGTCGAGGCCGTACATGAGCCCCGCGGCCACGATTGTGGGGACCAAGCAGATTAGCATGACGAGGGAGCGGTCGTTCCACCGGTCGCTTAGGTAGCCTGAAAGCAAGACGAAGATGACGTTGACGGCGCCCGAGGGCATGTTGTAGATCAGGGCTTGTTGGCTGCTGTAGCCGAATGTGGTGAGGAGAATGGATGAGAAGTTGGAGAGGCCGCCTAGAGACAGAAGAAAAAGAATAGATGTTAACTTGTGGCTGATCATCGACTGAACACAATGTCACACTGTAATCGTGCATGATGTGGATAGAAAAAGTGTGATAATGCTTACCATTCGGAATCGACGTCAACAAGACGGACAAAAACACCAACCAAACCCGGACATCTCTTAGCGACTCCAACACCTGGCTCTTTTTGATCCTGGCATTCTGCGTGCCGGACTGGTTCTCCTTGACGCGGAGCAGGGCGGCGACCTTTTCGGCCTCTGTGAATCTCACTGCCTTGACCGGCGAGTCGGGCAACAACATGAACACGCAGAACCCCAACACGATCGTCAGCAGGCCAATGGTGAGAAAGAAGATGCGCCAGTTGGCAAATGAGCTGTGAGAGAAGCTGGCGCCATAGGCGACTGCTGACCCGATCACCTGAGTCATCCCGTTGCACATGTAGAAGTAGCTGACTCGACGGCCTTGTTCTTCCTTCTTGTACCACATGGCGATGATCAGCACCAGAATAGGAGCGACGGGAGCCTAATGATAAATTCCATAGCTGGTCAGCCGGGGTCGAAGCGAGAATATGCGGATAGGATTAAAATGCGCTGAAAGCGGGGAGCCGATATCCGGACTCTCCATATATCACATGCGTGAGAGCGCCCACGAACACGAAGTGGTGAATCACGTAACTGACCTCAAACACGCCCAGCAGCGTCCTGCAAATCATCAGGCCGGCGTACGACGAACAGGCAGCCATGCAAGTCAACACGACACCCCAGATCATCACATTAGCCCCAAGATATTTGCCCAATCTGCTGATGCGTTGGGCCAGGAACTGGGTTGGGAACTCGGCGGCAAGAAACCCAATGTAGAACATCATGGCACAGTTGGAGAAATCCTGCCCTTTGAGATGTGTGTCCTTGCGGAGGCCCATCACCGCAGCGTACGAGATGGTTGTCTTGTCACTAGAAACACGATTTGTTGAGTCAGTATGCAGCGACGACAACGGAACTCGTCCACCAAATTCTCGTGACCACGATGACCTGAGGATCCGTCCTTGCAGCAATGGAGAGAACAAGAAAGTCCCAAACCACTTACAGATATTGCAAAAAGTAGACGGCGATCATGCAGGGCACAATGGTGAAATCGATCTTCCTCACTAGCCGCCTGGTCGCTTGAGGGTCGGCCAGGATGGCAATGGCCTCTTGTCGCACGCCATCCGCGTTGGGATGGTCTTTCAAGAAGGCAAAGGCTTCATCGGCGTCTTGGGTTGATATATCGAGTTGTTCCAGAGCGTCGTCCAGGGATGCATTTGTGGCAATGCTATCCAATCTGCCGACCTGGATCGAGCCTTTTTCCTGGTCCGATTCTGGGCCAGCGCCGGAAACCTTTTCAGCCTTGTAGTCCATCGCAACGAGTGCGCGCTGGTCTGTTCGCGGCGATGATGTTGGCAGTGTTCACTGACCAGAGGGATCTCGCCAGCGGCAGAACCAGAAAAGCCGAGATATATACATGTCGAGCAATGGTTGTCTATTATCCGCCACATGGCACTGCGCTTCGTCGCTCTTATCCCCGTGCAGCGCATATCAGGATGATCGTTCCGGATCGAGAAGGTCGCAATGCCTGGCGCCAAAGGAGAACACCGCTACCATGGTCGTAACGGCCGCCATCGAATGAGGCGCCTCATACGAACATGGGGTTCACCCACAGTGTGCGTTAATCCTCATGCCGCTGGCCTACTAGTAGGCAAGATACGAAGCCTACCGTTGAACGAGGTTGCACTGGGGTGCCGTCAAACGATATGGGGTTCAATGGAACTGCCTATTCGGGAAACCCTAGATCAATACGTGATTCTGATAAGGAGGGCGTCGGCGGGGATAATCGAATACCCGAGGGTCTATAGCGCCCGATGCCCTGGACCAGGAGAGCAGTCTCCTTATTCAGAACTGTAGAACGCGGTCTTCGTTTCTGCGGTCGTACAATAGTACAATAATATGAGCCTAGGTCATCAGTCAAAGGTGTTGGCGATGTCAGTGAGTAGAACGGACGGACAAAACCTACAGGTGTACAAACACCGCTTGTTAAGACATGACGGTGAATCAAGCACCAAGAAGAAATTGTCCTTTGCTGATAAGTTTATCCTTAGGTGACAGCTTAACTTCGGTGAGGCATGTCGGCTGGGATGGACAAGTATGCATGAAAAATATGCCACGACCTTGGCCAGGTCTAGATGCCACAAGTTTGGAAGGTGAAAAATGTCTATGTTTCTGATGAAAAAGCAAGAAGATCCCCCACAGTCAGCCAGCAGAAGGGAAACGTATCCAGAGTTTGAATGCTGACACCATATTGATATAAAGCCCGAGCTCGTCAATCCACCGCTTAGACATGAATGACTTGTTGGACGTGAGGATAAACATGAACGAGGCGGTCCCAGAACTCTGGATGATCTGTTATGGCCACCTGCGGATCCCAAGCCATTGCCACAAACACTGTGTCCACTCCGGCACCGATTGGCGTCATGAAGGTCTGGCATATTTGCAGGCCGATGAGGAAGGCGAAAGCCATGATAACCGGAGTAAAAGTCCGGTCCGAGTTGTAGGCAGGATTAGTGTAGTCCAGATAAAGATACGCCAACAGGGCGGAGAGATAGGCCACAAAGACGGATCCCATGGTCAGAACCGGGCCGACCAGACAATCATTGACCAGTGCATCGATGCCCCGGTCTTTCATCATGTGCCAGGTATCTTTGGCCGCTGGAATGTATGGCTTGCCGTAGAGAGCAATGTGGGAGAAGGCGTATCTGTTGATAAACTCAACCAGCCAGTCCAGACAGGCAACAATGCAGCCCAGAATGCAGAACATAATACTGCCAATCAGATTGCCCTCGGATGCCTCTTGTTGTTGCGCGATACTGCAAGCCTGGCGGAGCATGTTGATGAGAGCGACGATCAAACTGCCAAAAGAAATGGACCCAAAAGAGTAGGTGGTGGCTCGCCTCAAGGCTCCCGCAGTTGCACCGGACGGGATACCGCCAGGTTTCCCTGCGCAAAAGTACCAGCTACCATAGACACCAGCAATCGTTGTGTAGATTGTGTTCTTGATCCATTCCGAAATCCAATAGCCGGCGAAGGTCACGAATACCACCAGGCCAATGACTTTCCCACTGGAGCAGCCTCCGTCGGCACAGGCCGGGTTGGGATTGCTGTTGGCATTGCTAGGCATATAGGATGTGTAAATGGCGACAAGCGTGACGGAAAACCACGCGGCAAAGGCCAGGCTGATGATTCCTCCAATAAGGCTGACCCAGAACACGTGCACCCTTCTCATCCTGGCGATGTCCATGGTTTGCTGCAGCATGACTACAGCGAACGGGATGCGTGGTATCCAACTAATGAAGCAGATGACGGCAAAAACCGCGAAAATGGCAAAAACAATGCCAGCACCCCACAGTCGTCGGTAAAGGTAGTACACAGCGGTAGCAATAGCCAAGGCGCAGTTCAGTATACCGGTGAGCCAAACAAATTGTTTTGTGAACGCGCGCGCGGCGAGGAAGTATGCCCAGGAGAAGGCGAAGCCGACACAGAGGACAAAGGCAAAGAGGATGATGGTGTTGGTGTTGAGCGAGAAGTTGTTGGCGCCGTCAGAGATTCCGTCGCCATTGTATTTATGATATTTTGAATACCGGTAAAGGGTCAAGCCGGAGACTGCGACGAAGCCGCAAAAGGTCGCAATGAGCTGTGACACAGTCAGTATTTCAACGAAGGTGTCAAGCGCGGCATGGGGTTTCTTCGTACCAGTAATCCCGCCCAAAGATCATTGAATTTTGGCTTTTGAATCTTGAATGTGTCCTGAAAGCTCTGCTTGTCATCCTGCGGAGGGACAAATTGGGCTCCATAGGTCGGAGGTTGTTGTGTGTACTTTGGCTCTGGAGGTTGGTATGGCTGCTGGGGCGGCTGGTATTGTTCTTGTTGTTGATAACCCTGCTGAATATGGGTCGGAGGAGGAGGATAAGGCTGGTAAGATTGTTGCTGGTACCCCGGCTGCTGATAGCCCTGCTGCTGGTAAGGTTGACTATTGTAGTAGTCGGCTGCTTGTCCCTGATGCGCCATGACTGCGATGTCGCCCGGAAGGAAGAATATTACAAGATCGAGCCGCAAGAGATGCAAAAGTAAACAGCCCAAGGTCGGAGAGGGAGGGCGAAAGGGACTGTGACAGGAGGAAGAGAAGAGTAGTAGGAGAGAAGTGAGTGAGCCCAGTCGTAGGTGTTGTTGGACAGTGCAAAGCGCAGGACCGATCGATGGCTGCGCTGCCAGGTCGATGTTATTATTGATTTTGATTGATGCCCGGATCGTGCTTTTGGGCGACGATTTGGCAGCACATCCGAGATCCTGGCCAGTAGCGTGACAGACGAGCAACGGTGACGCCAGAGATGAGCTTGTTTCCTTGATGTGCCAATGGCAGGGCTCCAATGGTCCGCTTAAGGGACAATCCTGGCAGCGATCGGCGGGCTAGCAACCATTAACCGACGTAATCTTTTCCCGTTGCGCAACCGGGTCAATAATGTTTGACATAAGGCAACTCAAACCTCAGCTTGACGAGTCCACTGGACTGCTACTACTCCCTCGCCCAGGTACTTGGCCTCGGGACGATGTCTTGACTCACGGATCTTTTAGGGACCAGTCACCTCAGGTCGGTTCTTGTACAGTTGAACTGTACAGTGGTATATCGTATTTGTAGATGCTTGCATACCGGATACTATAAAAAAATGACAGATACGAAAGGCCACATGCTTCAATCCATCATCACCCGTCAGACGGTCATTTTATTTTCCGAACCGCACTCACATCACATCATGGCCTCCGCCTCCGCCTCCTTCAAGTTCAGCTCCTCAGTTCAACCTCGATTCTGACCTCACTGCATGTCAACGCCCGCAAACACGTGCAACCCGGGAGGCATTTTGTAAGCCACAAGGAGTGTCGCCGCTGCGGTATAGATAACTACTATGCCAGTAAAACATGTTCTTCGCTCCATCATACAGGTCTCATTGGACGTCTCTGCGTTCGTTGTGACCATGGGCGTCCTCCAATAACTGCTATACTAGTAGCTTTAGCTGTCCAGTCTCCAGGACCCTGGCTATTTTGATCGTCTAAAGGAACGGTGGTACTGATTCTTTACAGCAGTTCTTCACATCCGACCAGGTCGATGGTATACTTCTAATCCTCAGAATGGCAGGGATATGGGGACTACAGAACCCTTTGGCGGTCCTTCTGGCAGCCTTGATGTTTCCTCTCTCAACATTCCTTCTGCTCGTCAACCATGTCTATGTCCTACTGGTGCCTCAGAACAATGTTCGTCGACATTTGCTCAGAACTCCCCGCTTCATTCCGAGGACCATCCTTCTCACTGGAATCAATACTCCACAGGGTCTACGACTAGCCAGAGCTTTCCATGACACTGGCCATAATGTCATTGGAGCGGACTACGAGCCAGGAAGTTTGCCCGTCCCAGCCCGGTTTTCGCAAGCACTGAGGAGGTTTCACCGATTGGAGTCCACCTTCGACGAGAACTGGGCGGTCATGTATGTTTCAGCACTTGTCGACATCATACGGAAAGAGCGGGTTGATGTCTGGATCAACTGTTCAGACAGCGCAGACCCTTACGTTGAATGTCAGGCCAGGCAAGCAATTGAACAACACACCAATTGTCGTGGCGTTGCTCTACGGATGGAGGATGCTCCCCATCTCTTGACACAAGAAGCCTTCCTCACATATGTTGAAAGTCTTGGTCTACCGACCCCAGAGAGACGTTTGGTGAACTCGAGAGACGAGGTGCACCGGGTTTTGAACAAGACGCACGGGCGACGGAAGTATCTGCTACAAAGCGCTGGCGGGGACAATCTCACGACAGATTCCACCGTGACCGTGCTTCCCAGAAGAACACTGAGCCAGACATATAACACAATCGCCTGCATGCCCATCCAAAAATCCAAGCCGTGGCTGCTCAAGCAGGTCACAGACGGCCTGAAAAAGTACTCTACTTTTGCAATTGTTGTGAATCGCACGGTTATGGCGTTTGTTGCCTTTCACAACATCAATCATGGCAGCTATGAGGCATTGAATCCAAAATCGTCCTTGGCCCAGTCAATGCTGAGGTTCGTACAGACGTTCGCCAGTAAGCAGGACTCTGACTCCACTGGTCATTTTGGAATCGACTTCTGCGTCGAACAACACGTCGATGCAGAGGGAGTACAGGAGAACATTATTCCATTGGGGATATCTTTCCATGCCCAGCATGGGATTCTTTTCTTCGACGGTCTAGCAGGTTCAGCTCAGCTGGCTCGATCATACCTAGCGAGCATATCACCCGAGGTGCACAACACCAATGGCATCGGCCACCTATCGCGGTCGCGATCAAGCTCGATCCTGTTCAACTCGCAAGAGATTCAGAACCAGGATGTAGCATTTCCAACCGGGACCACTCCTGGAATATACCGCTTCGGCCCGGACTTGCAGCAACGCTGTCTGACATCTTTCGCAAGGGTCCTCACATTCGACATTACCCCGACAGAGTTTTTTAACCAGTTTCTGACATTTATAAAGCACCTCCTTTTCTGGCAGGAGGAGCTATACGGCTTCACCGATCCAATGCCTTTCTGGTGGACCTACCAGATCTACATCCCTTTACAGCATGCGCTTGCTATGTATATGGGGATTCGCGGTGTCTCGAAGCCGGAGCTATTGCGTCCATTCAGCCCGCGCGACGTCACGGTCATGGATCAGGATCCTCAGACGCATAATTCCGAACCTTGGGCTCGTTGACTAGAACAGCATCAGACCGTGGCAGCGTGAGCAGACCCACAGCCAGCTCAAAGCCCAGATAGAGGAAGCCGGCTTCATCAGCGCCCGGATTCTCTCGTACCCCAATTACTGGAAGAGGCTGTATCGGTAATTTTACCGGCGCAAATTTCGGAAACTTGACAACGCGTAGGAGACAGGAGCCAGGGTTTTCAAACATACCGCATACCCAGCCAATCCGGCCAGCCAGTTAGTCCACCCCTGACTTCTCAAGGTCATTATTGACCCTTTAATGAGAGTATAGGATTATCGTGAAAGGTCGTGTCCGAGCCTCTCTTGTCAGAATGCCAAAATGCCTACGCACCACACGTCATGTTTTATGGTCACGACTCACAAGAAGTGGCAGTGGCAGTGCAAATTTTGTTCTCAACCTCCAACACCCGGGCTGCACCGCACTGAGCTGGGCGTTCTAGTAAAAAGCCGTAGGAACAGGTCCGGTGCAGTTGCCCAGTCAGCAGACAGATAGGGAGCGAGATACTGTATGTAGCAACGGTCCGGTGTGAAATCATGAAGGCTCGACCGATACATAAAGGACAAAAAATAGGATATACCACTGTCCTCGGCAGCGAATCTTGACCTTTTCCAAAATCCAACTTTGTTTCTAGTCCTGAGTGACCTGCCATTCGATATGGGTCGTGACTAAGCCGCTGCGGCCCTGAGCCATTCGCTGAACAGCCTGATGAGTATCGTCGTGAGCACTTTATAGAGACCCATAACTTGGTCTTTTCAAGGTGGACCCACTGGCAGTTCTGCGTTGGATTCACATGTTCGGAAGAGCCCAATTCGGGACTACTACTAGGTGATTCGACATTTCGGACATTGCAAAAACGTTATATCTGCACTGCCAAGCAGGTTGAGATGGTGAATGTGAGTGTGAATGCCACTGCGTTCTCTTGTGTGCCGTAGTTTTCGAGATTGACGCTACATAGCCGCCGCCGCGTCCGCCTGCCGCAGAGGCCATTGAATACCGGCGCCACTCCGGTCCTTTATAAGCACCGCCAGTAGCCTCACTACCGGCTCCACCACCAGAAGATCTGTGGGGGGTTGGCGAGATACATTCGTTAGATGAAGAAGTCAGATGAAACATCCATGATCAAAAATAGTTTTTATCCTCGACCTTGTTTTCCTTCAGAGAAAAGAGGATAAAATTGAATCGCGGAGCCACAGTGGCCGGCGTTCTCTCTGCGAAAGGAACTCGACCAGTCGGGGGATATTGTGGGCGTCAATATCAAAGTAACCCTCGTCGTCGAGCGATTTGGTCCATAGCGGCGCCTCAAAATAATCCGGGTAGAAGCCCGAACATTCCCAATCCACGATGCCAACCACATTGAAGTTGTCGTCCACAAGTATATTCTGTTGACCGAGATCATTATGGACAAAGACGTTTGTTTTCGACCAAGATTTCCATGGGGTCCACTGACGGGATCCGGGTTGCCCCCACAGACGCATGGGAGGAATGATGTCGCCAGTTAGGGCGCCCACATTGCGGGACCTCAAACTGTGCAGCTGGGGAAGGACAAATTGTGTGATGTACTCATCAACAGCCTTGGTAGCCTGCTCTTTACCCGCCCTGATTTTAGAAAGAGGTGTTCCGTACACGCGCTCCATTTTCAGCTGGTAAGTGCCTTCGCTACTGATGCTCTTGAACTCGAGAATTTTCGGGACAGGGATCGTAGTGTTGTCTCGAATGAATGCGAGCGCCGCATGCTCATTCTGAAGCCGCACGGAACTCCATGGTGTTTTCACAGGGTGGCCTTGCCAGCCAGTTGGGCGTTCGGATTCTAAAAGGTCTCGCTTGGTGAAGGTCTCGTCATCGTAGGTGAAGCATCTGTCTGCGACCGTCCAACCTTGCATGTCTGGGGCTAGGTACAGTATCAGGAATGGGAAATTAGGCAAGAATAATAGATAGGTAAGTCCGTTCAGACCATCAGAGTGTAGAATCGAGAAGTCTTCGCTTGATATATGCATTAACACACGAGAAAGAGCTGCAGGTGTCGTGATGTCTGCAAAGGGGGAAAGATGTCGGACACTAAGGGCAGGTAGGCCGCAGGGGGCCAGGTTGGTCGAGGGTAGGCAGGCCCCGAGCACCAACCTTGTCGGCAAGAGAGACTCTCTGCGGATCAGTACAGTGCTAAGAATTTGAACTGATGAAGTTGAACGCATAGTCACTGGCAATTCCAGACCCGTAGAGCTATGGTAGTGGCTGTCTACATCATGGTATAGGTGGAATATGATCAGCCTTCCCAACGAGGCTGAATCCTGCCCGCCATCGGCTTAGCCCTAGCCCTCATTTGTGACCTAGGTACCTGGCTACTAGTACTACCATGTAGTACTGGCAAGCCTGAGGCGTTCGACTATGACGTTCACCCCTCAAGTTCCAGTTTTCCGGGTTGTTCTCTGCTGTGGCTTGAAAGACTTCAGTCCCTCATCACCTGGTCTCTTTGGAAGAATTGTACTTACCTTTTGGTAGCTGTGTGCCACGAACGGACGTCTGTTGCACTTTGGATGGGCACATTGCCGGCGGATTTCTCCACTACAATTAGGGCACTCTGACTGTGAACCCGATACGAAGAGTCCGCAATGAATGCATGTAGAGTCTTGTGGTGAAATAGGTGGAGCTGGCTTCTTAGGAGGTGGTGTTGACATGATTTGAATCACAGGTGGGAATTGAAGATATGGAAATGTCGCAGTATAATGAAGTAAAGAGGACAGAATACTGAATGCTTTTTATAATGCCAGAACTTTTCAGACACCACTTCCACCTTTGAACTGCAAGCCTCAGGCTGAGGACTTCATGGTCGCTTGAGTGCAGTGCCATGTGAACTTGATCCTGCTCTTTCGATAGATGAAAGGGAGGCCGCAAACCACGAACCCAGAATGCACTTGGTAGCCAGTAAACCACAACCACGTCTCCAACCAACTCAGCTTTTGGCCACTGGGCATGTTGTGCGACCTACCCTGCATATGTTGACACTCGAGAACTAGGCACCAATCCCGAATCAGCCTACCCACCTAGGCCGTAGGACCCTGATGGTGATGAAGTGGCGGTTGTTTCTGAGATAAACATGTAAAGGAGTTGTTAGTAGTGGGCTGGAGCGGCGACTCTGAGGCAGTGAAAGTCAACGGAACGTTAGTGACGGTGCCGTCCCTTCTCGACTTCACTTCCACCCCAGCTCAGGCCATGGAACCCAAATGGTTCAACAGGGATCACTAGGTACGAGTCCACGGTAGGTATGGCGGTGTAGCAGCCATACAGTATGTACCAGCATCATCCAGAATGAATTGTTCGACCTGGAGATCGGTTCATCAAGTTACCGTCTTACCTACCTAGGTATATATACAGTATGTGAAGAACGGGCATGCCCTGAGTGGTGGTGTGGTGTTGCATTTTTGAGTACTGTAATAAGTTCAACTCGATCCGCCTTAGGTACCTTGGTTGAACCCTTCCAGAACAGCCGGGAATAGCCTTGACCTGCTGAGGGCCTGAGGCACTGCGGCCAATATAAACACTCCAGGATATCTTCTTTCGGCTTTTGGCCGCCAGCCTGGGGCAACACCGTCCATCCATTCAACCAGCCGCCTGGCAGAGGTAGACTAAGGTATGTGGTAGGTACCTCAGGGACCTAGGTAATGCCTGTAAAGTCTTGAACTCACCTACCAATTCAGCCCATACCTCTACTCTCGTCGTCATCGTCACCATCTTGTACTTCCACAAGGTCAGCTGTGAATGCCAATCCCAGCATCGGCGGGTTATTTCTGATCAGCCTTGGAACCCACTGACTGGTATGTAAATTTCTCCGAGGAGACAAACGGAAAGAAAGCGGGGGAGAGTACCATGTGGTGATCAATCGATCATGATGTTTGGTTCCGGGTCCTTGGAGCTCAAGTTCTGCCACTGCAGGGATCTTGATCTTGGTTCTAGATCTGGATCCAATTTGAGTTTGACGCGCGATCTCGATCTGGTTCCGGGATGTCACCTGCCAGTGCACTGCAGTGGGATATGAATCAAATGGCAGGGATCTGGAATTCGCAGCGGCAGTACTGGTTCAAGCTGTACCCGTGTCCACTGCAACGGGACAGAGCCAGAGACCCAAACCAAGACAGAAAGATACCAGGATGCGGGTTCACATCGAGGACTCGGAGCTTAAAAGCCTGAGATTGATGCGCATCTTTTCGCGCGGTTCAACTTGCCTTGCGGAGTGTGGCCGCTGTCACCGTCTGTCAGTCGTCCCGGTTTGCACTGTAGCCAGACTCGAGGGCAGCCAGCTGTTGAAGCTTGGAGCATGGAACTTGGAGAATACACCGGAAGCAGGACAGGGCAGGGGGCTTGAGGGAAGTAGATCTCGTGTATACCTTCATACCTAGGTAGGTAGGTATTTGAACTTGAAGCTGAAGTTGGGAAGCTGAATGACTTTGGCCTCTGCATGCACAGTGCAGGTACAGTACACTGGCACGGGTACAGTACCTACTTACCGTCATTTTCCACTTCTAGGCCAATGAAGGCAATCAATCACTTGATGTCCTACTAGGGTCCGTGTAGTAAGCACCAGCTTCCAGGTAAACCAAGGTACCATACAGTACCTTAGCTGAGGTGGATGATGCAACTCGAACTTACCTGGGTACCTAGGTAGTACTCTCGTGATGATGCGTCGGTTCCTGCTGCGTGGGTAGCGGCGGATGTACCATCGTACAGTATATCGACATAGATAAAGAGGGAGTGTTCCATTACTACGAAGTACACTGTCAGTAGCACTGCAGTGCATGTACCAGGTGGTTCAAATTCCGGCTCCATAGTAAGGATGGATCCAAACTCTGATCCTACGCACGGACGACTTAACATCCAGTTCGAGCGGGATCAGAGATGGAGATGGAGATACGGAGATGGTTTCCGTTGATTAGCAAAAAGTAGCTGATGAGTGGCGAAGCGGGCAGGTTGGTCATCAGGCGCACCGGCACTGGGCATTCAAGTTCGGCTGTATAAATATAGTAGGCATCATGGTACAGGAACCACACCACACCATGACCGAAGCGTCCGTGGCAAACCCACTTCAACATACCCAGGACTAATCGTAGTCAGATGACTAGTCGGATTGGTAAGGCAAAAAGGACAAGTGCTGCCAGTGCAGACACCCCACGCCTGTAGGTAGGTAGGCAGGCTCTAGTAAGCAGACATACTATGTTGTATAGTATGAGAAACACGAGGTAGTGTATGAGGCGACAAGAACACCGTAAGTCTAGAAGGAACCGGCCTCTACTGGCCTGTCATTTGTAGATATTCCTGGCGATGATGAGCCACTGTTGTGCCCTTTCATCCCAGCAGCTATGTCCAAACTGTCCAATTCTCGGACAGAACAACAGTGCAAAACATATGCCCATCCGGCAGCGCTATGATACAAAAGAAACACCGCGGTAGAGTAGAGCGTGCTGTATCCGTGCCACCCCCTGAGCGGCTGTCAAGATGGAAAAACAAAAGAAAACACCCCCTATGCAATCAAATGCCGCTTCATTGTAATCATTCGTACAATGCGTATCCCATAAGTGGTCTGGTGGTCCTGTAGTAGTTGGTATCCCTTCATACCTTTCCGAACCTTGATCCTGTGCTCCCAACCCATACTGTAACCGACATAACGCTCAATCTTGACAAAACTGAAACCCTGTTTGACCATTGCATATCATAACAGTGGGAAATCCAACCCGGATTTAAAATGTATGGAAGAATCGGTGAGAGTATTGTCCAGACCTTAAGAGGATAGTCGATGCGGGTGATGGTGTTACTTTGATCGGTGGGAGAGCAAGGTCTTGGGCGTTCATAAGTGTAGGATCTCTCTCAATGTTGCAGAGCAGAGTCCATACATGAAACGCCAGCTGCATGCGACCGGTCGGAGGGGAGAGGAGAGAAGAGTCGGTAGACATCTTTGCTATCTGAATTCGTGGTGGTGACTTGAAAAGAAACCTAGGACTTTCCCGAGGCTTTGGAATCGTCGTTGCATTGCATGGACACGCGCCGTCGTAGGGTCCTTGTCTGATCAAATGATCCAACATAGTCTTTGAGATCGTTCTGAGCCTGCTCCGATATCTTCGGGCTGTGAGGCCTGGAACTCAAGGACATTGATAGAGAATTGGCCGACGGTGACCGATGTAGAGAGAAGTCGTAGGCCGGAGGAAGGTGAAACCCAGTTGTTGCAAGCCCTAAGGACGGTCGTTGGCGTTGTGCCACGGGGCTATTGGTGGCCGTGTAACCCGACATTGACGACGACGTACTCGACTCGCCCAGGGTGAAGTTATCAAGTTGGGTGAGACGGCATGCTGAGGAACAAAAGGCGGTTCCGTTGGTCTGGCGGTCGCAGGATAAGCAGAAGTCTCCGAGAAGGAAATCCATGTTGGTACGACTGTGGTCGTCGGAGGAAAAGGCTGTAGAGGAGGAAGGAAGAAAAATGATGGTGGAAAGTGATATATATGCTAGGCAGAGAGGTCGGTGTGGTTGCACCGCAGTATGTACCGATGGTATGTGTCGTGCAGATGGTGTGTATGGCAGTAGAGGTGGTTGAGTCAATCAAGGTCACGCAGGCTGGATGTCTCTCCCTCGCCGATCGTGCTGACGCTTGACGAGTATTTCGATGGTGTGGGCGTTCGAGTGGGTGTGAAGCAGATGGTATAGTGCTGGTATATCGCTCACTCTGGAGTGGAGGATGATGGTGTACTTGGTGAAGGATGGCTCGTCGAGGGTACCTGGGTACTAGACACCTGTGTACTTGGGCCAGCTGAAGTGTGGACGCCGGAGAGTTTGTGACAGAGTGTGGTTCAAGTCATGAGGGAGGAGGATGAGGGTGGTTTAGATAGATATGAAGTTGGACAAGAGGACCGTGGTAGTGTCAGTGGTAGGGATATGTACAGTAGTAGTAGTCGTGGTCGTGGTCGTGGTCGTGGTATGCAGTAGTGCCAGTGTTTGGAGCGCCGTGCACAAGTTGCCTCGAGTGGATGTTGGTTTTGGCCTGGGGCACGTTAGACGTGAATCAGTGGAGCCGGAGAGGCAAAAAGATGCCGTGGGCGGCGGGATGGGCCTAAGGGGTGCCTGAAGTGGTCTGGCGCAGGTCAACTGGAGTCCACTGGGGCGCTGCCCGCAGCCTAAACCGCGGCCTAGCACACGTCCAGTTTAGGCGCCTGGCGTAGCGTCCTGCAGAAGTGCAGTGCAGGGAAAAAAAGAGGGGTAAACGTTGCTCTTCCCTGTCACTGGCAGTGCCAGTGCAAGGACTCCGAGTCTTTTTCCTCCGCAGCTGCAGGCGCAGGCGCAGGCACCGAACGGGAAAGGCGCAGGCGGTGGTTGCTGCGACTAGCAGTCAGTCTGCAGCATCGTCTACTGGTACAACTGTAGGCGCAGGTTCTTCACCTGGAGCTCGCTACAGACCAGGATACGAGCAAGCTGCCCGGTATCCTGACGCTGGCTCTGCTGGGCTGGGCCTGGTGGACTCTTTTCACACCACACTACTCGTACTACTCCCCAGAACAATCCACCTCCAGGCGCTGCAATGTCTTTCTGCACAACTCCCGCACTCCACCATCATGATATCCATGGCCTCGCATCTCCTGTGCCTCCTGTCCTCTGCTCACTGCACTGCTGGCACAACACCACTCACCTCACTCCGTTGATCCCTGCCGACTAGTAGCCACGAAGTTGTGGCCAGCTCAGAATTTTCGCTCTGTACCTTACCTTACCTGTCGTCCTGCAACGCCCTGCAGCCATCTTCCAGCCAGTCAATCAGCCGGCCAAGATCGTATTCAGTCTAAAAATTCTGACCCCGGTCGGCGCCTCTCGTGTTTAGTCGCGCCCCCCCCCCCC